AAGCTCCACTCTTGTGGCTTTGCAGGGTACAGCCTCTCTCCCAGCCACTTTCACGGGCTGGCATTGAATGTCTGTGGCTTTTCCAGGCACAGGGTGCAATTTCTCAATGGATCTACCATTCTGTGGTCTGAAGGATGGTGGCCCTCTCTCACAGCTCCACTAGGCAGTGCCCCAATAGGGACTGTATGCAGGGGCCTCAACCCATATTTCCCTTCTGCACTCTCCTAGCAGAGGCTCTCCATGAGGGCCCTGCCTTGTAGCAAACTTCTGCCTGGACATCCAGGTATTTCCATACATCCTCTGAAATCTAGGCAGAGGTTCCCAAACATCAGTTCTTGACTTCTGTGCATCTGCAGGCTCAACATCACATGGAAGTTGCCAAGGTTTGGGGCTTGCACCCTCTGAAACCATGGCCAGAGATCTATGCTGGCCACTTTTAGCCATGGCTAAGGTAGATGAGATGCAGGGCACCAAGTTCCTAGGCTACACATAGCAGGGAGGGCCTGGGCCTGGCCCAGGAAACCGTTTTTCCCTCCTGAGCCTCTGGATCTGTGATGAGAGGGACTGCCATGAAGGTCTCTGACATGTCCTGGAGACATTTTCCCCATTGTCTTGGTGATTAACATTTGGCTCCTTGTAACTTATTTCTGTCTAGTCAGCTTGAATTTCTTTCTAGAAAATGGATTTTTCTTTTCCATCACATCATCAGACTGCAAATTTTCCAAACCTTTATGCTCTGCTTCCTCTTGAATGCTTTGCTTCTTAGAAATTACTTCTGACAGATACCTAAATCATCTCTCTCATGTTCAAAATTCCACGGATCTCTAGGCCAGGGGCAAAATGCTGCCAGTCTCTTTGCTAAAGCATAGCAAGCATGACCTTTACTCCAGTTCCCAAGAAGTTCCTCATCTCCTTCTGAGACCACCTCAGCCTGGACTTCATTGTCTATATCATTCTCAGCATTTTGGTCAAAGCCATTCAATAAGTCTGTAGTAAGTTCCAAACTTTACCACATCTCCCTGTATTCTGAGCTCTCCAAGTTTCTAGGAAGCTCCAAACTTTCCCATGTTTTCCTGTCTTCTTTTAAACCCTCCAAACTATTTCAACCTCTGCCTGTTACTCAGTTCCAAAATCCCTTCCACATTTTTGGTATCCTTATAGCAGCACCCCACTCTGCCATTACCAATGTACTGTAATAGCCTGTTCTCACACTGCTAATTAAGACATACCCAAGACTGGGTAATTTATAAAGGAAAGAGGTTTAGTTGACACATAGTTTAGCATGGCTGAGAAGGCCTCAGGAAACTTAAAATCACGGTGGAAGGGGAAGCAAACACATCATTCTTTGCATGGTAGCAGGATGGAGGAGTGCTGAGCAAAAGGGGGGAAAGCCTTTTGTGGAATCATTAGATCTCATGAGAACTGACTATTACGAGAACAGCAGCATGCAGGTAACCATCCCCATGATTCTATTACCTCCCACTGGGTCCCTCCCATGACGTGGGGATTTTGGGTACTACAATTCAAGATGAGATTTGGGTGGAGACACAGCCGAAATACCTCCCATGGTTCTCTTCCCTCTTCTAACCCTTCTTGAGGTCTTCCTGTGCTTCTCTCTCTTGTGAATATTAATGGCATTTATGTCCAGAATTACCCCTCTGCATGCCAGTTCCAATGGAAACTCCAGAAAGGGAGGGAGATACCTAAAATAGTTCAGGCTGTACTCCTCTCAGAAGTCTTCTGATAGGGGAAAAAGAGAGGCTATGTCCACATCTGCCTGGGAAGAGAGCAATTTAAGGCTAAGAGATGGCTAGGCAGCTCATGCAGGGAGAAGTCTTGGGTTGCATTGTTTGTTGTGAACATTCAGTAATCCTGAAACTAGCAGCTACAGACATTGCATGACTCAGGGCTACCCCACCTCAGAGGTGACCTTGATGCTTTAAGGCCAGGCTTGGAACCAGTGTCATAATTCCCACTCACAGTTCTCACACTTGAACTCTGAAGTTGTAGTCAAGTCAGAGTGGAGCCCCAGAGGTTACTCATGGGCTAATGATGCCATCCCACTTGTAGAATTTTAAGGTTGGGCAAGGCCTTTGAAGTTCGATGGACTCAAGGCTCTGACGAAACCTGGGGCTTCCTCATATAATCTAGGGTCTTTTGGAGAACAATGCAAGTTTAAGTTGTCTGAGAAACTGTTGTAACCCACTTACATGTTTTATTTGGAATTTTCTGCATAATTTTGAGAAATGATCTCAGTTGCTTAAAAAAAAAGGCAAGCTTGATCTATTCCCCTACCTTTCAGTTTGCCCTAATGTGTATTTACTGAGCATCTCCACTGAGCAAGAACTGGAGCTGAGCTGGGCAGGGCAGAGCAGGGCTCAAGGGACTTAAAATCTCTTGGGTGGCAGTGTCGTTAAGGCAGACACATAAATAATTATGATGTAGTAGTAATATTAGCATTGAATGATGTGGCAGGAATATTAGAATTGAAGAAATGTAGGCTGAGAGGAGTTAAATGATTCACCCGTGGCCACACTATTAGTGGGTGATTAAGATGACAGTCTACTCGTTGTGCGTGTACCCGTTCTGTTAGACCTCCTGGCCCCCCAAGAAGATCCCTGAAATGGATACTGTTAAAGTATATATAATTTTCATGGAGTTAAAAGTATGATTTCTATATAAATATCAAGTGAGCATGTGTATAAGATTTTATTCAACTTTAGTAATGAGAGAACCAGTAAAACATTGGTAGTAGTTCAAAAGAGAATTCAAAGAAGGGAGATTTATAGTTGTTCAGTCAAAGGAATGCTGAAATGAATTAGCAAATAGTTTCAAAATTGCTCAATATTCAACAGGGCAATAAACCTTAACCTTTGGGGGATAACCTTTTCTGTCAGACAGAAATCATTGGTATTGTTGTTGGATAAGAATAATATACATTGTATAACTTGATCAAGACAGTTGCAGGTGGGCAAAAAAAAAAGAGTAATATACATTGTTCTCTTATTTAAATAATTTACCTTATACACCACAATATGATCATGATTAGATTAAAATGCTATCATAGGCGGTTCTAGCAGCTATAACAAAATGCCATAAACTGGGTGGCTTAAAGAGCAAACACTTATTATTTTCTAAAAAGAATGGTATACATTGTTCTCATCAAGAATCATTTCCATTATTATGGTTTTCGATAGGTCAACCTCTATTCTTAAGTATTGTAAAATATCCTGATTAATAGAAATCAAATGAAAGGTAAATACTCTTAGAAAATCAGATAGTCTCTAAGCATGGTGGGTCAGTTAGTCAACACTCTGCATTACATTCATATTCCTTTGTCTATTTCCAAATTTTATATAATTTTTCTTCCCCCAACCCCCTTTTTTTTGAGATGGAGTCTCACTTTCACCCAGGCTAGAGTGCAGTGGCGTGACCTCAGCTAACTGCAACCTCTGCCTCCCAGGTTCAAGTGATTTTCCTGCCACAGCCTCCTGAGTAGCTGGGACTACAGGTCCATGTCACCTTGCCCAGCTGATTTTTGTATTTTTTAGCAGAGACGAGCTTTCATCATGTTGGCCAGGCTGGTCTCAAACTCCTGACCTCAAGTGATCTTGCCTGCCTTAGCCTCCCAAAGTGTTGGGATTACAGGCGTGAACCACCACACCCGGCCATAATTTTTCTTTACAATGTGTGTGTGTGTGTGTGTGTGTGTGTGTGTGTGTACACTCATTTTCTGAGTATGTTTTTGTTCAGGTGTTGAGAAGGAGGGAATTCAGTCACACTATAATAAAATGGACTGAAACAGCTAAATGAGAAGTTTTGGGGAAAACATCCCAATGGTCAGGCTGATTTCTCCAAAAATAGATTTGCTGGTCTTACAAGCTGGGAACAAAGAGGACCCTTTGGAAACCGCATAAAGGAGCTGCCAGGGTAACTGGGCTATGGGGAAGAACAGATCTCCCGCATTCTGCTCCTTATCTTGGACACTGCAGGAGGAAGGGTTCCTGACTGCAGCAGAAATGCTGAGCCAGGCAACTAGAGAGGATGGCGGCTTCTGTGTAAGCAGATGCCTGGGTTTGGCTTCCTGGCTGAGCTTCTCAAGGTGATTTTGGTTCTTTTGCTTGTTCCTGCTCCTCCTCCCAGCCTTTCTTCTGTCCTTTGAAAGTATGAGGACTGTTTACATTTGAATGGCACCTTATACTGTACCAATTGCTTCCTCTTGCCTCACTGAATTCCATACAAATCCTGTGAGACAGATAATTGTCATCCCATAGAGGCTAGTTGAGTTGCCCAAGGCCACGAGGTAGCTTGGAGGAAGAGCATTCAGAATTCAAGCACAAACCTTCCAACTCTAAAGTTCCATGTTCTTTCAGTGTGTATCAGCAGCCTGTTCTAACATTTCTGTACTTCCTCCTGGAGCATTTTATGGTTGGATTCCAAGATATATGCATGGAAAAGCTTGAGAAGATTTCAGATTTGCTTTCCCTTGCCAGCCCATGGGACACTGCCACCGAAGTCACCCCGCCCTCCACCCTCACTGTATTTAGGCTGTGTGTTAATGCTAGTGCATCTGGGCCTTGGATCCCCTGTGTAGTGGCAGTGAATATCACTAGAATGATTGAAGAGGGGATACATTGCCATTTTTCTGGGCTTCAGAGACATTTTCATTTGCACAATGTAGCTGTCAAACCAGTTGTTAATTAAAGCCTTTCTGTCAGTTACGATCTGAGACCTGGGTCCGTGGCTCAGCCTTGCCCTACCACTTGTTACCACTGTGGCCTTATCAGTTGAGAGTGGTGACGAGTTTCTCCTGATTTTCCTCCTTCTGCTTCTTCCTTACCAATAACCTGTATTTGGTAGATGTCTGTGGTATATTAGGGTGTGTTTGTGTGCACCTGAGAGCTGTAAACCTGGGCAATGGAAAAGTTGGGAAGGATGGGGCAGGTAAGTGCCTTCATTGAGCCAAATCTGGTACTAATGCCTTTGTCTCTCTGTTGCAGGACCCAACACCTGTACCACGCGAGGTGTGAGTTCCTGCCAGCAGTGTCTGGCTGTGAGTCCCATGTGTGCCTGGTGCTCTGATAAGGTAAGGAGCAGGTACTAGACTTTGTTTCTTCCCTAGACTAAGCTGCTTTTGTGCAGAAACAGATCTATGAAGTTATTGCTTCCCTCTTAAACACTCACCCCTTGTCCCTTCTGAGCAAAATTTTGATGGATTTTTCCTACTGATGGATGATGAAGAGCTGTCACGGGGATGATGCCTGGAATGCTATCCCTAGTCTACCACTACCGTATAGTCCCTGGCCCTTGCTAATTTGGCTGGACCTACTGGCCTCTCTGTAGCTATTGCTGCCCTTTCTCTCACTTCACTTGCTTTTTTTTTTTTTCTAAGAAAAAATAGTTTATTTTTATTTTTTGGTAGACACAGGGTCTCACTATGTTGCTCAGGCTGGTCTCAAACTCCTAGACTCCCACCTTGGCCTCCTAAAGTGCTGGGATTTCAGGTGTGAACCACCATGCCAGGCCTTTTGCTTGCATTTTGTTGGGGTGGAATATCCCAGGCAAGCAGAGCATCAGGTCTCAAAAGGAGAGGCAGCAAGGGGCATAGGTATGATGGGGCTGGGGGTGGGGGTGTTGGCTTATTTCTGTTTCCTAGAGTTTAAAAAAGGCAGACAGAAGAGGAATCTTGTGGTTGTGTGTGGCGATGTTTAATCAGAAGATATTTTCTCTTCCTTTCTCTTTGACGATTGGGCCCCAAAGCTTTACCTTTTTCTTTCTCTCCTTCTCACAGGTGTTGAGGAAAAAAGCTGGGCCCACTTGGTGAGGACGGGAGGGGGACAGGAAAGGGTTAGTTGTGTCTAAGCAGAGGGTTTGTTGTGTCTGGGGCCCCAGGGAATGAGTGTGTCTGAGGGAATGGCTATATTTGTGGCTGGGATGAAAATTTGGAGCTGGCAAGAGCTGATGGGGTGGGGGTAGGAGATGAATGTGGCTGGAGAGATTCGGTGATTATAGAGTCTGAGGCTGAGTCACTGGCCCGGCCAGCAGGTGGTTACCTGAGCTCCTGGCCTGGCTTCCACTCAGCTACCTGAGGTGTCCTCTCTGTCCTGCGGCAAGTCCCAGCGCTCTCCAATTTTAAGACCGCTTCAATCCAGTCCCTCAGTCTCTCTATCTGCTTCTTTTCCAGATCCACTGAGTATCCTAAAAAGGCAACCTCTCTGGCAGGCGGAGTGGGGGGTGGGGAGGGGTGGGAGCTCGGAGGCTGTGTTTATCACTGGCCAGGAGGGCTGCCAGAGCAGCAGAGGCCAGCTCTGCACGCTGCTTTGGCCTCTTAGTCCTTCAGCCCGGGAACTGCTTCCAGAGGCAGCTTCCCAACATCTGGGCCACATTGACTTCATTTAGCAAACGAAACATCCCCTGGGGCTAGGGATGGGGAGTAAGCGGGGGATGGATGAGTCCTTCTCCTCCACCCCCGCAGGTTCTCCTCCCTTCTGGGCTCAGCTGGCTGCTCAGTGTGATGTAGCCTCTTCCCTCCTCATTCACTATGTTCTCCTTCCTCCCATCCTGATGCTACTAAAGCTTCTTTCACCAGGAAGTTGCAATTCTGCAACTGAAAGCTGGAAGAAGGGAGAGCTGGATGGGGAGGATGCCTTAGGTGGCCCAGAGCCTTCAGGAGCGGAGGAAAGTCAGGGCAGAAGCCCTAGTGGCACTCAAAGCGTGTTTCCCTGTTTTTCTCCTTCCCTCCGTTTCAACCCAAAGCAAGAGAAAATGCAGGCACCTCTGGTCCAGAGAATGTGGGAAAAAGAAAACGTTCTTGGAGGGCCTGTCCTGCTCCCTATCCACCATGTTTCATCTCTCTTGATCTGCACAGGGAGTAGCCACGCAGCTGAGGTGGGCTGAGGCTTGACCAGACAAAGCCCTTAGGTCACATAACCAGATTTCAAAGATGCAAAGGTAAAATATTTTGGGTGACTGTCGTGTTCCTGTCCCCTGGGGCAGGCCTGGGGAAGGCAGAGGGAAAGGTGCAGGGTAGATCAGAACATGAGGTAGGACCAGCCTAGGAGTGAGGGGGGCAGTCAGCTAGGACTAAAGAGAATGAATGGAGGGAGGTAGAAAGTCCAGTGAGATATTCCCTGGGATAATGACATATAAACATGAAAGTAGGCGGGGCCAAGGTTAGTGAATGACTACAACCATCTCTGAGCACGAGGGTGGAGGGAGAGAAGGAAGGGTGGAGGAGCTGGAATGGGACAGAATGTGGCGACCAGGGAGGAATGGGAGGTGGGAATCCTGGACTGTAACCTGAACATAAGTGCTATTTTATTCCCGAGAGGAGCAGGGCTTCCCCTGGTTAGGCCAAGTTTAATTGATGACAATGCCTTGGGCATTGACTTTGAAAAAACCAAAGGTGAAATGTCTGGTCCATTTTGTAGGTAATTTGTCGAATAATCAAACCCTGGAGAGCCCTCTGTTCTTCTTCCTCCCCTGCTGTTCCAGGCAAGCTGGCAGTGCCTGGAAAAACAACTGGTTGGGCTCAGCTTTTTCTTGCTCCTAGAGGACTCGAGCTCTTGGGTGTGTATAGTGAGAGCTTGGCTGGGTAAGAGGAAAACATGGCCAGCGTTGATGAGCACGGAGTTTTGGGCCCATCTGCATAGGGTGTGTTCTTGGAGGGTTGTATACTGACATGGATTGGGTGGTGTGCTCTCTCTGGTCTGTAAATCTAGCAGAGGCCAGCTTCATACAGAGACTCAACTTGTGGTCTTGGTTTCAGCAGTGCCATGCTGGGGTCTAGAACCTCCCAGACTCATTTGGTGTTGAGAATTGCTGGGATGCTTGTTAAAAATAAAGGTTCCCCCTGGGTTTATTACATCAGAATGGGTTGTTATGATAGCAAGTTTGACAAACATTGCTATTTGAAGGGCCACTGGGGTTGGGATGGAGGTGGGTGGAGGTGGAGCTAAGGTTATCAGATAAATACAGAACATCCAGCCCGGTGCCTGTAGTCCCAGCTACTCAGGAGGCTGGGATGGGAGGATCCTTTGAACCCAGGAGTTTGAGATTATAGTGCACCACGATCATGTGTGTTAATAGCCACTGCACTCTAGCCTGGGTAACATAGGGAGATCCTGTCTCTAAAAAATAAATCTAAAATATGGAACATCCACTTAAATTTGAATTAAAAAAATAATTTTTAGTATAGGTATGTCCCAAATATTTGCTAAAATTTCCCTACAGTGGAGGGAAATGCTAGGAATTCTTATCTAAGCCCGAGTACACTCTGGAAGGTGGGCCAGCTCCCGCTTAGCCTGACAACCAAGGTGACAGGGGAAGAGGGGTTTGAGTATAGCAAAGCAGAGGAAGACTCTCATAGGATTTTCTTCTCATTTTCTTCTCTGCAACTGCAGGAGTGAGATAGAGGCCATGATATATTTCTTTGTAATCACAAACATAATTTCATTCTCGAAGAAGACATTCTTTCTTTCTATTTATTTTTAATCTGGAGGATAAATGTTCATCTTGAGAGTTTTGCTCCAACTTATTATTGTAGAAGGAAGTATAATATTAAGAGTGCTCCTCTCCTTGTAAACAATGAAATGTGAATACCAACAGCTGTAAACAAACCTTTTCCTTTCCTCCTTCTTTCTGCCCTCTCCATTCTTCTCTTTCTGCATGTTCAAGTGAATTCTTGTCTTTACCAGATGAGTTAATCAAGACTACAATGGATGGGGAGATATTTTGGTGGTGCTCTGGGGTCTCTTGCTCTCCAAGAAAAGAGTATGAAATAATAGTAGTGATCATGGTAATTGTAAAAAAGAGTTGCCTTATATTTGCATTTATTTGTTTATACTGTGTCCTAAAGCTGGGTCCCCAACACCCGGGCTGTGGACCACTATGGATCCAAGGCCTGTTAGGAACCCAGGCACACTGCAGGAGGTGAGTGGTGGGTGAGTGCGCATGACCGCCTGAGCTCCGTCCGCCCCCTGTCAGATCCACAGCGGCCTTAGAGTCTCCTGAGTTCAAACCCTACTGTGAACTGCACAGGGGAGGGATCTAGGTTGTTCACTCCTCATGAGAATCAGACTCATGCCTGATGATTTGGGGTGGGACAGTTTCATTCTGAAACCATCCTCACCTCCCCGTCCACGGAAAAATTGTCTTCCATGAAACCAGTCCCTGGTCCCAAAAAGGCTGGGAATCTCTGTCCTAAAGGATTTCAGTATAGTAAATTTATGTTGAGATTTTTATGTTTTGAAGGCATTTCACATTCACAGTCTTCCTTTACTTCCTGACCAACCCTGTGAAACAGGCAGGATAATGACAACTATTCATGTTGTACTTTCCCAATTTCCAAAATGGAATTAATGGTGAATAGCACTAACAGCATGTGTCACCCTCCCAGGAGAGAGAGGTAATTCAGCGAGGTCACATGGTGCCGGCTGGAACCTCCCACCTCTGTGCTCAGGCCCTTCCCCTGGGTCTTGGCTATTTTTGCCCTTTTTGTGTAACATCCGGTTTCCCTGGGAACTGGAATTTTAATATCCACTCCCTCTTGCTTCTAGCTTCTCCCTGCATAACCTGGAGACATTCCTTCTACCTTCTCAGCCTGGGTTACCATGAAAAGGAATGTTGCCCAAATATGTTGAGGTCACTGCCTTGGTGCCTTTCTGGTATAGAGGGTTCTCGGGGAGAGCTTGGCTGACAAGCAGGCCTGTTATTCCTGACCTCTGATGTCAGCAACCACAAAGGGAGGGAGAGAGGCAGTTTTGTTTTTCAGTGTTTAATTTTTCTAAGGAAACTCATAAACCATAAGAACTGTCAGCACATCTTAGTGCTTCAAATCCTCTTCTCATTAGGACTGCCACATTAGAAAATAGGAGTCAGGAAACTCCCGATTGAAGCATACTCTCCCTCCACGGATGTAGCCTGAGATGCACAATGACCTTGCTGCTCTCATCCCATCCCGGCTCTCTCCTTCAGCATGTTTTGGTCCTGGAAAGGATCCGCTCCTCACTGCATCCCGGTTTATCCACTGCCTTTTTGGGAAGGTTTTCTCCCTGGGGCTTTGTGGGCAGCTGGAATCAGAGACAGGATTTTTTTTTTTTGGCAAGAAAAAGACAGCTTCCCTAGCAGGAAGGGGTAGGAGAGGTGTGCATGGACAGCAGAGGGAGTCTGGGCACAAAACCTGAAGTGCCTGAGTTCTCCCCATGTCCTTAGCCAGAACTGGGTGCAGGGGAGACTTTCATCTTCCCCAGAGCTGCGGAAGGTCTCTGATGTCCCTGTTGGAATATTTGCCACCAGTAAGGTGAAGTCTTATTCATTGGTTTCCATTGCTGAGGCCGTTTCTCTGCCTGCATACCTGTGAAGCTGAGAGAGAAAGAAAGAAGCTGCTGGCTTCCAGAAACTCTTCTCACTTCTTGTCTGGGCCAGGGTAGTCCTCATGCTGTTGATAATGCTCATGACCCAATTCACGTGGGGAAGACTTCAGCCCATCAGACGGGGATCGGACTGGAAAGGGAGAGAGACTTCAGGTATTGGGAAGGGTTTTGGGTTACAGGGTTGCTTTTTCTGTTTTGTTTTGAGATGGGGTCTCACTCTGTCACGCAGACTGGGGTGCAGTGATGTGATCTTGGCTCACTGCAATCTCAGCCTCCTTGGCTCAAGTGATCCTCCCACTTCAGCCTCCTAAGTAGCTGGGGTTCCAGGTGCACACCACCACGCCCAGAATTTTGCATTCTTAGTAGAGATGGGGTTTTGCCCTGTTGCGCAGGCTGGTCTGGAATTCCTGAGCTCAAGTGATCCACCCATCTCAGCCCCTGCTGGGATTACAGGCATGAGTCACCGCACCCAGCGGGGTACAGGGTTTTTGAGTATGAATGGCTCCTTGTGGGCCGGTCCCTCTCCTGGCATTATAGCTGCCGGCTTGCTTGAGGGGAATGAGGAGGCAGATGTCATCCACCTTTCTCCATACCTCTCACATGCCCATCTTGCATCCTGTTCCTTACCTGGGGCATTCTCTGTTGTGGCTGCACCTTAGACCACTCTTTCTGCACTCCTCCTTTTCTGTGCCTTGACTCTCACTCTATATAGAATGTAATAACGCTTGTCTTCTGAGGTTAATTACAGTGAGACAATCTAGCTGTCCTCTCGGTTCTGCCACTTCCTAGCTCTGCAGCTTTGAGCAAATTCCTTAACTTCTCCATTCCTCAGATTCCTTACCTGTAAGATTAGATTTCTCATTTGTGAAGCCTTCAAACCTTAGATTTCTCCCTTGTAAAATAATAATAGTTCCAGCATTATGGAACTGTCAGGCAGATTGCAATAATCCATGTGAGGTGCTCACCAGAGTACCTGACATACAGTAAGTGCTCAGTAAATGCCAACACTAGTTGTTCTGGGATATTGGTGTGGGTTATCTAGCAGACATTTGGAAATGCTTGTGGGGGATGTGGGTACGGGTGGGGTTGGGGAGAACCCGAAGGCCTAGACATTGTGAAATAGGTTCAGGGAGGGGTTTTCCAGCCTCCTGGCTGGTCCCCTCAATCTGGCAAGAAGCCCTGATAGATATGTACCCACACAGTGCTGGCTAAATTGGCTGAATGTCAGAGCCAGAAGGGACTGAAAACACTATGTCATCTAACTGCCTTGTTGAACAGGTAAGGACCCAAAATGATATATCTGAGGTCACAAGACCAGTCAGTGGCAGGCCTAGGATTGATCCTCTTTCCTGATTTCCAGTGTTCCTTCCGGTATGGTGTGGTCCCCATTCAATACCCAGGTGTAAGCACACAGAGCCCCAGGGGGGCCGTGGGATACACACCAGGGTTTTTGGAAGGGTGTTCAATATGTTTTTTGTCCAGGGTGAAGGAGGAAGCTGAAGTGATAGGATGGGCTCTGATCAGATGCCTGGTATCATGGTATTTTCCTAAGTTTGTGGAGTTTATTCATAATTAGCTTATCCAGGAAGTACTTGTCAAGCTTCTCATAGTCATAGCTCACATTTGCTGAGCACTTACTCTATGCCAGGTGCTGTCCTATGCATTTTATGTGCATGGTCTTATTTAGCCTGTGCGACATCCCTATGAGGGAGGTACCATAATTACTATTATTTTAGGTAACTTTTATTGTGGGAAAATCCATATAACATAAAATTTACCCTCTTAACCTTTTTTTTTTTTTTGAGACCAGGTCTTGCTTTGTCACCCAGGCTGGAGTACAGTGGCATGATCTTGGCTCACTGCAACCTTCACCTCCCAGGTTCAAGTGATTCTCCTGCCTCAACCTCCCAAGTAGCTGGGAAACAGGTTCATACCACTACACCTGGCTGAATTTTGTGTTTTTAGTAGAGATGGGGTTTCACTGTGTTGGCCAGGCTGGTCTCGATCTCCTGACATCAGGTGATCCACCCACCTTGGCCTCCCAAGGTGCTGGGATTACAGGTGCGAGCAACCACACCTGGCCCATTTTAACAATTTTTAAGTGTACATTTCAGTGGCATGAAATACATTCATAATGTTATGAAACCCCACACTACCATCTATCTCCTTAATTCCTTTCATCTTATAAAATTAAAACTCTGTACCCATTAAACAATAATTCTTTATTCCTCCCGGTCCCTGGAAACTACTATTCTACTTTTTGACTCTGTGATTTTGATTAGTCTTAAGGTCTGAAGCAGGGACTGTTATTATGTTCATGTTACAGCTGAGGAAACTAGGCTTGGAGAACTGAGATGATTTACCCTAGTAAGCAGTTGTAAGTACAATGCTGAGGTTTACTACTGTGCTCTTAGCCCTGACTGTCTCCTGCTTCCTTACACTGCCTTTCCCTATCATGTTTGTGGTAAGTCCTGGATTGGATGCTGAGAATTGAGAGGGACCAAGACACACACAGTCTCTGAGTTCATGGATCTCACAGCTTAGCTTGTGTTGAATACAGTAGCTTCCAAACTGTTTTGACTCTAACCTACAGAAATAAACACATTGTAAAATGCTTGTTCTTTGGTACTGCAAGGAAAAATTAACATTCAGACAAAAAGTTTTCTCAGCAAGGCAATTTTACTTTTTGCATAAGGGGCACTGCTTGTCAGCAATCTTGCCACAAGAGTACAATGAACAAGGAAAGGCAGTCATGTTTATTTTTTATGCAGTGGGTCCTTACTGCTGTGTCTGATCTCTGCTGGTTGGAGCCAGACCTCACAATCTAAACTGAACCTGATTGGCTAACAACTTAAAACTTTTCTAAATAGGTAAAGGCAATGGAGAACAAAGGAAAAAAGGGAGTTGCTTGTAAAAGAAAGTGATAGTATTCCTAAATAAGGAAAGGGCACAGGCTGTGAGCTGGGACATGCCTCCGAGCACATCTAGAACAAATATCGTGGTTAAAGTACAAGGACATAGAATGTACATATTCCTTTATGTCTAACAGCTGCATAGGATAGGGCTTAACAAAGAGTTACTAGCAAAAAGCAAGAAGGCTTTGAAGAAAGTTAGTCTTTAAAAGAAACTATTATTTCTAACATTTATTATTATTATTCTTTAACAAGAAGGGAAACTTTGACAAGGAACTTTTTCCTTTCCACATACATGTTATTCCCCACTTGCCAGCAATATGAACGTTTCACAAAACAACATTTGACTATTTGTACACTTTGATATTTTCTATTCTATTCTATTGCATTTTATTTAACAAAATGATAGTTGACACCTGCTAAATTGATTTTGGGACCCACAAATGTGTTGTATTCCACAGTTAAAAAATTCTGGTCTACCAGGTATCTTACTGTACAGGCCTTCTTTCTACCTACTACTCCATGAATAGGTCTTCCTGATATCACAATTTCTTCTTTTTTCTTTTTTTTTGGTAGAGATGGGGTCTAGCTGTGTTGCTGAGGCTGGTCTTGAACTCATTGCCTCAAGCAGTCCTCCTGCTTTGGCCTCCCAAAGTATCAATTTCCCCTTCCTGTCCTAGGGATTATCCCAGGAAGGACCACACCAATTTGTTTATGCGCCAATGTACAGGGTAAATTCTTAGCAACTGGGAAGTGGTAAGGCCTGCAGGAGTCAGAGAGCCACCATAGCTCTGATTGCTGGACTTCTCTCTGGGCTCCTGTCTTACAGGCCCTGCCTCTGGGCTCACCTCGCTGTGACCTGAAGGAGAATCTGCTGAAGGATAACTGTGCCCCGGAGTCCATCGAGTTCCCAGTCAGTGAGGCCCGAGTACTAGAGGACAGGCCCCTCAGCGACAAGGGCTCTGGAGACAGCTCCCAGGTCACTCAAGTCAGTCCCCAGAGGATTGCACTCCGGCTCCGGCCAGGTAGGGATGGGACCCATCTTGGGGAGAGACCTGGGACAGGTGGGCATAGAGCACAAGATGGAGGTCTGAGCAGGAAGGAGCTCAGACTGGAAATGGGGTGGGAGGACAAGGATGTGGGGGGAGGTGAGGGCAGGAGAATGGAAGAAAATAAAGGATGTTAGGACTTGAGTCAGAAGATCTGAGTTGAATCTTGACTCTACCATATATTAGCTATTTGACCTTGGACAAGTTATTTTACCCTTCTGACATAGAAGGTGCTAAAAAAAAAGTTTGTTTTTTCATTACCCAAGTTCCTGTTTTTTACCTAACTTAGAGCTTTGTGTTGAGGTGCAAAGGAGATATAGAACGAGAAAGCAATTTGTAAGCACCCTTTTCATGGGGGTTTGGGACAGAGGAGTGAGGGCAGACAGAATAGGTGCACAAGACCTTTAGACGGAGGAAGGGTTAGACTAAGAGGCAGACATTTTAAAGCATTGATTTTGACTTTCCAATTAAGTCAAGAAGGATTTAAGAGAGACCTACTATGTATAAGGCATGTGTTGGATGCAATGGGATTCAGAAACGGGTAGGGTGCAATTTCTGTCTTTTACAGAGTCTGAAATGTAGTAACTGTCAAAACCTCTGTGACTCACAGTGGTAGATCCTTGGAACTCACAGGATTGGAAATCCTCTGGGGATTTAGAGAAAGTGGAAAATTTTAGAATGGAAAAGAAGAGGTTAAAAATAGAAGGATCAAGAGACTAGAAGAGTAATAGAATTGCAGAGGAAGAGGGAAAGGACCCGGGCTTTCTGATTTGCTTTGATCATGCAATAACTTCGGCGCAACTGTGTTCAAATCGCTTATTCAGTCTTAAGAGGGAGAAGAAGATAAAAACTAATATCTTTCTGCCTTCCAGATGATTCAAAGAACTTCTCCATCCAAGTGCGCCAAGTGGAGGATTACCCTGTGGACATCTACTACTTGATGGACCTGTCTTACTCCATGAAGGATGATCTGTCGAGCATCCGGAACCTGGGTACCAAGCTGGCCACCCAGATGCGAAAGCTCACCAGTAACCTGCGGATTGGCTTTGGGGCATTTGTGGACAAGCCCGTGTCACCATACATGTATATCTCCCCACCAGAGGCCCTCAAAAACCCCTGCTATGAGTAAGTCCCTCCTCCAGAAGCCAGGACAGCATCCTTTGCCCCAGGAAGGTCCAAGTCCTGTTTCCTATTTCTAGCTCTAGAGTCACTTTGTTGGCTGCCTTCTGGCCAAACTGTAGCTCGTCTCTACCTTGGTCTCCCTGTCTGGCAAATGGGCTAGCTTGTGGATCTGGAATATTATGTCAGTAGAACCTAAGGCTGTTTGGAGAACCTGAAAAGAAAACTCATCAGCTTCTTAGTCCTGGTAACGAATAAATAGGAGGCAAGGGAAAGTGAGAAGGAAATGAGGTCAAAAGTAGAAAGAAATCTGTGGATAAGTAAACTGAGAAATTATGATTACAGGAATTATGATAATGCTATTGCTGGCATTACTGTCTTCATCAAGGCCGTGCATCCTGCAGTGTGAAAATAGAAGAAATCAAGTGCTAGAGGAATATAAAAGAGTGGAAATTACATTTGTTGAACCGTTTTATAGTCTGTAAATAGATAACGTGTACCTCTGTTTGACACTTTGGCTTAAAAGTGAATGGCTTATTTATTTGATCAGTGGAGACTGTGCAAATCCATGTGTTATAATGGCTTACAATGCTGGTTGCTGAGCCTGAAAAGGTGTGAATTTACTTTTTAGTTTTCGAAGTTATGGCCAGGTGTGGTGGCTGACTTCTGTAATCCCAGCACTTTGGGAGGCTGAGGCAGGAGGATCACTTGATCCCAGGAGTTTGAGTTCAATCAACACAACATAGCAAGAGCCCTATCTCAACAAAAAACACAAAAAAATTAGCTGTGTGTGATGGTGCATGCCTGCAGTCCCCAGAACTACAGTAAAGCTGAGGTGGGGGGATTGCTTGGCCTGGGAGACTGGGGCTGCAATGAGCCATGGCTGTGCTACTGCACTCCAGGCTGGGCAATAGGGCACAAGTGTCTCAAAAAAAAGAAAAAAAAAAACAGGTTTTGAAATCATATGATGTGGCATTCAACCCTCTGTCTGGGTTGTAAGGTTCCCAGGAAAGACGGCATCTATTAATTACACACACTATTTTGGCTGGGGGCAGACATGCTCCTGTCTTGCATGATCTATCAATTTATTGATGGTTCAGGGACCTTAACTTATTGACGGACTTTTGCTTTATTGTTACTTTAGAAAAGTGTTAAGTATAAAGTAATAGTAACAGCACCTCGAGCCTCGCTGTGGTCTAAGTGCTTCGTGTGTATGAATTTACTTAAGTCTCATGGCAACTCTTATGAGATATGTGCTATCCTGGTCCCACTTTTATACGTTGGGTTGAGAGGCTTGCCGAAGGTCTCATGACTAGTAAAGAGGGAAGCTGGGATCTAAGCCCAGGGAGTCTGGTTTCCAGCTCACTCTCTTATCCTCTAGGCTAGCTGGATGGGGGTAAGGCTGATGGGGAGTCTGAGGTAATTTGAGGATTTTGGAGTCTGAACTGTCCGTGTAACTGTGGTTGTATGGAACCGGCCTGGGCATATACCACTCTCTATATTTGTCCCTTCCCTTTCCTCCCAATTCCCATGTCACCTTTTCCATCAGGGTGTCTACTTAAATTGTCTCCCATCCCTCCACAGTATGAAGACCACCTGTTTGCCCATGTTTGGCTACAAACACGTGCTGACGCTAACTGACCAGGTGACCCGCTTCAATGAGGAAGTGAGGAAGCAGAGTGTGTCACGGAACCGAGATGCCCCAGAGGGTGGCTTTGATGCCATTATGCAGGCTACAGTCTGTGATGTGAGTCTGGAGGACTTGGAGTGCCAGGTGTGGTTGGCATAGATCAAAATGGGGAAGGAAGTGGCTGAACTCGGGATTTCCAGTGTGAAATGAGATGAGGAGTAAGTAGAACTTCATGCAGTGTGAGTAGTAAGTTGCTCCTGATATTCAGCCTAGGCTTAGAGCCACTCCCTGGCCCAAGTTGACATTTCTTTGAACCTCAGTGATCTCAGATGTTTCCAGGGGAGAGCATTCTTCCCATCTTCAGAATTACTGCAGAGTTAAGGCTGGGTTAACTTAGCCTCAGCAAAGTAGGCAGATGTTCGGATGAGACTTCTTCTAGCCCAGATCAGCTCTGTGGATGCAGGTCAGTTTCTAGGTGGGCAATGTGACTGTCATGAGAAGAGTTAAGTCTGGAGTTTAAGAAGGTCTTACTCAGCTGCTTGAACTAATTAGCTACGAGACTGTTTTCTGAAGAGAATGAAACCCCTGAATTGGAAAGCTCTAGCTTTGGTTCCAAGGACTGGGACTGAGACCCTTCTTCAAAACAAGTTGTCCAGCCCTTTAGCCAGGGACTGCCTTGGGTCTCTGCCCTCTGCCAGTGACATGGCTGAATTTGCTTTGTCTCCTCTGCCTTTGTTTTTTGTTTTCTTTTAACAGGAAAAGATTGGCTGGAGGAATGATGCCTCCCACTTGCTGGTGTTTACCACTGATGCCAAGACTCACATAGCACTGGATGGAAGGCTGGCAGGCATTGTCCAGCCCAATGATGGGCAGTGTCATGTTGGTAGTGACAATCATTACTCTGCCTCCACTACCATGGTGAGATCTCTGGCACCACCTATGGTGTCTATTCATGCTGGTGAGGGTTGCCCTAACCCAGACAGAGTCTGTGTGAATATGAAAATGGCAGCCCCTGCTCTGGGCAGGATGTGGGGCTCGGTTTCAGCTTGTCCCTATCCCTTACCAACTGGACCCTGTCATCCAGCGCATAACCTGTATAACCATTAGAGATGTCCCTGACTGTGGTGTTATCACTGCCTTCACTGTCATCAGCATAGTAGCAGCATTGTGGGATCCAGAATGGACCCAAAGGATTTTTACAACCCAGCTGGAAAGCAGGTCTTCCTCTCCAACCTGTTTAGCTCTTTCTTGGAATACAATACTAACTTGTGGTTATTGGAAGAAGATAGAGGGAAAAAAAGGAGGAAGATTGGCCAGGCATATGGTGGCTCATGCCTGTAATCCCAGCACTTTGGGAGACTGAGGTGGGAGGATCACTTGAATCCAGGAGTTTGAAACCAGCTTGGGCAATATAGTGAGACCCTGTCTCTACAAAAAAATGCAAAGATTTGCTGGGTGTGGTGGCTTGTGCCTGTGGTCTCAGCTACTTGTGGGGCTGAGGCAGAAAGATCTCTTTAGCCCAGTAGTCTGAGACTTCAGTGAGCTGTGATCTTGCCACTGTACTCCAGCCTGAGTAATGGAGCAAGAACCGCCCACACTTTTTTTTTTTAAGGCAGTGTTGCTCTGTGGCCCCGCTGGAGTACAGTAGTGCAGCCTTGGCTCACTGAAGCCTTTGCCATCTCAGTCTCCTAAGTAGCTGGGACCACAGGCGTGGATTACCATGCCTGGCTAATTTTAAAAAACAGGATCTTGCTATGTTGCCCAGACTGGTCTTGAACTCCTTGGCTCAAGCAATCTACCTGCCTTGGACTCCCAGAGTGCTGGGATTATAGGTGTGAGCCATTGCTACTAGTGGAGACCCCTTCTTGGTGGGTGGGAGGGGAAAGAGAGAGAGAGAGAGAGAGAAGAGGGGAAAAGATCATCAAAGGCATAGTGAGCCGGTCCTATGAGGAAAGATTAAAGGGCTCAGAGTCTTAGCTTAACAGAAAGAAGGCTAAAGGATGATTTAGCTTATACATGAGAAGACTTCTTATAAGTTGTTTTATATGGCCATAGAAGGTTAAACAAGAGGAAAATATTTAAGTGGAATCAGGAGAAATTGCTATAAGCTGTAAGAAAAATGTGCTGTGATACTCTAGGTATTGGGGGCAGGTGTGAACTCTTTGTCTCCTAAGGACAATATAGGGACCTCCTCATCTAGGTGGCTTAAAGGTATACCTGTGTAAAGGCAAGAGACTGAGCTGAGGATCTAATGAGCTCCCTGCAAGGTCTAGGAGCCCATGGACATGTTCACCATTCAGCACCAGTGGCCTTGAGTTCCTTGGCATCAGTCATATCCAAGTCAAGCACTGCCAGACAGTGAGTCAGCAACCTTTGACACCTAATCTATGCAAGGCACTGGGCCAGGGGCTGAGGGCGGTAACAAGACCATCTTTCTGGTCTAGTTGAGGAGAAAGGATATATATGTTTACTAACAACACAAGATGCATGATTATTGCTAAACGGGTGTGGCACAGTCAATGCGGGCTATACGTATCCAAGGGAGGAAAGCTCGTCATGCGCTGGAATGGCCAAGGAGGCCTCCTGAAGAAGGTGGAGCCTCAGCTGGGCCCTAAGAAAGGAGGAGGATTACCAACAAGAAGGCCACTCCGGGTGGGAGACAGTGGGCCAGATCACTGCTGAGTGGAAGAGGGAGAGAGGTGAGTGGAAAGAAAGACCACTTGGTGGAGGACCACGAGGACCAGGCCAAGGCATCTGTCAGTAGTTCCAAAACAAAGAGCCCTAACCCAGTGCCTGGTGCGCGGAAGCAGCTCCATAGTATTAGTGCATTACACTGAAGCAGGAAGAAAGAGGTGCATAGCTTTGACACCACTGGCCTGCACCTCTACATCTATCCCTGGAGTTCGCTAGTAGGTTTCTGCACTACTTAACCCTTCTTGTCTCATTGTCCCCCACTTTTTTTTAGAGACAGGGTCTTGCTCTGCTGCCCAGGCTGGAGTACAGTGGTGCAGTCAAACTCACTGTAACCTCCCACTCCTGGGCTGAAGCGATTCTCCCGCCTCAGCCTCCCAAGTAGGTAGGACTACAGGCACTTACCACTGCATCTGCTAAATAAAAAAAAAATGTTCTTGCCACTGAGGCTGCAGTGAGCTGTGATCTTGCCACTGCACTCCGGCCTGAGTGACAAAGCAAGAACCACCCCCGCTTTTTTTTGAGACAGAGTCTTCCTCTGTTGCACAGCTGGAGTGTAGTAAGCCAATCTTGCTATGTTGCCCAGGCTCTTGTCTCACTTACACCATGGAGTGACAAGGTTTAAGCACCACCACTGTCTGAGCCACAGCCCAAGCAAGCTCGGTTCTAAGGTTTAGACCTTAGGGATGTACATGAGACTTCATTAACCTCTCCAACCTCATTTTCCCAGGATTATCCCTCTCTGGGGCTGATGACTGAGAAGCTATCCCAGAAAAACATCAATCTGATCTTTGCAGTGACTGAAAATGTAGTCAATCTCTATCAGGTGACTGTGCCTTCAGGCTTCCTGGAGTGGGCCCTGTGATGGGGAGCCTCAGGTAGCTAGCCTGTGCTCGAATTGGCCATAATCCCCAACCAGGAAAGCTTCTCCTCTAATCCACTCCCCGGGAGCTAAAGGCTGTACCCTGGGCCTTTTTCCTGCAAACTTGACCTTACGAGGTGTGTGTTGGTGTTTGGGGTGCTGGAGGGGAGGTAATTCCGTGGGGTGAGGGCTGCAAGAGGTTTCCTATACTTTTGCTCAGGGCTGAAAAACTGCCAGATATATTCCTGGCAGCAGCAATTGAAATATCCCATACCTTCCTCCAATCTTCATCTCAGGACTCTCAGTCTGATTTGGGGAGGGCTTTTGGAGACGACCACCTTCCTTCAGTAAGCTCTGGACGTCTTTGTCTTCCTTTCTAGAACTATAGTGAGCTCATCCCAGGGACCACAGTAGGGGTTCTGTCCATGGATTCCAGCAATGTCCTCCAGCTCATTGTTGATGCTTATGGGGTAAGTGTCATGTGCTGGGAATAATCCTGCTGAGAGTCCACCTCATTTGGCTTTCACAGCAGGGCTCAGATTTGTGAGTCCCAGCTGCCAGCCTACCACCTAAGAAGGATTTACTGCCTTCTCTGTGTGCTCGCAGAGGCTAGACAATGGCCTGCTCTGGGAGGGATGCAGCCTTCTGAGAAGGAAGTCTCCCAGAAAGAAAGAAAGGGGATGGTGATGGGGATTAGATGGAGAAGGAGCAGAGCCCTGGATTGTGGGGGCAGAGTGAGGGAAAACTGGGCTCCAGTAACAGGGAAAAGAGAGAGCTGAGACATGGGAAAGGTGAGGTTGATGAACATTAGGTAGAAAATGCCACTTTCTGAGGTGACCAGTATTGGCACTCCCCTTTTGCAATGTCTGTGAGGCCCGTGGGAGGGTGTAGCTGGTCTGTTTTTCCCAGACTCACCTAGATGGGAGTGGAGACAGAGGGAGCAGTTTCCTGGGCAGGAAACAGCGTCCTAGGGGTGCTCCAGCAGCTTCCAGGGCAAATCTTGGCCTCTGGCACTGCTGGGGTGAGTCCAGAGCTACTTGGCAGATTTTGCTTGGGATGGAATTGGCTCTTGCCATTTCCCATTTCTTCATTTTCTTGTCTTCTTATGCCCCTTTCTGTTCAGAAAATCCGCTCTAAAGTAGAGCTGGAAGTACGTGACCTTCCTGATGAGTTGTCTCTGTCCTTCAATGCCACCTGCCTCAACAATGAGGTCATCCCTGGCCTCAAGTCTTGTATGGGACTCAAGATTGGAGACACGGTGAGGTGGGCTGGGCAGGGCCTTTGTCCTGGAGTGTCTGTGGGCACCGAACCCCCTTTCTTCCCTTTGCAATGACTTACAATGGCCTCCTTCCACCAGAAAAAAAAATATGGGCAGGAAAAAATACCTTTCCTAAAGTCATTCCAACTTAGATGTAATGGATCCACCAATCTTTTCCTCTGAGCCTTCTGTGCATAAGCCATTTCTGTTACATGAACTTCACTGTCAGGAATTTAAAAAACTTACAATTTGGTTACCTTTGTTTGTGTATACACAGTTGATTGCAAAGGAAAATATTTCTTTATCTTTAGTTCCTCACCAGTCTCCAATCTTCCTAAGGTAATTAATGCCTTTCTTTTGTAAAATGACACAAGAAAGTAAAATCTAAAATGTAAAATGGCAGCATCACCTAGAAATATTTATTGAGCACTGACACTGTGTCAGGCATTGTTCTATCTGCTGAGGATTTAACAGCAAATGGAACAGGCAAAAATACCTACAATCAGGGAATTTCTGAAATCAGATGTTCATTTCACCACTCCAGTCCCTCCATGACTTTCCTTGTTGTTCGTTTCTCTGCCGCTTCTGCCTAAGGGGAAAAGGGGTTGGTGGGAGGCGAGGGACGAGGGGAAGAAAATAGCTCTTTGGATTCACTGATCTTTTCTATTGATGTATCTGTCTCTCAGGCACTCGTACAAATATCCCCTGTTAGAAATGTTGTTCTGAAACATGCCTGGTTGCACAGCTGTGAAATGTATGGAACTGGAAGTAGATTTTTGAGCTTATGGTTGACCACCATGTGGCATTGTATGGTGCAAAACAGTGCCTTGTGCATCTTGCTGATAATTATAATCAGTCCAGCTTGCTAATTGGCCAGAGCAGGGTGTTCATATGATCACAGGTTCTGTTCAGTTTGAGCTTGTCTGTCTCACATGTGGAGTAAAGAAACAGCCTTCTATTGTTTACTGACTGTAAACCATGTCTCTGCAGCCAGCAAGATATGTCACAATGATACTATTCCCATGCTCGTGTTTTTGGTAGAGGGAAGGTTGAGGAACTCCAGATTGCAGAAGCCTAAGACACCCAATTTGAGTATTCCTTGGCAGGGCAGGGAACAACTGTTTTTCATCTAGAGCTGGAGTGTTAACCTGGCCCACCTGTGTCTAAATGCAGTCTTGCTTTCCATCCAGGTGAGCTTCAGCATTGAGGCCAAAGTGCGAGGCTGCCCCCAGGAGAAGGAGAAGTCCTTTACCATCAAGCCTGTGGGCTTCAAGGACAGCCTGGTCGTCCAGGTCACCTTTGATTGTGACTGTGCTTGTCAGGCACAAGCTGAACCTAATAGCCGTCACTGCAACAATGGCAGTGGGACCTTTGAGTGTGGGGTGTGTCGCTGCGACCCTGGCTGGCTGGGGTCCCAGTGTGAGTGCTCAGAGGAAGACTATCGCCCTTCCCAGCAAGACGAGTGCAGCCCCCGGGAGGGCCAGCCTGTCTGTAGCCAGCGGGGCGAGTGCCTCTGTGGTCAGTGTGTCTGCCACAGCAGTGACTTTGGCAAGATCACGGGCAAGTACTGCGAGTGTGATGACTTCTCCTGTGTTCGCTACAAGGGGGAGATGTGCTCAGGTGAGTACTGCAAAGCCCCCTGTCCTGGAACCCACACCCCCTCACACACCTGCAGCCTCTGGAAACAGGTGAGGGCCTGAATGGGCCTTTGTGGGCAGAGGTGTGAGTCAGCGGTTCCCAATCTTTTTAAGTATAAGGACCAATCCCCTTTTCAGGTTTAAAAAAATTACTGATAGATGATAATTAAATTTATATTATTTATAGACTTATAAAACACATGTCAGAGTATGTAGTAAGGCTAGTAATAATTTTACATGAGTTTATCTTTTTATCACAAGAGACCTGGAAAATAGAGTAGGGGAGAGTGAGAGATCAGAGATACACACAGAAGAAATCATACAAACAACAACCATTTGGACTGGGGGTGAGGGAGGAGTTTCACTTTGTTTTACTATTTGGCGAGTACCAAAGGAAATGGGTAAGTTTGAAGTGGGAGACCCATGGGAAGAAGGTTGGGGACTGAGAAAGAGAGGGTGGTCCGAGGAGAGGACTACGATGGCCCGTGGGGGCACCACCAGTCTTCCTCCATGGCCTGATGGTTCCTGGTCTGGTGTGAGGCACTGTGGGAGGATCCCAGCCAGGGCATGTTTCCTTTGGTTGCTGCCCCACGAAAGCCACAAAACAAAGCTGACTTTCTGACTGGGTCAGAAGCCCCAGTTCCTGCCTCTCACCATGCAAGAACAGCTTATCCTCAGTACATTCCAGTCTGATCCATGAGAGAACCACAAGATGTCTTGCTAGGGTGTCAGGTGCCCACCTAGCCTCAGATCTAGACCCCGCGGTGCCATCATCACTTCCTCCAGTGACAGATACTCAGGGGCACACATCATTGAGCACCTGCTCTGTGCCATCATTTGGTCCATATGAGTGAACCAGGGGTCATGCATGATCCCTGACCTCTCCGAGCTTCCAGCCCTGCTCACCATTGGCTCTTGCCAGAGCTGCTGGCTCTATGGTCCATTCTTTGCCACAAGCAGGGGCTCAGGAGGCAGATGTGCTGTGACTTGGCCATTTCCCTAGCCCCTGGCCTGTAAGCATGGCGCCTGGTTTCCTGGCCATCCCCCTTGTCCCCTCCCTACTTTGGGCCTGGTTTTCATGGTTGTTTGTTATCAACATTCCTGCCTCAAACATCAAGGAGTGCGTCATCCTCAAGGGAGTTTTCTGCTTGCCACATCCACAGCCGCAGATCTGTCAGGTACCGTCTGTGAGCCAGATTCTGTGCTGTTGTGGAGTAGGATAGAGAGGCATGAATGAGACAGTTAACCACAGATAATTCCCAACATCAGACTGAATCTGACAGATCCTGGAAGTGTGGGGTGCTCAGGGAGTGTAATGGGAGTCCTCTGGAGCAAGACTGACTGGGGACAAGGGAGGCCTGGGTGGCTTCATGAAGGAAGTAGGATGTCTGATGGATCTCAGGAAGGGCAGGCTCAGGACAGAGAGGAGTGGAACGACCATCAGCTCAGAAGGTCTAGCTGTATGGGGAGAGGGCTCTTGTTCCCAAAGACCTTAAGCACCTGTTCCTTCCTCGCTCTTCCAGCTTCCCTCCCTTTCTCCTCTTCCACTCTTTCATTTCTTACTCCACTCCTCTGACTTTCCTACGAACCCAGGCTCAGCCTCCCTTTCGCAGGAGGGGCGCCAGTCCTGTGATATTACCACACTGTAGCTTCCTTTTAAGGGCTGACCCTGCCAAGGCTTGGGGTCAGCCTGATGGCTCTGACCTGCCACTTCCACTCCCAACCTCACTCCCTGGCTGGCCCATCTTGTCAAAGATCGCTTTGTTTAGCCTCACAAAGGAAACACTATGGGACACGGGTTTCTGAGGAGGCGGAGGTCTCTGAGTGCTGCCAGGCCCCTGTGGTGTCGGTCTTTCCTATCCAGGAGCTGTGGCCAAATGCAGGGTGTAGTGAAAGGCGGAGGGGGCCTGGCTCTGCTGGCTGGTGCACTCCTCCCCCAGCTGCTGTGAGGTTGGCCAATAGCAGCTCACAGCTGCCGCTTCGGTGGAGAACTGCCCTCGGCTGACAGGAGCTGCCTTGCCCCTAGATGTTGGCCAATGACTAACGGACAAGGGGTTACTCAAGGCCAGACTCTTTGCCTCAGGATAGGCCTGGCTTTGTGGTGCCATTCGTGAGGGATCAGGCCGGAGGGCATCTGGCTGAGACCACATTCCTGCCAGCTCTGCCTCTTGCCCTGTCTTGTTTCCCTCCCTCCTCTCTACTTCCTCAGTGAGTCCCTTGAACAAGATCCTCTACCAAGCCATACTTCTAGGGAACCTAGCCTCGGGACACAGCCTTTTTGCCTTCCCCACCCTTCCACTGGCCCAATGTCACTACTTTCCAGATACACTTAGCAGCTGGGGCAGCTTGGCTTATGTTCCCCATTCTTCCTGGGAAGCAGACATCTCTTTCCATGCCCACACCATAGTGCACTGGCATGATCATAGCTCACCGCAGCCTTGAACTCCTGGGCTCAAGCAATCCTTCTGCCTTAGCCTCCCAAGTAGCTGGGAATACAGGCACTTGCCACCATGCCCAGCTAATTTTTTAAAATTTTGTAGAGGTGGGATCTCACTATGTTGCCCAGGGTGGTCTTGAACTCCTGGGCTCAAGTAATCCTTCTGCCTTAGCTTCCCAAGTAGTTAGGACTACAGGCTCTTGCCATCATGCCTGGATAATTAAAAAAAAAATTGTAGAGATAGGATCTTGCTATGTTGCCTAGCTGGTTTTGAACTCCTGGGCTCAAGTGATCTACCCATCTTGGCCTCCCAAAGTATTGAGATTACAGATGTGAGGCACCATGCCTGGCCTTTGAAGGTTTTTAAGCAGGTAAGTGGCATGATCAAATTGACTTTAAAACAGTGGTTCTCAATGGGGAGGAAGGAGCTATTTTGTCTTCCCGCTCTGCATTGGTAATGTCTGGTGATATTTTTGGTTGTTACAACTGAGAAGGTGCTACAGATATCTAGTGGTGGAGCTCAAGGATGCTGCTAAACATCCTAATATACAGGACAGCCCTCCACAACAAAAATTATCTGGCCCCAAATACCGAAAGTACCAAGGTTGAGAAACCACATTGTGCAAAGAGAATCCCGGCCACAGGGGAATTGACGATAACCTGGAGAAGGAGAGATGACTGAATTGTCCGGACACAGGACCAGGCTGGGGAAGGGCACGGAAATGTCTACAGTGAGGCCCATTTGCCCTTCACTTAAATAGTTCAGTTCATTTGACTCCTGAAATGTTCCCTCCTTGAAATTTCTCATTGAGATCAAGCCTAGTTACTGGACTTTCCATAACTTCTTTCTTACTACTTTGGTCTGGGTGACTGATTGAGACTCTCAAATAGCAAAGAACTTGGCACAAGCCTAGGCAATATAACAAGACCCCCATCTGTACAAAAACAAAAATAGTTAGCCAGGCACAGGGGAACATGCCTGTAGTCGCAGCTACTCAGGAGGCTGAGGTGAGGTAGGAAAATCACTTGAGCCCAGGAGTTTGAGGTTACTGTGAGCAATGATCACACCACTGCACTGTAGCCTGAGTGATAGGATGAGACTCTGTCTCAAAAAAAGTAAAGAAAAAGAAAAAGAACGTGGCACAGTGCTCGACACACATTAAATGCCTCCTTGGTTGGTTTGGAAAATAGATACACATTCTCTTCTCTAAATGCTTTCCAAGTCTGTTCCACTCTACTCCCAGATACATGATGAGACTCCCAGATATGATATGATGAGGTCAGATTGAGAAGAGAACCAGGACAAGACAGGTTGTATTGGTGAACTTGAACTGCACCTGTAACTTTAAAAAACTTAATGAATTAATTGAAAATGTTTGATGGTGGCCGGGTGCGGTGGCTCAACGCCTGTAATCCCAGCACTTTGGGAGGCCGAGGCGGGTGGATCACAAGGTCAAGAGATCGAGACCATCCCGGTCAACATAGTGAAACCCCGTCTCTACTAAAAATACAAAAAATTAGCTGGGCATGGTGGCGCGTGCCTGTAATCCCAGCTACTCAGGAGGCTGAGACAGGAGAATTGCCTGAACCCAGGAGGCGGAGGTTGCAGTGAGCCGAGATCGCGCCATCGCACTCCAGCCTGGGTAACAAGAGCAAAACTGTCTCAAAAAAAAAAAAAAAAAAAAAAAAAGTTTGATGGTGGTAAACGTTTCTGCAACTGTTGAGTGCAGAGGCAGGAACCAGGACAAGTCAACAGTGGCATGGTGGAGGCCATCAGGCTACATGAAGCCATTACTAGCGATTGTCTCTACTGCTGTTCACCTTAGGAAAATCTCTCTTTTATTCATTTAATTTCTTTTATTTTCTGACTTCTTTTCTCTGTGGCATTCATGGGATTTGTTTAACTGCGCTGGCCCTCGGCAGTCTGGGAGGTAGGGTATATTTGTTCTCTGTGCTTATTTGGATCTGTTGGCCAACTCCATGGGTTCTCGGTGCTGTCCCTCTGCCCCTTGGATGCCCCGCCCCATCTACCCAGGCATTCAGGGTGCTCTGTCTGCACCTTCCCTCTCTGCATTTGGAGTAGCCCCGTACCCTGGATATCTCCTTTCCTTCTTTCCTTATGTTACAATTTTCCTGTCTTGTGCATGCACCCTCAGAGCCCTGCTTCTCACCCTGCGACACCCAGCTGCTTTGAGAAATGGGATAATGGAAGTGGTGGCTGCTTTGTTAGTGGGATGGGACCTGCTCTTCCGAACTGTACCCTATGTTGTTGTCTAACCCTACTAGGTGGCCAGGATGACAATGGTAGGTCTCTCAGATCAGGTAGGAGAGGCGAACAGCCCTGTGTGAGGTCAAAGGGAGAGAGTTTTGGGGACTGGGAGGCCTTTTGCCATCATCAGGTCACACTGTCAAGGCTATTGAGTGCCCTGTGTAGGCTCAGGGCCGTGGCTTTGTGCTGTGTCAGCCCTCAGGGCTAAAGAACTTGCTTCTAGTCCTTAGACTAGAAGGAACTAAGTCTCCTACCCTTTCTCTTGCCTTTCTCATAAGGTGAAGGTATTCAGAATAGGGCAAGAGAGAGGGTATGAGGTCTAGGAGACTTGGTTCCTGAGAATCTCTTGCTTTACAGTGACTCTGAACAAGTTTTGCCATACCTTGGGACACTTAGAAAACTGAGTTTGTCCCCACTGGGTAGGACTTAGCTGGGTAGGACTCTGCTGGGTAGGACTCCCCTGGGTAGTGAGTCAATTTCCTGCCAACCTGGAGGATTGTTATCTGTGTGATTGGGAGAGCAGGGTGGCTGTGTGTAGCCTGCTGCTCTGGGGGTGGGGCTCCTGCCAGCTGGTCTACCCTCCTGGGCTGTGTGTTTTCAGGCCATGGCCAGTGCAGCTGTGGGGACTGCCTGTGTGACTCCGACTGGACTGGCTACTACTGCAACTGTACCACGCGCACCGACACCTGCATGTCCAGCAACGGGCTGCTGTGCAGCGGCCGCGGCAAGTGTGAATGTGGCAGCTGTGTCTGTATCCAGCCGGGCTCCTATGGGGACACCTGTGAGAAGTGCCCCACCTGCCCAGATGCCTGCACCTTTAAGAAGTGAGTGCACAGTTTGGAGAGAGCCAGGAGGCTGGGAGGTAGGAGAGAATCCCCTGACTAGAATCCCCAGCTCTCCAGGTCTGTTTCTTGCTCACCAGAGCCTTAGAGAGAGGAGTCCACTCCAGCCAGACGGCTACCTCTCCTTTTTCCACAAGGCTTTGGGTAAGTTGGAATAGAGCCGACTGTGAAGGGGCCAAAGTTGAATGAGCTGGACTTTGATTGGAGAATGTCCTCTCCTAGGGTAACATCCTGAATCCCTGGGAGTTGGGAGGAATGCTAAACCAGTCCCAGGAACGTTCCAGTGCTAATGTTCTGATTCAGTGGGAGATGTGAGGTCTGGAATTCTGGAGGACATTATATGAAACCATTACAAACCTCCTGCATTAGGGGCCAGAGGAAGCCCCGACAGCCCATGTCCATGGCACTGACATTGTGCTTACCACTTTAAGCAGGGCCAGATTTACGAGTGTGCAACCTCCACAGCTGTACAGGGCCCTGTGCCTAGAAGATCTCATGCTTGTTTCAATGCTCTGCCATCACTGTCTTGATATTCTTAGTGATCTTTGTACAAGGGACCTGACATTTTCATTTAGCACTGGGCCCCCAAATGACATGACTGGTTCTGACTTTATAGTTCTCAGAGGTGGCATAGGACTCACTAACCTGGCACAGCCCTGGATGGGATTGGAAGTTTAATGAAGGACCTGGGAGGCCTATGGCTGCCAGGTGCTGCCTATGCGTGAGGGGGACACTACCACCCCTGAACTCCACACTTGCCATTCAGGTCCCCAGGATTGTCTTGTGTGTATGTGTGTGTGTGTGTGTGTGTGTGCGCGTGTGTGTGTGTGTTTTACTGGAGGTGAAGCAGCTTTCTGAACGCATGTAGGTCGGAGCTGGACTGGGACACACTTAGGCTTGCTCCTCCTTTGCGTTAATCACTGTGTCCTCTCTCCTTCAGAGAATGTGTGGAGTGTAAGAAGTTTGACCGGGGAGCATTACATAAGAAAAATACCTGCAACCGTTACTGCCGTGATGAAATCGAGTCAGTGAAAGAGCTTAGTAAGTTCAGCACATCTGGAGTTGCACACACTCAGATTCTAAATGTTTCTGATTCAATCCCAGAACCTATCCAATGCCCATCTGTAAAATGGAAGAGTGACTCATACCTCAGGGAATGCTGTGCAGGCTTGATGCACAGTGGACACTTGATGTGAGCTGGTGTCTCTGAGAGTCAGCCTACTCTCTTCCTAATGTGTACAGTTACCCATGACTTCTGCTTCCCAGAGCCCACAGACTCAGCAAGAGCCTGCAGAGGAAAGGGAGCAAGTGCCTTCCTAAGGAAGGGAAGGGAATGTAAACCATTTTACAGATGAAAAAACTGAGGCACAGAGCTGGGAAGGGGTTGCCTGTGATGGTCATCATCTTAGCTTGGTAGGCGAGTAAGCGTTTACCAAGTTTACTTATAAAAGTGTTATGCAGTGCCGAGGATTTTGCTTAAAGCTTTGCAGGTTTGGAGGGAAACCTTCAACCTTATGGATAGGTAACCAAAATCTTAATCTGAAGCCCTTCTGCCCTCCTTTTGAAATAAGTCAGACAGAAATACAAACAGTGGGGAGAAAAATAAATCTTGCCTGAAATTATTCTTGAAGTGTTCTCTGTACTTCTTGACTTAAAAGGAGATGATCTTTGCTGCTGTCGTCACATCTGATATGGGTCAGTGAGGCACTAGGTAGTACTAGGGAGATGGCAATCTCTCCACAGATAGCCATCTTCCATGAAGGTAGAAACGCATTTCAGAGAGAGCCATCTGGTGGGGGTGTTAGGGAGAAGAGTCCAATCTCTAGGCCTTTGGCTAATATCAAAAGTAGGGCTGGGGTGAGGTTAGTGATTTGGGACTTGATTTGGGGATCCAGTTTTTCCTCTGGAGGAGATTAAGCTTGCTACGGTTTTCTCAGAGAGGAGAGGCTGCTGAGATGTTGAGTTATTTTTATCATCTAGACTAGGTGGTTATTACAAGTTAATTGGTAAGTAGTTCTCTACCTCCACCTTCCCTGTACCAGTGGTATTATCGTATGGGGAAAAAGAGTATGGAAATAAGCATATTAAAATAAATGCTTATTTGTATGGAATTTCGTAACTTGTAAAAGTTATAAAGTATCTTTCACATACATTATCTTATTCTGTCAACAGCCTAGTGAAGTAGAACTACAGTACTATTATTATCTTCATTTTGAGTCTCAGGAAAGTTAAGTAACTGGCCCAGGCAAGGGTATGGCAAATTAAGATGAGAACTGGATCCTGAACTCCATACTCTTTCCCCTGTATTATAATTCCGCTGGTTTTCTGAAGGATTGTTGAGTTCAGGTCTGCAGTATGTGTTTTCAGACTCCTCGTTCTGCATCATCACCAATTTGCTGTGTGACCTGGGTACCTTTGCTTAATTTCAGCATGTATCGGTTTCACTCACCTGGTTTCATCAGTGTGGGGCATAGTGCAGCTGGTGCAGGGTAACCCCTAGTGTCATGGCAGAATAACAGGTTTTAGAATTGGAAGAGATGAAGTCTACAAAAGATGGCGAGAGTCAGAGAAGAGAGGATAGCTCTGGGGAAGAATATTGGATCAGAAACAGAAATGGAAAAAATAGAACAGCTGCATAAGCAAATGATTGAGACTTACTAAGCAAACAGACAGGAAAGAGAGGGAAGTGTACACTATTTGTTAGGCACTCTTTATGCTGTTTAGTTCACTGAACTTGTGAGGTGGGGTATCATTTTCTTTTTATAGATGAAGAAAGACTTGATGAGGTCAGGTAACTCACTCAAGATCACACAACAGGTAGGTAGTGAAACCAGAATTTGAATTAAATTGTGTAATATGTTATATTATGTCTCTTTCAGAGGAAGGATTCAGAACCAAAAAGGGCCCTTTTTGCAGTACAAAATACATCAGTGGGGGTCAGTAACTGGCAACTGCCAGACACAACATTCATCTTGAATCTAGGCATTGTGCACAGGAGGCACAGGGTTTCCTGTCACATGCTTTTCCAGAAGTCCTGTGATAGGGGTTTGGAGTGGCCCCATCTTCCAGTAATTGACTCACTTTTTATTCCTCCATTTTCCCGACTCCCAGAGGACACTGGCAAAGATGCAGTGAATTGTACCTATAAGAACGAGGATGACTGTGTTGTCAGATTCCAGTACTATGAAGACTCCAGTGGAAAGTCCATCCTGTATGTGGTAGAAGAGCCAGGTGAGTGAACCCTGAGGGTTCCTGACCCTGCCCCAGGAGGGAGAGGGAGAACCATATTAGGCAGGAATTTCTACTCATTGAGCCTCTTAAACAAAACACTTAAGCCTGCAAGTGATAAGTTAGGGGCCACGTGTGGTAGCTCATGCCTGTAATCCCAGCAGTTTGGGAGGCCGAGGTGGGTGGATCACCTGAGGTCAGGAGTTCGAGACCAGCCTGGCCAACGTGGCGTCTCTACTAAAAATACAAAAAGGTTATTTGGATGTGGTGGCACGTGCCTGTAATTCCAGCTCCGCAGGAGGCTGAGGCAGGAGACTCACTTGAACCTGGGAGGTGGAGGTTGCAGTGAGCTGAGATCATGCCACTGCACTCCAACCTGGCTGATGGGTTGAGACTCCATCTCAAACAAACAAACAAACAAATGATACATTAGGTACTGTCATCTGGGTGAAGGGTATTTATAAACACAAATATTATCAAGAAAGTGACTTGTTAATTGAGGAGGCAGAAAAACCAGAAAGCAGGTAAAGAGAAGAAGATTGATATGGGTCTCATCAGTGGACAAAATATATCAGTGCATTTTTTTTTGAGGCAATGATGTCAGGAAGCAAATAATTTAAATTTTAGGACATTACAGTACACAATATCTGCACTACTAAAAGTGAGATGGTTGACTGTACTTCAAAGGAGGGCCTGATGGTTGGAGGTGTTGACCTTTCCAGGTTTACTGCAGGATGTAGGGATGGGTTTGAGGCACTAATGCAAAGCTGCCCTGAACACTGAAAGGACAGTGCCTTCTGGAAGCAGGAGGAGTCCATCCCATCATAACACACCAGCCACAGGCTTGTCACCATCCAATGCTATCGATTACTTCCTTCCCTTTAACACCTTTATGGCCTTTGTTCGCCTTAAACAACAGATTAAGATGAGTTATTGGAAAATATTTTTGGGTATTTACTGCCATTACACCCCTTCCTCCACATTAGGAGAATGGAGCCCTGATCCATAGACCCACATTTCTGATTTTTTTTTTTTTTTTTTTTTGAGATAGGGTCTCGTTTTGTCACCCAGGTTGGAGTGCAGTGGTGTGACCTTGGCTCACTGCAACTCACCTTTTGGGCTCACACAATTTTCCCATTTCAGCCTCTCTGGGACTACAGGCATACACCACCACACCTGGCTACTTTTTAATTTTTATTTTTTGTAGAGATGAAGTCTCACTATGTTTCCTAGGCTAGTCTGAAACTCCTAGGCTGAAGTGATCACCCCCTCCTCCACCTCCGCCACCCTGCCCCACCTCATCCCCACAGTGCTGGGATTACAGGTGTGAGTCATTGTGCCCAGCCAACATTTCCTATGTTGTTGCCCTGGAAATCTAGGCTCTGCCTCCCCACTCATCTCCCAACTCTAATCATTTCCTGGCTTGGAGTAGAATGTTGCAGCTGGGGTCTCAGACAATGGCGGGGAATCATTCTTTTTTCTTCCCCAACTTACGCTCTTGCAGATGCTCTCCTTGAAGGGCTGAGCTACCATAGGGCAGTAAAGACAGCATTGCCCAAAGTTTTGGCATTGGCCAAGTGGAGTTTAATCACATGGAGTGGGCTCCTGAGCTGGGCTCTTAACATTCCCAGATGTGGTTGCCAAATAAAAAACACTATGTCCTATGCAATATTTAGTACACGCTTATAGTAAAAAATAATCATTTATCTGAAATTCTAATTTGTCTTGCCTTCCTGCTTTTTTTTTGAGACAGAGTCTTGCTCTGTCACCCAGGCTGGATTACAGTGGTGCAATGTTGGCTCACTGCAATCTCTGCCTTCTGGGTTCAAGCAGTTTTCATGCCTCAGTCTTCTAAGTAGCTGGGATTAGAGGTGCCTACCACCACACCTGGCTAATTTTTATCTTTTTAAGTAGAGACTGGGTTTCACCATGTTGGCCAGGCTGGTCTTAAACTTCTGATTTCAAGTGATCTGCCTACCTTGGCCTCCCAGAGTGTTGGGATTCCAGGTGTGAGCCACTGCACCTGGCCAAGAGTCCTGTATTTTTGTTTGCTGAATCTGCCAACCCTACTCAGAATTCTCTGACCTTAGGTCATTTGTCATTGGTCTACTGCTGTGGCTGGAAGGACCCTCCAGAGGTTAACTGATCTTGCCTTCTGCGTCCAGGAGGCCCACCCCAAACTCCTCTCCAGATACATGGTTAACAGATTTTCACCTGAAGACCTTCTGGCACCCTACCTGTCCCGCCCATACTAATGTGCAGAATTGAAGAGATTTTACTTTGAGAATTGAGGGTCAGCCCTATCCAAGTCTTCCAGAGAATCCATAATTGTTTTTCCCAGAAGAACTGGGGCTCTTCACTCCTGGGAACTTGGACACTGGAACCTCACAGTCTCTCTCCAGGCATTCATTTAATTACAGACATGTTGTAATTTGGCAGATTGGGAGACAGCCAGCTTGGGTTGTGGTGGTGGTTGTTTTTGTGTTGTGTGTGGTGAGCATTGGGTGTATGTTTAGAGAAGAAGGTGGGAGACAGTGTGGAAAGTGGGTGTGACTTCCTCTCCAGGCTCATCAGCACCCTCATATATAAACACCTGGTTTCATAACACTTGAGGTTACTGGAGTAAGATCACCTATTAGATACCTGACATTTATGGGAAGTAGACGTCTGCAGACTATGCTCAGCTTGACCCCCAGAGGGGTGACATGCCTGTTAGTTGTTGACTGGGGTTGAACAGGAAGTCAGCTTCCAATAGGGTTATGATTTTAGATGACTAATATTTTGGGAAAGAACTCAAAATATTGTCTCGGCTGGCAGATCCTGGTCTCTAAGAATGCAAAAAATGTCATTAGGTTCATAGCCCTCAGGAATGTAAATATATGAACCAGGGTAACCGACACAAATACTTGCAGGGGCTAAGGAAGCAAATAAGTTAGTGAAAACAGCTGGGTATGAGAAGATCATTTACAATGGTAGCTGATATTTACTGAACACTAATTCTGTGCCAGGCATTGTTCTGAGTTTTATGATATATTTAATTTAATTATTCCTCATAACAAATTTCTTTTGAAGTCAGTGCTATTACTATCTTCATTTTAAAGATAGAGAAACAGGAAACAGACATTCAGAAAGGTTAAGTAATTTTCCAAATATCATGTAGCAGAGTTAAATCACAAGTCAGGATTCAAACCCAGGGAGTCTCGCTCTAATGTCCACAGGAGCACGGACACACCAAGTCACACTGCCTTCCTTTAGGATAGAGAAGGGAGAGTGGTGGGGATTCTGGTGAACTAGAAAACATGCCTTCTAACTAAAAGGAGCAGCTCCTCTTCAGCTCTAGCTAGCTGCTGCCCTGCAGGAATATAGGTAACCAATGTTTCTAGCTCCTTCCTTCCTTCCTTCCTTCCTTCCTTCCTTCCTTCCTTTCTTTCTTTCTTTCCTTCCTTTCTTTCTTTCTTTCTTTCTTTCTTTCTTTCTTTCTTTCTTTCTTTCTTTCTTTCTTTCTTTCTTTCCTTTTCTTTCTTTCTCTTTCTTTTCTCTCTTTCTCTCTTTTTTTTTTCTCTCTCTCCACCTTCCCCTCTCTCTATTTCTCCCTTCCTCCCCCTGCCTTCTTCCTTCTGTTTTTTGAGATAGGATCTCCCTCTGTCATCCAGGCTGGAGAGCAGTGGCATGAACTCCCAGGCCTTGACCTCCCAGGCTCAAATGACCTCAGCCTCCTGAGTAGCTGGGATTACAGGCATATGCCACCATGTGTGGCTAATTAAAAAAAAATTGTAGCAACAGGGTCTCACTGTGTTGCCCTGTCTGGTCTTGACCTTCTGGACTTAAGTTATCCTCCTGCCTTAGCCTCCCAAATGCTGGCATTATAGGCATGAGCCACTGTGCCTGGCCTGGCCTTTCTTTTTAAAGAGAATAATATAAAATTTTAGGGGGAGAATCTCCTGATTATTCAATATTGCCAATAAAATCAATTTTTATTTTTTATTTCTTTTTTTGAGATGGAGTTTTACTCTGTTACCCATGCTAGAGTGCAATGGCATGATCTTGGCTCACTGCAACCTCCACCTCCCAAGTCCAAGCGATTCTTGTGCCTCAGCCTCCCAGGTAGCTGGGATTATAGGTGTATGCCACCACACCCAGCTAATTTTTGTAGTTTTAGTAGAGACAGAGTTTTACCATGTTGGCCAGGCTGGTCTTAAACTCCTGACCTCAGGTGCTCTGCCCACCTTGGCCTCCCAAAGTGCTGGGATTATAGGTGTGAGACACTGCACCCAGCCAAATTTTTATTTTTTGATTTTTAAAAAACGTTTCTTTAGCTATAGAGGTACATGTACGGGTTTGTTCTGTAGATAAATTGTGAGTCATGGGGTCTGGCGTACATATTATTTCATCACCCAGGTAATAACATAGTACCTGATAGGTAGTTTTTTGATCCTCACCCTCCTCCCACCCTCTACCTTCAAGCAGGTCCCAGTGTCTGTTGTTCCCTTCTTTGTGTCTAATTTTTAAAATAAACACTTGGGTGAAGCCCCACACAGAGGTATGGCTGGGTTCTGTCTAGGGGTTACCAGTTCTAGGCTTCTGATTTGAGCCACTCAGGACAGATTATTGCTGTTCTAAAGATTGTCCCCTTAAAAAATTAATTTTTGAAAACTGTCCTGTTTTCTTCAAGGACCTTAATTACTTTGTCAAGAACACTTTATTCACAGCCAGTTAAGTGATTTCTGCTTCCTTCACAACCACCCTGCTCTGTGCTTCTTCCTGACAGAGTGTCCCAAGGGCCCTGACATCCTAGTTGTCCTGCTGTCAGTGATGGGGGCCATTCTGCTCATCGGCCTTGCTGCTCTGCTCATCTGGAAGCTCCTCATCACTATCCACGACCGAAAAGAGTTTGCTAAATTTGAGGAAGAACGCGCCAGGGCAAAATGGGACACAGTAAGAGGCTGGGCTGGGCGTCTTCTAAAAAGTCATTGGTCTGAGACCCTTCAGTGGAAGCAGCAGATGCTTTGGGTGGTCAGGTTCAGCCAGCGCCATTGTCTTCCTGTTATCCTCTGTTCTGGAAACTGGGAGAGATGTTTTCACTGTCCCCTTGTCCTTCGGCTTCCTAAAAACCACCTGATCGTCTACCATACAGTCACAGGAGCCACGTCAGGTAGTACTGACCAAACACAGACAGGACCCAGTTTTGCCCTGACCCTGAAGGAATGAGAAAGAAACATATTCTCCAACTGAGGGAGACAAGACAACCCTACACTGAGAACACATAATATATTATATGCTAATGAAGCCCAAAGCCTTAAACACAAATAGGAAAAAATATGATCACTAACATTTCCTGAGGATTTGGCATGTGCCTGGAACTGTTCTGAATGCTTTTTACGTATTAACTTATTTCATTCTCTAACAACACTACGTGGTGGTCAATATTATTATTTCCATTTTGTAGGTAAAGAAACTGAAGAGAGAAGTTAAGTACTTTGCCTGATTCTAGGAGGGAATTAGGTTACTATAGGAATCCTTTTTGGGTTTGCCTCTTAGAAATAGAGGCAGGATGTCATTCCACCTCACTCTTTTCTTTCTCCTCAAATAAATGGTTACTTCGAGGCTGGGTGTGGTAGTTCATGCCTATAATCCTAGCACTTTTGGGGGCCAAGGTGGGCGGATCACTTGAGCTCAGGAGTTCGAGACCAACCTGGGCAACATGGAAAAACTCCATCTCTATTAAAAATATAAAAATTAGCCAGGCATGGTGGTGCATGCCTATAATCCCAGCTATTCGGGAGGCTGAAGCAGGATAATCACTTGAATCTGGTAGATGGAGGTTGCAGTGAGCCAAGATCATACCATGCTCTGGATGACAGAGTAGGACTCTGTCTCAAAAAAAAAAAAAAGAAAAAAAAAAAGGTTACTTCCAAATCAGACTCTACTCTTTTATCCTTATTTTATTTAATTAAACAAGCATTTACTGAGAACATTCTGTATACTTAATCCTACTCTATTCCCTTTTGACTCTTTTTTCACATTTCAACTTTTTCCTGGACCCTCCAAATGGCCATTTGACTCCCCAAATGTCCAGGGTTAGGCTGCAAGTTTGTTCCCATTTGATGGTGATCCCAGAGCTTTGTAATCAAGGGTCCCAAGAAACTGAAATGTTTCTGTTAGAACAGTGTGGAACATCCTGTACCTATGAGGCCCACAAGAATGTGTTTTGTGCAGCTACCATTAAACCATATGAGATTTGTTACTTTCTTTTTCTTTTTCTTTTTTTTTTCTGAGACCGAGTCTTGCTTTGTCGCCAGGCTTGAGCACAATGGCACGATCTTGGCTCACTGCACCCTCCACTTCCTGGGTCCTGGTTCAAGCAATTTTCCTGCCTCAGCCTCCCAAGCAGCCAGGACCACAGGCCTGCACCACCATGCCCAGCAAATTTTTGTATTTTTAGTAGAGATGGGGTTTCACCATGTTGGTCAGTATGGCCTCGATTTCCTGACTTTGTGATCCACCCGCCTCAGCATCTTTTGGAACATAGTTTGGGAAACCTAGTGAGGGTCTTACTTTTTCCTGATCACATGATAGTTTTGTGGATAGTACTTCCCCCTCCCCTCTCCTCCCCTCCCCTCCCCTCCCCTCTCCTCCCCTCCCCTCCCCTCCCTCTCCTCCCCTCCCCTCCCCTCTCCTCCCCTCCCCTCCCCTCTCCTCCCCTCCCCTCCCCTCCCCTCTCCTCCCCTCTCCTCCCCTCCCCTCCCCTCTCCTCCCCTCCCCTCCCTCCTCCCCTCCCCTCCCCTCCCCCTCTTCCCCGCCCCTCCCCTCTCTTCCCTCCCTCCCTCTCCTCCCCTCCCCTCTCCTCCCCTCCCCTCTCCTCCCTCCCCTCCCCTCCCCCTCCCCTCTCCTCCCCTCCCTCTCCTCCCCTCCCCCTCCCTCTCCTCCCCTCCCCTCCCCTCTCCTCCCCTCCCCTCCCCTCCCTCCCCTCTCCTCCCCTCCCCTCCCCTCTCCTCCCCTCCCCTCTCCTCCCCTCCCCTCTCCTCCCCTCCCCTCCTCCTCCCCTCCCCTGCCCTCCCCTCCCCCTCTCCTCCCCTTCCCTCTCCTCCCCTCCCCTGCCCTCCCCTCTCCTCCCCTCCCCTCCCCCTCTCCTCCCCTCCCCTCCCCTCTCCTCCCCTCCCCTCTCCTTTCCTCTTCTCCCTTCCTTTACTTTCCCTTCTCTCCTTCCTTCTTTTTTTGAAACAGGGTCTCACTCTGTCACCCAGGTTGGAATGCAGTGGTGCCATCACGGCTCGCTGCAGCCTTGATATCCTGGGCTCAAGTGATCCTCCTACCTCACCCTTCTGAGTAGCCAGGACTGTAGGCACACACCACCACAGCCAGCTAATTTTTGTATTTTCTTTCTGTTATAGAGAAAGGGTCTCACTCTGCTACCCAGGCTGATCTTGAACTCCTGGGCTCAAGCGATCTTCCTACTTTGGCCACTCAAAGTGCTGGGATTACAGGCATAAGCCACCATGCCTTGCCATGGTTAGTGCTTGGCAGGATTAGATGAAAACAAATTAAGAATTATTTGAGCAAAAGCTGTCCTCTGTGTTCTGAACTCCACCTGCTACATTTCTGTCCCTTGTCTACATCTCCCATCACTGCCACAGGGAATGGAAAAGGGGAAAAGGGCAAAATAGAGGGGGACACGGGGTGAAATAGGAGAGGTTCTGTCCTCCAATGCTGTGGGATCACTGAAGAGTGATAGGCTGAATTTAGCTCCTTAGAAATAGTAACGGGGAACAGGTGTGGTGGCTCACACCTGTAATCCCAGCACTTTGGGAGGCTGAGGCAGGTGGTTCGCTTGAGCTTAGGAGTTTGAGACCAGCCTGGGCAACATGACAAAACCCTTTCCTACCCCATCTATACAAAAAATGCAAAATTATTCAGGCATGGTGATGTGTGCCTGTAGTCCCAGCTACTTGGGAGGCTGAGGTGGGAGGATGTCTTGAGCCCACGAGGTGGAGGTTGCAGTGAGCTGAGATTGTGCCACTGCACTCCAGCCTGGGCAAAAGAATGAGACCCTGTCTAAAAAGTAAGTAAGTAAGTAAATAAATAAATAAATAAATAAATAAATAAGAAATAAGAAACAGTGGCAGGATGGCATTCTACCTCATCTCCTCCTATGATTTCCTATCAATTTCCATGCCAAGAACTAAAGTGTGAGTAAAATGAACATTTTTCTGTTTCATTAATGGTGTATTCCAGAAAAGGGTGACTTGGAAAAACTCAGATGAATTTTAAACATTTAGGGTAGGGAAGGACTGAGGAATTCACTGTAAGATGCTTTTCTGTTTCCTCCACAGGCCAACAACCCACTGTATAAAGAGGCCACATCTACCTTCACCAATATCACCTACCGGGGCACTTAATGATAAGCAGTCGTCTTCAGATCATTATCAGCCTGTGCCAGGATTGCAGGAGTCTCTGCCATCATGTTTACAGAGGACAGTATTTGTGGGGAGGGATTTAGGGCTCAGAGAGTGGTGGGTTGGGAGAATGTTGGTATGTGGAAGTATGGGTCTGTGTGTGTGGGGTGGGGAGTGTGTGTGTTGCATGTGGGAGTGTGTAATTTAAAATTGTGATATGTTCTGATAAGCCGAGCTCCTTAGCCTTTGTCCCCAGGATGCTTCCTGCAGGAATTCTTCCTGCTTAGCTTGAGGGTGACTATGGAGCTGAGCAGGTATTTGTCATTACCTCAGTGAGGAGCCAGCTTTCCTCATCAGGCCATTGTCCCTGAAGAGAAGGGCAGGGCTGAGGCCTCTAATTCCAGAGGAAGGGACACCAAGCCTTGGCTCTACCCTGAGTTCATAAGTTTATGGTTCTCAGGCCTGACTCTCAGCAGCTATGGTAGGAACTGCTGGGCTTGGCAGCCCAGGTCATCTGTACCTCTGCCCCCTTTCCCCTCCCTCAGGCTGAAGGAGGAGTTGGGGAGAGCTGCCTGTGCCTTTCACCAGCCCCTCAATCCAGCTATGGTTTTATTGCAAGGGAAGTCCTTGCAACCTAGTTCTTTGACCTGTTGGGAGTGAGGATGGCAGGGCCATTCAGGGGTCATTCATGGCCCAGGGGATGCATCAGCATCTTCTAGTTCATAATCACAACCCTCCAGATTTGCCCTATTGGCAGCTCTACCCTGGAGGTTTGTTTATAAGAAGTGTATCACCCTTACACCAGCACCATCTCTTTACCTCCTAATTCCACACGTCACTGCTGTAGACATTTGCTATGAGCTGGGGATGTCTCTCATGACCAAATGCTTTTCCTCTAAGGAAGAGAGTGCTGTTGTAGAGCCAGGAGTCTGGCCCTACTCTTCTGGCCTTTTTTCCCTCGTCCATGGCACCTCTACATACCCAGCCCTGTGCCTTTGTGTGCTGTATCCATCCATGGGGCTGATTGCATTTTCCTACTACCTCTTGGCTGCCTTGTGAAGAAATTATTCCCATGTATTGGCTGGGAATAAGTGCCAGGATGGAATGATGGGCCAGTTGTATCAGCATGTGTGGCCTGCTCTTCTACGAGCTGGACAACCTCATTTTAACTCAGTCTTTAATCTGAGGGGCCACAGTGCAATTTTGTTTTATTTTTCTCATGATGAGGTTTTCTTAACTTAAAGGAACATGTATATAAACCTGCTTGCATTATATTTGTAAGTGTATGCGATGGCAAAGAAGGAGAGCATAGGAAACCACAGAGACTTGGGCAGGGTACAGACACTCTCACTTGGTATTGTTCACCGAAAGTCACTGCCCAGGGGCTGGATCTGTGAGGGGCTCTCTCATGCTGGAAGGCTATGGGGATGCATGGATGGGCACACTAGACCTTTCCTGAGAGAGAGGGACTGTTCTTTTGTTCCAGAAGAGCAGTGGCTCCATTGGTGTTGACATACATCCAACATTAAAAGCCACTCCCAAACACCCAAGAAAAAAAGAAAGACTTAATAAGTTGTTCTATGAGCAGAAAACTGGAGTTCTGGCCTCAGTGTTGCAGCTAAATAATCTTTGACTCTAATTAAGGCAAGTCACTTTCTTCACCTTAAGGCTCAGTTTTCTAGTCTGAGAAATGATGGGTTTTGAGCAGCCAGTCTTGAAGGCCTCTTTCAGTGTCAACATTCTAAGATGCTGGGACTTACTGTGGCATCAAATGTGTGGTCAAGATTCTGTGGGATATTGATACTGTTTGTGCTTTTGATTGGGAGATCTGAGAGACCGGGCTTTGGCAAGAGCAGATGTCATTCCATATCACCTTTCTCAATGAGAGTCTCATTCTATCCTCTCTCCAAACCCCTTTTCCAACATTTGTTAATAGTTACATCTCTCCTGATGTAGCACTTAAGCGTCATTTGGTTACTACTTCTTCCTTCACTTTGCATACATTTGCATCCCCATATTAGGGAAGAGGAATTCATAAGTAGCTGAAGTATCTATTCTGTATTCTTGTGTTAACATTGAGAATAAGCCTTGGAATTAGATACCGGGCCATGACTGAGCCCTGTCTCACCCACGGATTACTCCTTACTGTAGGGAAAGGGAATGTGGTGGAGGGGTAAATAGGGGACGGGGAGGGATAGTCATGGAACCCAGGAGTCTGGAACCTAATTATAATCTTCAGCTATTAAGACAGATCCATGAGAGTGTTAATGGGACATTTTCTTTAGATAAGATGTTTTATATGAAGAAGCTATATTGAAGGGGGAAGAAAATGTATTTAAAGGGTAAGTCAAATCAGTCATCTTCTCTGAGCTACTGGAATGAAGTTCACAGGTCTCGAAGACCAGTACTATTTGTCAATATGTGAGGCTAACCTGTAGCTGCTTTCATGAGGTAGCAAATAGCAGTTTTGGCTTGTTGGGTGAACAGCTAAACAGGGTTCTGACATGATATCACAGTACAAAGGGATTGTGTCTAGCTTTTTTGGAGAAAATTTATGTCTAGTCTTAGGATCTGTGGAAATGATGGGAAACTTGGAATATTCCTGACAAGTTGTCATATTAGGAGTCAGTTCTTTACTTCTCAGATACTCCTAGGTCATCCATGATTTGTTTTTTTGAGAAGAAGCCTCACTCTTGTCACCCAGGCTGGAAGGCACTGATGCAATCTTGGCTCACTGCAGCCTCTGTCTCCTGTGACTAACTTGAACCACAGGGTTCAAGTGATTCTCCTGCCTTAGCTTCCCAGGTACTGGGACTACAGGTGCCTGCCACCACGCCTGGCTAATTTTTGTATTTTTAATAGAGATGGGGTTTTACCATGTTGGCCAGGCTGGTCTTGAACTCCTGACCTCAGGCGATCCACCTGCCTCAGCCTCCCAAAGTGCTGGGATTACAGGCATGAGCCATCTAGACTGGCCAGTCATCCATGATTTTAATGTGGGGGTCCAAAGCCTCTTTTTTTTTGTTAAGTATTCCGGGTTGAAATTTCTTAAGCACCTTCCTGACTTCCTAACCACCTTCTCTGTTTGGGTTTGTGCAACAGTGAATTAAATGTACTTTCTAAAAAGAATCGGCCTATGACTGCCCAGTGCTTCCTGTGTTGTTATTTCTGTTTTCTTTGGGTGAAAGAATAAGTGTCATTGACTCAGAAATGATTATTTTAGAATAGGCATGTTCCCAAATGTAGCAGAATGATGACTACTATGGGTACTGAAGCTAGCTTCAGAATCCAGAGCGTCTCTTTCCTTTTTTTTTTTTTTTTTGCAATGGAGTCTTGCTCTGTTTCCCAGGCTGGAGTGAAGTGGCATGATCTTGGCTCACTGCAACCTCTGCCTCTTGGGCTCAAGTGATTCTCCTGCCTCAGCCTCCTGAGTTGCTGGAATTACAGGCGCCCACCACCATGCCCCACAAGTTTTTGTATTTTTATTTATTTATTTATTTTTGAGATGGAGTCTTACTCTGTCACCCAGGCTGCAGTGGTGTGATCTCTGCTCACTGCAACATCCACCTTTCAGATTCAAGTGACTATCCTGCCTTAGCCTCCCGCGTAGCTGGGATTACAGGCATGCACCATCATACCTGGCTAACTTTTTGTATTTTTAGTAGAGATGGGGTTTCACCATGTTGGCCAGGCTGGTCACAAACTGACCTCAAGTGATCCCCCAGCCTTGGCCTCTTAAAGTGCTAGGATTACAGGTGTGAGCCGCTGGGCCTGGCCCTCTTAAGATTTAATATTTTTAAAATGAGTAGGTTATTATTATTCTGTTTGAATTTTCTTAAAAATTGGGTATTATTTAGGAACTTGCACAATCTCAAAAGTACAGACTGCCCATGTACCCTAGGTCTTGTTTGTAGGAAGCATAAATGGATAAAATAAGAGCTTAATGGCAAATTATTGACAGGACCATTTAAATGGACAAATTTTGTTTAAGGCAGTGGGTGTCAAAGTGTGGTTCCAATACCAGCAACATCAATATCAGCTGGAAACTTGTTAGAAATGAAAATTGACAGGCCCCACCCCACAACTACTGAATCAGAAAATCTGGGAGTGGGGACCCACTATCTGTTTTAAGAAGACTTCTTGGTGATTCTTATTCATGCTCAAGTTTAAGAACAACTGATTTAAGGACTCACATATGTAGCCTTCTTGCCTAGCAAGAACTTTATAATAAGACAGCTCAGTTACTATATACAGTTAATAACAAATTCGGAAGATGAATAACATATTCAGAAGATGAAATATCCACTCACACAAAACAAAAATCTACTTTGACCCATTTTCTAGGTTAAGTGATCTTGGGCATCTTGGTTTCACGCATGACCACAGATTCCCATGAAAAACCAAAATAATAGGTCAAAATCCTAGGAAAAACCAGACAAGATACTTTTTATGTGTGCCAAGATGCAAGCAAGAAAATATTCTTACAGAATTTATTCACAGGAGATGGGATCAAAGTCCTAATTATTAACATGTTCATCCTATAGGATGCTAGAATAATAATTAGATTTTGTTACTTTACTTTTTTTAATTTAAAATTTATTGAGCACCAACTGTGTGAGACTGAAGTACTTTACAGAACAGTGATAACATAACCTTTGTCTTTGAGTCCCTTTTTTTTTTTTTTTTCAGACATGGTCTCATTTTGTTGCCGGAGTGCAGTGGCATCATCATGGGCACTGCAGCCTTGACCTCCCAAGCTCAAGCAATTCTCCTGCCTTAGCCTCCCGAAGTGTAGGGACTGCAGGCACATGCCACCACACTTGGCTAATTAAAAACATTTTTCTTTTTAGAGGTGAGGTCTCACTATATTGCCCAGGCTGGTCTTGAACTTCTGGGCTCAAGCAGTCCTTCCACCTCAACCTCACAAAGTGCTGGAATTACAAGCGTGAGCTACTATGCCTGGCCTGAGTCTGAAATTCCTTGCATAATGTACATTTTCTTCAGCACAATACAATGCATGACATCATTAAGAGCTTACATGAACATAGACTGAGACCTTTTATGGTGAAATATTTTGAGAGTCACTGTTTTATTTATGTCTTGTTAACTGCTGACTAAATGTCTGGATGAAAATAGAGGATCTTAGGTAAAATGAGATCAAAAACTATATGTCAAGCCACATTTGTAATCTAACTCTTGCCTTCTGTAGTCCAGACTCTACAGTAACAGAGCCATCTAATGATCACTGGGACCAATTACAAGCAGATTGCCTGGGAATTACAGTGTACTTACTTTTCACAATGATATAATGGAACCATAATGTATGCTCTGCAAATAAGCCATTTAAAAATCATTTCTATTTGGTTTTATAATACAACATACTTATGGAAGTATATATTCCTAATTTGTTTTAGTTTGATTAAAACATGCAAGGAGGCAGTCTTAGAAGCTTGTGATTAGGATTAAGTATATAATTACATGAAAATTAAAAAACCCATTTAATGTGGCTACCTAAGAATGGTTTGTATGTGAAAAGAAAATGCAGAGGTCAGGAATATGACTGCCTTCCTTGAGGCTGCTATTATAATGAAGCCCCTCCAACTCCTTGCATAAAGGAAACACTTTTCATCAGCTTTGTATTTTCTGACACACCAAAGATTGCTCACAGAAAGCTCCATTTAGAAAATTTAGGAGCCTTTAAACAAAAATGTCCATTGTAAATTATTCTTTAGCAGTGTCCCTGATAAGAGCTTGTAAAGAAAAAGTTTCACAGTTGATTTCATTTTAGTGTCTTAATTGGATTTTCCAGTGACTCATACAGAATTGGCATGATTCTTTGGGGAGATCACAGTGATGATGTGTAAATATCACTTTGGTGGCCAGTGGAAATACTTAGTTAAGAAATTGGAAAAAAAATGTTGATGGGTGTGTGCTGAACTTTGCTTTTCCTGACCCTTACACTCACCATTGTGACAGAGATTGCTGACCATGCCCAGCATGTTTTCTGCTTCTCACATAGTATTAGAAATTCTGATTTTTAGTTGGGCACATGGTTGCCCAGAATAAATATTCTTCTCTTATTACTAATAAGCACATTTAGTAAAATTGCTGGATACAAAGTTAGCAGGCAAAAATCTTGTAGCTACATGTGCCGTGTCCACCTAATAGGCAATGAGATGTAAATGAAAGAGGTGTATGCAACTTCCAGTAAATACTGTTTAAGGGAAGGAACATACTTTTCTCCATTTCCTTAATCCTGCAGGCTGGAATGCAGAGGTAATACCTAGAAGTTAAGTAGCCATCATAGGTCAATATGTGACCTTGGGAATTGTATTTTATATATATATATATATATATATATATATATATATATATATATATATTTATTTATTTTAAGGAGGTGGGGTCTTGCTATGTTGCCCATGTTGGACTTGAACTCCTAGGTTCAAGCAATCCTCCCACCTCAACCTCCCCAATTAGCTGGGACTACAGGTGCCTGACACTGCACTCAGTGAGGATTGTATTAGTTATCTGTTGCTGCATAAGAAATTACTCTACAATTTAGTAGCTTAAAACAACAAACATTATCTTGCTGTTTCTGTGGTCAGGAATTCAGGAATGGCTTAGCTGGGTGGTTCTGGCTCAGAGACTCCCAAAAGGTTGGAGTCAAACTGTTGGCCAGGATTGTAGTCAGTTGAAGGCTAAAAAGGGCTGGAGAATCATTTTCTAAGATGGCTTACTCACATGGCTGTTGGCAGGAGGCATCAATTCCATGCTGGCTATTGGCAATAGGCCTTAGTTCCTCACCACTTGGACATCTCTACAGGACTGCTTGAGAGTCTGCATGACATGTCAGCTAGTTTCTCCCAGAGGGAGTAATCCAAGAGAGAACAGGGAGAAGCCACGATGTTTTGTTATGACTTAGTTTTGTAAGTGTCATAACATAATTTCTGCCATACACTATTCATTAGAAGTAGCTCACTAAATCTAGCCAACATTCAAGAGGAGGGGAATAGATGCCACCTCTTGAAGGGAGGAGCATTGTGGACAGAATCATGGCCCCCAAAGACAGCCATATTCCTATCTCCAGAACCTGTGACTGTGTTACCCTATGTGGAACAAACAACTTTGTTGAGGTAATTAATGATCTTTAGACGAGGCAAGCATCCTGGATCATTTCAGCGGACTCAGTGTAATTGCAAGTGTCCTTACAAGAGAGAAGCAGGGCTGGGCATGGTGGCTCATGCCTGTAATCCCAGGATTTTGGGAGGCTGAGGCAGTTGGATCACTTGAGGCCAGGAGTTTTAGACCCGCCTAGCCAACATGGCGAAACCCTGAATCTACTAAAAATACAAAAAAATTAGCTGGGCGTGGTGACGCATGTCTATGATCCCAACTATTTGTGAGGCTGATGCACGAGAATTGCTTGAATCCAGGAGGCAAGGGTTAGAGTCGACCATGATTGCACCATGGCACTCCAGCCTGGGTGGCAAAGTAAGACGCTGTCAAAAAAAAAAAAAAAAAAAAAAAAAAAAAGAGGGACTTAGGAGAGCCAGAGTGAGAGTGAATGGAAGTGAGTAAGACTGATACAGCCACACGTCAAGGAATGTATAGAAGTTGGAAAAGGCAAAGAATGGATTCTCCTCTATAGCCTTAATAATGAATACAGCCTTTGATTTTAACCCTATAATGCCCATTTTTTGCTTTTGGCCTCCAGAAATTTGAGATAATAAATTTGTGCTATTTAAGCCACTAAGTTTGTGGTAATTTGTTATCACAGCATAGGAAACTAATACAAATATCAAAGTGATTGTGGTCATATTTTAAGTCTACCCTAGACCATCCTCTGGTCACAAATTATTTATAGTTCTCCCACATGCAGAATAAACGTACCCCTTCTAAGGCCCCAGAATCATATCCCATTATAGCATCAATTCAAAGTTCAGAATCTTATCCTCTGTGTAAGTCCAGTGAAGATGAGGCTTCTTGGATGTAATTCTCTAAATATAACTACTCAGGTACATGCCTTTCAATCTGGAGTTCTGTGAACAAAAAGAAAAAGGTCATATGCTCCTTTCCCTACAACAACCAATGTAAAATGTCAGGGGCAGAGAGATAACTGCTATGGACAGGTGGAAAACAAGGTACACAGAAGTCACTGGTTCACAGCAATTCTGAAATCCACTTGAGTACAGGTTTGCAGATCCACATTCAAAGTCTGGGAATAACTCCCTACGGCTTTTGGTTCCATCCTCTGGGCTCTTGGTTTTATCCTCTAAGTCATTCCTTTTTTGTGAAAGGTAGATATGTTTGCATCTAAATAGTTTTCTTACTTTGCTTCCTGTTTGTAGAAATGTGGAGGTCCAAAGGCCCCTTTCCTTTTTGTACTTTCTTTTAGCTCAAGCTGACAGTGTTTCTGACAATACAATTCTCAAAACAATTTTTGAATCCATTGTGAATTTTATTGGGTTTTAGTCTAGGAAACAAAAGTCATGTCAGCAAATCTCTTTTGTCTCTTTCATTTGGGCTTCTGCTGAAGGACAAAGACCTTAAGTTTCTTAGATGCCCTATTGTTTGAATGAGAGGACCTGTGAACCACACTCTTAAAAAATCTTTTTGGTGTGTGTGTGTGTTTTTTTTTGTTGTTGTTGAGACGGAGTCTCACCCTGTCACCGAGGCTGGAGTGCAATGGCGCAATCTCAGCTCACCATAACCTCTGCCTCCAGGGTTCAAGTGATTTTCCTGCCTCAGCCCCTTTAGTAGCTGGGATTACAGGTACTTGCCACCACACCCAGCTAATTTTTTTGTATTTTTAGGAGAGATGAGGTTTCACCATGTTGGCCAGGCTGGTCTCGAACTTCTGACCTCAGGTGATCTACATCCCTCAGCCTCCCAAAGTGCTGGGATTACAGGTGTGAGCCACTGCGGCCAGCCACTCTTAAAATCTTTAGAGGGCCTTTTGCCTGATTGAATGGTACTCTGAGGTACCAACTGTAAACACAACAGGTGTGGGGAGTGGAAACGTTGGGGAGGGAGGGTGGATTGGGGACATTTTCAAAAATAAAAGACATGGTCTCAGCACTCAGATATTTCATAATCTTTGGGGGGATAAACTATATACGTACATTTAAAAAGCACTGAAGAATTATAGATCATATCCCTAATGAAAATAGATGCAAAAATTCTCAACAAAATACTAGCATACTGACTTCAAAAATACATTAAAAGAATAATTCAGCATGATCAAGTGGGATTTATCCCTGGGATACAAGGATGGTTCAACATATGGGAATCTACAAATGTGATACACACATAAACAAAATGAAGGACAAACACCATATGATCATTTCAATAGATGCATAAAAAGCATCTGACAAAATTAAACATCCTTTCATGATGAAAATTCTCAACAAATTAGGTATAGAAGGAATGTACCTCAACACAATAAAGGTCATATATGACAAGCCTATAGCTAACATTCTGAGTGAAAAGTTGAAGGCATTTCCTTTAACATCAGGAACAAGAAAAGGATGCCTACTCTTACCAGTTTTTTTTTTTTTTTCCAACATAGCACTGGAAATTCTAATGAGAATTATGCAAGAGAGGGAAATAAAAGGCATCTTAACAGGAAAGTAAGCGTTGGAATTTTCTGTTTGTTGACAATATGATTTTACATATAGAAAACCCTAAAGATTCCACCAAAAAACTGTTAGAATGAATTCAGTAAAGTTGCTGTACACAGTCAACACACAAAAATCAGCAACATTTCTAGATGCTAAAAACAAACTATCCAAAGAAGAAATTAAGAAAATAATTCTACTTGCATTAGCAAAAACCAAAACTGAAACAAAAAAGGTGTAAATTTAACCAACAAAGTGAAACTTCTTTACACTGAGAACTACAAAACACTGATGAAAGAAATTGGAGAAAACACAAATAAATGAAAAGATGGCCCATGTTCTTGGATTGGAATAATTAATGTAATTAAAATGCCCATGAGGCTGGGTGTGGTGGCTAATGCCTGTAATCCCAGCATTTTGGGAGGCCAAGGTGGGCAGATCATGAGGTCAGGAGTTTAAGACAAGCCTAGCCAACATAGTGAAATCCCGTCTCTACTAAAAATACAAAAATTAGCCAGGCATGGTGGCACATGCCTGTAGTCCCAGCTACTTGGGAGGCTGAGGAAGGAGAATCGCTTGAACCTGGGAGGCGGAGATTGTGGTGAGCTAAGATTGCACCACTGCACTGCAGCCTGTGCAACAGAATGAGACTCTGTCTCCAAAAAAAAAAAAGCCCATGCTACTCAAAGTGATCTATAGATTCATTGCAATTCCTATCAAAATTCCAGAGTTATTTTTCATGGAAATAAAAAATCCTAAAGTTCATATGGAACCATAAAAGATCCCAAATAACCAAAGCAATCTTGAGCAAAAAGAGCAAAGCTGAAGGCATCATGCTACCTGACTTTAAAATAAATGACAAAGTTGCAATAAGCAAAACAGCATGGTATTCCATAAAAACAGACACATTGGCCTATAATAGAACATGAGTCCAGAATTTACAGACTTGAATTTTGTTAAGGAGCTAAGAACACACGATTGGGAAAGGAATCTCTTTGATAAAAACTTCTGGGAAACTATATATCTATGTGCAGGAGAATGAAATTTGGACCTTTATCTCACAACATACACAAAAGTAAAAATGGATTGAAGACTTACATGTAAGACTTGAACTACTAGAATAAAACACAGGGGGAAAGCTACTAGAAGAAAACATAGAAGAAAGCCACTAGAAAAAGTTATAGGGGGAAAGCTCCACTACATTGGTCTGGGCATTTTTTTGGACATGACCTCAAAAACACAGGGAACAAAACAAAAAATAAACACATGGGATTACACGAAACTAAAAGCTTCTGCACATCAAAGGAAACAGTTAACAGAGTGAAGAGACAATCCACTTAATGGGAGAAAATATTTACAAATCATACATCTGATGAGGGGTTAATATCCAAGATATACAAGAAACTCAGTAGCAAGAAAGCAAATAATCTGAACAGATATTAAAAAATTTTTTTTTTGTAGAGATGAGCCCTCACTATGTTGCCCAGGCTGGTCTCAAACTCTTGGGCCTAAGCAATCCTCCCACCTTGGCCTCCCAAAGTGCTGAGATTATAGGCACAAGCCACCATGCCCAGCCTGACACAGGCATTCTTAAAAGAAGACATAAAAATGGACAACAGGTTTGTGGGAAAAAAAAATCACTATTATTAGGGAAATGCAAAATAAAATTACAGTATCACCTCACACCTATTAGAATGGCTATTATCAAGCTGGATGTGGTGGCTCACACCTGTAATCCCAGCACTTTGGGGTGCTGAGGTGGGTGGATCACTTGAGAGTCAAGAGTTCCAGACCAGCCTGGCCAACATGGTGAAACCCTGTGTCTACTTAAAAATACAGAAATTAGGCCGGGTGTGGTGGCTCAAGCCTGTAATCCCAGCACTTTGGGAGGCCGAGGCGGGTGGATCACGAGGTCAAGAGATCGAGACCATCCTGGTCAACACGGTGAAACCCCGTCTCTACTAAAAATACAAAAAATTAGCTGGGCATGGTGGCACATGCCTGTAATCCCAGCTACTCAGGAGGCTGAGGCAGGAGAATTGCTTGAACCCAGGAGGCGGAGGTTGCGGTGAGCCGAGATCGCGCCATTGCACTCCAGCCTGGGTAACAAGAGCGAAACTCTGTCTAAAAAAAAAAAAAACAAAAAACAAAAAAACAGAAATTAGCCAAGTGTGGTGGCACATACTTGTAATCCCAGCTACTTGGGAGGCTGAGGCAGGAGGATCGCTTGAACCCAGGAACAGAAGTTCCAGTGATCTGAGATTGCACTGCTGCACTCCATCCTGGGCAACAGAGCAAGACTTCATCTCAGAAAACAAGTAGCTATTATCAAAATGCTGAAAAATAATAAGTGTTGGTGAGGATGTGGAGAAAACTTGCACACTGTTGGTGTTACGTTTTTACAGCCATTATGGAAAACTATGTAGAGATTTCCCAAAAAATTAAAAATAGAACTACTATATGATCCAGTGATCCTATTTCTAGTCATATATCGAGTAACTGAAATCAGTATATCAAAGACATATTTGCACTTCCATGTTTATTTCAGTATTATGCACAATTGCTGAGATATGGAATCAACCTGTGTGCATCAATGGATGAACAGATAAAGAAAATGTGGTATATATATACAATGGATACTATTCCGCCTTAAAAAAGAAATTCTGTCATCTGTGACAACATGAATGAACGTGGAGGACATACTAAGTGAAATAAGCCAGGCTCAGAAAGACAAATACCACATGATCTCACTTATATGTGGAATCTTAAAAAGTCAAACTCATAGAAGTAGCCAGTAAAATAGTGGTTAGAGGCTGGGAAGGGAGGGAGGGGGTAGGAGACTCAGGATGGGGAGATGCTGTTCAAAGGGTACAAGGTTCGGTCAGACAAGAGCAGTAAGTTTCTGAGATCTATTGCACAGTGTGGTGACTATAACTAATAATAATGTGTAGTATATCCAAAATTGCTGAGTAATTTCAAATATCTCACCACAAAAAACATTAAATGAGGTGATGGGTATGTTAAGCTTGATTTAGTCATTCCATATTGTGTGTGTGTGTGTGTGTGTGTGTGTGTGTGTGTGTGTATATATATATATATACACACACCACATTGTACCCCATTAAATACTTACAATTATGATTTGTATATATAATAAAATCTCAAAATAAAAATATTAAAGAATGCCTACAAAGCAAGGTTTAAGATCTAAATGAACACAGTAGTAGCACGGAAGGGATTAAATATTGTAACATTTATTGAGCATTACGTATTTTTGAATTTCCACAACAATGGAAGAATGAGAAAATTGACGCTCAGAGAGCATAAGTATTTTGCCCAACCGCATACAGTTAATACATAGGAGAAACAAACACACACAATAAAACCAAACTAACCAAAGTATCTCTTTCAAAAGTAAAGGACAGTCCTGTGAAAGGCAGCCCGGGACAAATTTCAGCAAAGCCGTGGGACACATGGCCTTCGAGCGGCTGTTCACTATTGAGTAGCAGAAGCCAAGAAGGACGGAATGTTTTAGGAGAAAGGGCTCGGGGGTCGGGGGTGTTCAAAGGATGGACGGAAGATAAAAGTGAAGTGGGGTCAGACCGTGGTGGGGCAGCGCACTGGACAATGAACGGCGATTAGGGAACAGTGACGAGCGGGTGGGAAGGACGGAGGGCGGATCGCGGCCGGGCTGCGGGAGGAAACGGTGCGGACCCGAGTCCCCGCCGCTGGAGGGCAGCGCTGTTCGGCCCGCCCAGTGAGGTCACAGGCCCTTATGAGGTGGGCTAGGCGGGCGCGACCGCAGCGCCTTCCAGTCGGCGCGGAGGCGGCGTTGAGGTCAGCCGCGCCCCACGGCCCCGGAGCCCCTGAGCGGTGGCGGTGGCCGTGGCAGCAACGTCTCCGCGGCGGCCAGGGTCCCGGGTCCGACCCGCTCGGGGCGCTAGGCGGGCGGAGCGTCGGGCTTGGTCAGGTGACTGCGGGGGCGGGGCCGCGCTGCGCGGGAGCCTGGGAAGGAGGGAGAGCGAGAGCGACGCCGCGGGAGGTGCCTCAGGGGCACGGCCGGATCCCGCCAACCGCTGAGAGCGCCGGGGCCTCGAGCCGGGCGGGACGGAGGGCAGCCCCGGGCGGGTAGTGGGACCCTCAGGGGAGGAGGTGGGGAAGGAAGGCGAGACTCGCGGAGGAGTTGGCAGGGGAGCCTTCGAGGTGCGGGCTGGAGAATGCAGTGGGGTGCGAGGGATGAAGTAGAACAGCGTTGGGGCTGGGTTAAGGAAGGTTCCAGAAAGGAACAGTGAGGCGTGAGGGGACCGAGTGGGACAAAGGGGCAGAGTGAAGGGTGACTGGGACTGAGCCGCCCACCTGCACGCAGCAAATACGTAGGAAAAGCAAACACCGTAAAACCAAACCAACCGCAGGCGGTTCCTCAGAAATGGTGGCCGTTGTACAAGGCCGGCGGCCCGGGGGCTGGGTCACTTCCCTGCTCCTTCAGCGTGGGGCTGAGACCCTTATTACGGCACCGTTTCCATCTTGCGGGTCGTTGACTCGCTAGCTTACACGTCCGCTTTCTTCCCGTGGAAGTTGCTGGCTTGACGCGGGCAGGGCCTCTGGGAAGCCTCCCCAGCGCGGGTTCTTGGTAGCGGGAGGTTCATTCATGTTTGTGGCACAGATGGGAAAACGGGGTGACGGATGCTTGAACGCTCATGAATGGCAGCAGCCGGAATGGAGTTGTGTAAGCAGTTGGTATTAAAGACGAGCAGCCCCTCTAGGGAGGGAAAAGCGAGTGACTGGGGCGGCTTGTGAGGGCAATGTGGCACGGCAGAGGAAAGTACTTTGTGAAGCAATGTCATACAGAGTCACGCTTCAGTGAAGATTCCTCTGTTTTTCTCGTGTTAAACCCGCACAGCCCCATTTTCCCCTTAGCTACTACCTTATTTCTCTGAACAGCGTAACTCCTTGAAAGAGCTTACCCTACTAGCTGGGTTCAATTTCTTTACCCCGTTGTCTCTTGCACTAACTTCAAGGACATTGTCTCCTTACCACCCACCCCTAGATGGCTCCTTTCAAGGTTGTCAGTGTCCTCCGTGTTGTGAAACCTAGTGAACATTCAGTTCTGATCTCACCCACTTTTTTTTTTGAAACAAGGTCTCTTTCGCCCAGGTTGGAATGCAGTGGTGCAATCACAGTCCACTGCAGCTTCAAACTCCTGGGCTCAAAGGCTCTTTCTGCCTCAGTCTTTGAAGTAGCTGGGACTAAGGTCGCCGTGCCCAGCTAAATAAAAAAAAAATCTGTAGAGATGAGAATTTCACTTTCGCCCACTCTGGTCTTGAACTCCTGGCCTTAAGCAGCTCTCCTGCCTAGACCAACCCTGTAGTGCTGGGATTGCCTGCATACGCCACCATGCACAGCCTGATTCCACTCTTGAAGTACCTTTCTTCACTTGGCATCCAGGAACCCAGACTTACCTGATTTTCCTCCTCACAGTAACCAGAGTGATTTTTTCAGAAAGAACTTCAGATTATAACATCCTTCTCCCCAGAACTCTTCAATGCTTGTCAGTCCTTCAGAGTAGAAGCCAAAGTTTTTATTGTCATCTATGGGTCCTCCATGATCTGCCATCCTCCCTTAGCCTCTCTGATCTCCTCTTCTGCTTCAGCCTCATGGGGCCTTCCCACTATTCCGTGAACATTCTTTTTGCCTTAGGGCTTTTGTACTTACTTTTCTTTATGGCTGAAATGTTCTTCCCTAAGATATTAATCAGCTCCCTTCTTCAGTTCCTGCAGGTCTGTACTCAAAAGTCTCCCTCTCAGTAAGGTCTTCTTTGGCCACCTTTTCTATTCCCTGCATCTCCTCCCCATACTACATTTCATATTCCCCTCCCTGCTTTACTTTTTTTTTTTTTTTTGGTACTTACTGCAGTTATCATATGATATGTTTTATTTTTCTATTTTATCATCTCGCTCCCTGACTAGAATGTAAGCTCCATGAGGGCAGATTTTTTTTTCCTGTTTTGTTCATTGCTATATCCTTAGAGCCTGGGAGAGAACGTAGTGCATACTAAGCATGCAAACATACACATTGAATTCATGGATAGATGACTGGAGAAGAGGGGTATGTCTCCCTCCATTTCTCTTGATTTGTTCCTGCAAGTTCACAGATACAGGATTGAAAGAGTTGAGAAACAGTTGTATGGTCAAAGTTATAGGGAGTAGACAGATTTTCTATGTTAATTTTTTTTTTTAAGTTTGGAGAGGCTTATTCATTCAGCAAATTAAGACCTGCCAACTTTTTGATAATCTGGTCAATAAATTACAAAACAGTTGTTCCTTTCAAGATTTATTCAAAACATGCCAACTCTGCTTAATTAAGCACTTTGATGGTTTAAGAACTCTTGGTGAGTAGCTTAGTAGGGAGGGAATTTGTTCATTCATCCCTCTGTCCCTCTCTTTTCCCTTCCCTCCCTCCATCCCTTCCCTTCTTTCCTTTATGGTTTTCTTCATTATATATATATAGCATTGTGTTTGATACTGTGAGAAGTAATTTTAAGAATTATAAATTACCAGTCCCAGTTCTTTATAAATTTAGGCTGTAGTTGGTATAGGAGCTGTACATGTGAAAATTAAATACAAATACAAGGCAAATGATTAATGTCAGTTAAATAGTGAAGACAAGAATAGTGAAGACAGTAAGTGTACAGTAGTTTAGATGTATGAGGATTGAACTGGTTAGAAAAGATCTAGAAGAGATTACATAGAATGGGTTACTGCGGAGACCTGTATAGATTTCAAATATTTTCTGAGATGAGTATTTTTTAATGTGGTTCTATTTTATTTTTTAGCATATTTTGAATTCTAGGAATGTTGGACATATCACATTGAAAAATAATGACTATTAACATATGTCAGAAGTAAACACAAATGATTTTAAGTACTCTGTCTTCATTAGAATATTAATACTTGCAGTTAAACTTTACAAGAAAAAGACTGATGATTATAACTAGCAATGTAATATAATGTAATATAGCTAGCACTGTGATAAATAGCTCATTAAATGTAACTCAGATATGAGTTAAAAATGAAAATTTGAGGAATTTATAAGTGTTGGTTATCACATTGGCATAATGTGAAAGTCTTTGGTTTAAAGTGAGGCTACATCATTTTTTGTTTGCAGTAGTAGTATTGTTTGAGAGGCAATCTTCTATGGGACTGAAGACCACATGCTTGGAGTTAAATTGTCTGAATTCAAATTTTGTCTCCACTATTTGCCGGCTGTGTGATCTTGGGAAACTTGATCTCTTCAAGTCTTTATCGTAATACTGAGCACATAGGCACATAGGAAGCATTTGGTAACATGAGTGATTACTACTGTCTTAGCAGTTCTGCTTCTCAGGGTTTATTTAAATAAACAGATGTAATTGGATTTCTCTGGTTTGTATGCCATTTGAAATTGGATTTCTCCTTATACCGCAAAAGGTAAAGTTAAAGAACTGGATGATCTGTGATTTATAGTCTACTAACTTCTTTTTCTAGTGTTTGTCCACATATCTGTGTTGGTGAAATTTATTGTGTATCATACCCCAAGTCAGTGTTACATTGAAGAGATAACTTCAGATAGGTAAATATAATTGCTTAAGTCTCCTAAGTAAGCATATGATTTTTATATCTTTTTTTTTTTTTGGCAGGAAATCCTTTTGTACTATTGCTCATTCATAGTTATTCATCAAAGCCAAGAGTCCTCAAGGACAGAATTTACCTCTAAACAGAAAGATGGAAACTAAAGTTCATTTATTCTGCCAGGTATTTATTCAAAAGAGATTCTACAGATTCCTTCTTTTTAAAAATTAATTTACATTACTTCATATTCACAATCAGTAAGCAAACTCATAGAGTAGTAGTCTTAAGGAATCTACCTAATAACTGAGATGACTTTTGAGCAATTTTAGTGAACATATATTGAACTCTCATCCCCTATATGTGCAAGATCTCACATATAGTACTGAGAGATTTTCTGTGGTGTATGATGAGAGTATTTTTGGTGGGGGGAATGTACAGACCTGGATAATTTTTCTGGAGATCAAAAGAGTTAAACTTACATGAGAGGTTGTAGATAATGTAATGATGTGAGAGTTTAACCAAAAAGTAATATAGAGGATATGAAATTTCTTTAGCCATCTTTTCTGTGCTTCAGATTTGTATGCCCTTCTGTCTTTAGATGCTTTCACTTTTTTTTTTCTTCTAGTTTTGAGTCAAGTAAGACAAAATTTTTCAAATAAAAACAGATCTGGACTTAGTAAGGAGAGACTTTATTCAGAAGAATTATTGCCAGGGGAGAAAGGGACTATTTAAATTGGAAGAAGAGGAGGACTATTGCAATGGGAAGAATGCTGTGATCGTAAAATCTGCAAGCATCTCAAGGAGTTTTCTGTTATAGAGAGAGGCTGGAAAGAACCAGGTGTGGGGAAATGGGGTGAAAGAGTAGGATTAGAGAAGTAGATTGGAGAATATTTTATTATCAAGTCAGTCTATTTTGTTCTGATTATCAGTGGGGATAAAACAATTCAGCTAACAATTTATGATGCAAAGAAAGGGAATTTTGAGGGTGTGTGTCTGGCATTGTCATAAGTAAACAAGGTGGGCATTCCAGAGTTTTACCTAACTCATTATGGGGAGGGATGGTTTGCAGTAAGCCATTTTCTGGAACACAAAAGGGTGGGGGAATTCCTTTAACCCTCACTGTTTTCTGGGAGTTTAGGGCTCAAGTGAAATTCAGTATTGTACATTGAGAGTCCTAATCTTTTAAGTTCATTCTTTTAACAGATCTCATGCTACTGTGTAAAACATGTACCTATACTATAGTCTAAAAAAATAAGGCTCTAGAAAAATACTGAGATATGTACTTTATGTCATATATATACACATATATACATTTAAAATTTACCTTTTTATACCTATTACTTCCTGGATTTTGCCTGTATAAACAAATTTTGAAGATGCATTCTTAAAATTAAAATTACAGAATTATACTAGTTTTTTTTCCTTAGACTATATAATTTATACTTCCCAAATGGCTCACCTTTTACTACAGTGTTTCTGAGATTCTTTTCTTTCTTTTCTTCTTCTTCTGTGTCAAGTTTCTACTCACTCTTTTTTTTTATTCACTTGGCCTTTGGTAACAGGTTTTTCTGTCTTTTTAGATTTCCCACCCCTTCCCCCCCCCCCCCCCGCTTTCTATTTGGGGTCATTATTTTTAACACTTTAGAAATTCTTTCATCATTTGTAATACACATCTCATCAAGGCAGTAAATAAAATTGCCTTCCTCAAACAAGTTAAAGGTATGCCTTTGTCCCATCCCCTGGAAAACACTGATTTTTTTTTTTTTTTTTTTTTTTTTTTTTTTTTTACTGTCTCCATAGTTTTGCCTTTTCCAGAATAGATACTAAAAGTCACTGAAATAGTTCTGTTAATTTCCGTCCTGTGGAAATAGAGATTCTCTCTAAACTTCCTTGGTAATCTTCTTTATAAATTGTCTATGTAATCTTCAGGGTCACCTTTGGGTTCAAAGGCTCAGGACTAATGCACCTTTAATCGACTGGATGCCGTTCAGTTGTCTTAAGCAAACAGGCAAATTTCAGGAGAGAATATTTCCAACTACATTCCTCTTTTTCTAAACATGTTTATTGTCATTAAACTCTGTATCTTTTTTTGTGGGGCAGGGAGTGGGGAGAGGTGTCTATTTAGAAGCAATTTAGCTTTTTTTTTTTTTTTTTTTTTTTTTTTAAAATTTAGGCTTTGTTTTTCAATTTTTTTGTAGAATGGTATTTATTTATTTAATAGTTTTTATTTTAATAGCTTCAGGGATACAAGTGGTTTTTGGTTACATGGATGAATTATTCAGTGATGAAGTCTGGGCTTTTAGTGTACCTGTTACCTGAATAGTATACATTGTACCTAACAGGCAGTTATTCATCCTTCACTGCCCTGCCCCCTCTCCACTCCAAATCTCTACCACTCTGTTGGCCTTTTTGTATCCATAGCTTAGCTTCCATTTATAAGTGAGAATACGCAGTATTTGGTTTTTTGTTCCTGAGTTACTTCACTTAGGATAATGGCCTCTAGTTTCATCCAAGTTGCTGTAAAATACATTATTTTTGTTCTTTTTTCATGGATGAGTAGTATTCCATAGTATATATACCACATTTTCTTTAACCTCTCATCAGTTGATGGGAACTTAGATTGGTTTCATACCTTTGCTATTGTGAATTATGCTGAGATAAACATATGAGTGTAAGTGTTTTTTTGATGCAATGACTTGTTTTTCCCTTTGGGTAGATACCCAGTAGTGGGATGGCTGGATTAAATGATAGATGTACCTTTATTTCTTTGAGAAATCTCCATAATGCTTTCTGTAGAAGTTATGCTAATTTACATTCCCACTGGCAGCATATAAGTTTTCCCTTTTCATCAAATCTACACCAACATCTGTTGTTTTTTGACTTTTTGATAATGGCTATTCTGGCTAGGGTAAGGTGGTATCTCATTGTGGTTTTAATTTGTATTTCCCTGGTGATGGGTGATGTTGAACATGTTTTTCATATATTTGTTGGCCATTTGTATATCTTCTTTTGAGAAATATATGTTCATGTTATTTTTCCACTTTTTAATGGGAGTACTTGTGTTTTCTCTGCTGATTTGTTTGAATTCCTTGTAAATTCTGGATATTAGTCCTTTGTTGGATGTATAGTTTACAAATATTTTCTCCCATTCTCTTGGTTGTTTGTTTACTGTGTTGATTATTACTTTTGCTGTGCAAGAGCTTCTTAGTTTAATTAGGTCTCATTGATTTATTTTTGTTTTTGTTGCGTTTGCTTTTGGGGTCATAGTCATAAATTCTTTGCCTAAGCCAGTATCCAGAAGAGTTTTTCCTAGGTAGTCTTCTAGAATTTTTATGGTTTCAGGTCTTAGATATGTAGACTTTATTTTTTTTAAGAGCAGTTTTTAGGTTCAGAAAAAAATGAGCAGAAAGTACAGAGAGTTACTGTATACCTACTACCCCTGTACATGCACAGCTTACCCTACTGTCAACATCCTGTAACAGAGTGGTACATTTGTTGTAACTGATGCATCATCACTGGCACATCATTATCACTCAAAGTCCATAGTTTACATCATTAGAGTTCACTTTTGTTGTTGTACATTCTATGAGTTTGAACAAAAGTATTATGACATATAGTCAACATTATAGTATCATATAGAATAATCGCATTGCCCTAAAATCCTTTGTGCCATAGCTATTTACCTTTTCTTCCCCCATCCCCTGGAAAACACTGATTTTTTTTTTACTGTCTCCATAGTTTTGCCTTTTCCAGAATGTCTATAGTTGGAATTACACAATATGGAACCATTCAGGTCAGGCTTTTTCAGTTAATGTGCATTTAAAGTTTCTGTATATCTTTTTAAGGCTTGATAGCTCACTCTTCTTTAGCACTAAATAATATCCCATCCTCTACATTTAACATAGTTTATTTATTCATTACTGAAGGACATCTTTATTGCTTTCAAGTTTTGGCAATTATGAGCACAATTGCTATAAACATCCAATTGTAGGGTTTTGTGTGGAAGTAAAGTTTCAACTTGTTTGTGAAAATACCAATAAATGCAATTGTTGCATTGTATGGTAAGAGTATGTTTAGTTTAGTTTTGTAAGAAACTGCCAAACTGCCTTCTGCTGTGGTTGTACAATTTTGCATTCCCATCAGCAATGATGAGAGATCTTGCTTCACATCCTTGCCAGCATTTGTTATTGTCAGTGTTTTGGATGATTGCCATTCTTTTTTCTTAATTGAGTTTTTTCTTATTATTTTAAATTGACAGATAATAATTGCATATATTTATGGGGTATATTGTGGAAGATATACATTATATTTCTATAATGTATACATAGATCAAAATACATTATAGAAATATCTAGTCAAGCTATTAACATATCCATTACTTTATAAACTTGTTTTTTGTGGTAAGAACATAAAAATATTTTAGTGATTTTGAAGTATATGATACATTTATTAACCATGTTCACCATACAATGCAATAAATCACTAAAACTTGTTTTTCCAGTCTAACTGAAACTGTACCCTTTGATCAGTGTCTTCCCTTTCCCCATCCCTCTTCCTCCCCCAAACTTCTCTACCCCCAACCTCTTTCTACTCTCTGTTTCTATGAGAACAACTTCCTTAGATTTCACATGTAAGTGAGATTATATGGTTTTTGTCTTTCTGTGCCTCTATTATTTCACTTAGCATAATGTTTTGCAGTTCTATCCATGTTGTGATAAATGACAGAGTTTCCTTCTTTTTAAAGGCTGTATAGTATTCATTTGTACATGTTCACCACATTTTCTTTATGTATTAATCTGTTGATGGACACTTAGGTTACTTTTATATCTTGGCTATTGTGAATAATACTGAAACAGATATGGGAGTGCAGATATTTCTTCAACATACTAATTTCAGTTCCTTTGGATTTATAACCAGAAGTGGGATTGCTGGATCATATGGTAGTTCTGTTTTCAATTTTTGAGGAACCTCCATGGTGTTTTCTAGGATGGCTGTACTAACATTCATACCAACAGTGTGCAGATGTTCCCTTTTCTCCACATCCTTGCCAACACTTGTTATCCCTTGTCTTTTAGATAATAGCTATTCTAAGAGGTGTGAGATAATATCTCATTGTGGTTTTATTTTACATTTCCCTAATAATTAGTGATATTGAACATTTTTCACAAACCTGTAAGCCATTTGTGTGTCTTCTTTTGAGAATGTCTGTTCAGATCCTTCACCCATTTGTGAATTGAGTAGTTAGTTTTCTTGCTTGAGTTGAGTTCTTTATATAATTTGGATATAAATCCCCTAATCCCTTAACAGATGTATGATTTACAAATATTTTCTCCCCTTCTGTGGGTTATTTCTTCCCTGTCGATTGTATACCTTGCTGTACAGAAGCTTTTTAGTTTCATGTAATCCCATTTTTCGTTTTTGCTTTTATTGCCTGTGCTTATAGAATCCTATTCAAGAAATAATTCCCTAGATGAGTGTGGTAGAGCTTTTTCCCTATCTTCTTGTGACTTTACAGTTTTAGGTCTTGTGTTGAAATCTTTAATGCATTTCAAATTGATTTTTGTATATGGTGTGATATAATGGCCCAATTTCATTTTTCTGCAGGAGGATATCCAGTTTTCTCAATGCCATTTATTGAAGAGACTGTTCTTTCCCCATCGTGTGTGCTTAGCCCTTTGTTGAAAATCAGATTATTATAAATATCTGGATAATTTCTAAGCTTTCTATCTTATCCTATTAGTTGGTGTATCTGTTTCTATGCCAGTACCATTCTGTTTTGATTACTGTCACTTTATAATTCAAATTATGGAAATAAGGAAGAATAAAAATTTTGAAATTAGGAAGTATGATGCCTCCAACTTTGTTCTTTTTGCTTAAGTTTGCTTTGGCTATATGGGGTGTTTTCTGGTTCCGTATAAATTTTAGGATTTTTTGATTTCTGTGAAAAATGACACTGGAATTTTGAGAGAAATTGCGTAGAGTCTGTAGATAGCATTGGATAGTAGGACATTTAAACATATCAAATTTTTGAAACCATCAACATGGGCTATCTTTTCATTTATGTTTTCTTTAGTTTCTTTTTTTCCAGTTTTTTTAAAAATCAAAGTTTTATAGTTTTTTTTGTTAAACTTTCACCAATCTAACAGGTATGTAATGGTATTTCCTTTTAATTCACAGTTCCCTAATCACATTATAATGTTGAGCCTCTGTTCATATTCTTACCTACCACACTTCTGTACATCTTCTTTGGTGAGGTGTCTGTTCAAGTCTTTAGTTCATTTTAAATTGAGTTCCTTTTTATTATGTTTTAAGAGTTCTTTGTATATTTTGGGTACCAGTTCCTTATCAGATATGTCTTTTGAAAACATTCTTTCCCATTCTTTGACTTGTCCTTTCATTGTTATGGTGTCTTTCACAGAGCAGAAACTTTTAATTTAAATGAAGTCTAGCTTATCAATCATTTCTTTCATGGATCATGGCTTTGGTTTGTATCTAAAATCCAGTTAATTTTTTATAATAAAAAATTGCTTTGCAAAGAGTATGATAAATTTTGTACCTCAATGCCTTAAGAGCTAGATCCAGGCTGGGAGAGGTAGCTCATGCCTGTTATCCTAGCACTTTGAGAGGCTGAGGTGGGAGGATTGTTTGAGCTCAGAAGTTTGAGACCAGCCTGGGCAATGTAGTGAGACCTCATCTGTACAAATAATAAAAAAATTAGCCATGATGGTGCATGCATGTGGTCTCAGCTTCTCAGGAGGCTGAGGTGGGAGAATTGCTTGAGCCTGGGAGGCCAAGGCTGCAGTGAGTCATGACTGCACCATTGCACTCCACTGTAGGCAACAAAAGGAGACCTCGTCTCAAAAAAAGAAAAAGTGCTAGATTAAATAAGCATTATGTTTATTCATAAATGATGTTCATTTTATAGCTATATAATGTACTAAGGAAAATTGGAGTTATTTAGAGTATGTACTGAATCTGGAAAAATAATACACTAGTGAGTAAAACCTTTTTCAATCAAATTCTCTTTGGTAGCACTATTTGAGAAAGAATATCAATCTAAAATGAATGATTTGACCCAGAATGTCATATTTAATATGTTTGTACAAAGAGAACATGCTTCATTGTGGCTCTTATATTCCCTAGGCAGAGGAAAATATTGACTTATTAGATGATGGCTCTAATTCATTTGCAACTGACTTGCCATCAGGAACTATTGACCACAAGAAATATATCAGGTTTTCTAAAACAATAGAGAAGAAAATTTCACCGGAAATTAGGAGTTTGAGCCCAGAATATAAAAAAATGTAAGTTAAAAACTCTGAACTTACTTTATTGGTTTATACTTTTGCAAGTTAAGAGTGTCAAATTGTAGCTTATTTGTTCTCATAACGTACCATTTGTATAGGATCATTCTTTCAGTAGCATAATTTAAACTCCTAAATAGCTGTTCTTAACATTTTTTTCTGACTTCTCTCATAGCCATGTGGAAGCCTATAGGCTTCCATGTTGTGTTAGTCAGTTCTTACATTGTTATAAGAACTGCTGGAGACTAGGTAATTTATAAAGAAAAGAGGTTTAATTGCTCATGGTTCTGCAGGCTTTACAGGAAGCAAGGCTAGGGAAGCCTCAGGAGACTTAGAATGGTGGTGAAAGGTAAAGGGGAAGCAAGCATATCTTCACAAGGCCAGCAGGAGAGAGTGAAGGGGGAATTGCCACATGCTTTTAACCAAACACATCTTGTGAGAACTCAGTATCATGAGAACAGCAAGGGGGAAATCTGTCCCTATGATCCAATCACCTCCTACCAGATCCCTACCCCAACATTGGGGATTGCAATTCAACATGAGATATAGGTAGGGACACAGAATCAAACCATATCACATGTGGAAGCCTATAAGGAAGCTGTAAGGTAACTGCAATCATAGAATTCCAGTTAGCGGAGAACAATTATCCGTATGTCTGTTAAGTTTGTCTTAAAGAGAATTTAGGAAGGAAACAGAAGGTTCTCCCCTCTAGGCTTGACTTTGTGCTTTCCATGAAATTAAGCTATTTGAATCTTTTGGCGGTTCTTTCTTGTATGCTGCATTGACTGGTTGCCTTTTGTTAGTTATAGAAGTTCTAGCATTTTATATGCATGTAGGAGAAATACTCAATCTGTATTTATTATTTATAAAATGACTGAAAAAATAAAAAAAATTATCCAAAGCCTTTGAGAAAACATTCAGAACTCAAGTCACTTTATCTTTCTCTAACTAAATGCTGCTCTTACCTGTTGGTGAAAACTGGAAATTACCTACATATTGTGATTGCAGAGGCACTTAAATAAAAACCTCCTCTACCTTCCAGAAGTCTGTATTTTCCTTTTGTTTAATCTAACATTTTTACCACTACTCCTGTTTGTTAGATGGCAAAAGAGCAATTATTTCTGGAAGACTACAATAAAACTTGTTATCTAGAAAGAACAGGAAGGTCGTGGGAGCATCCCTTTACCTTCATCCATTAGAATTGTTCAAGATAGGTTAGCACTGTGAGAAGCATATGCCTGAAAAGAATGAGGTACAGTGCATGTGTAAGTGGGAGCTAAACAATGGGTATGCATAGACATACAGAGTAGAATAATAGAATTGGGACTACAGAAGGTAGGAGGAGGGGTGAGGGTTGAATTTGGTGATGGGTACACTGAAAGCTGAAACCCACCACAATGCCATATGTGCATGTAAGAAATCTGTACTTGTACCCTCTAAACATATAAAAATAAAATTTGTTTTAAAATGGGGTACAGGGCAAATGTTTTTACTTATTCATTATTTATACCCAATCATCCTTATTGTATGAAATGTGTGAAGCAGCTCATAATTAAAAAGTACACTTATACTTTTGTTTACCTAAATAAGGAAACAGAGGCAAAATTAATATAAGTAGAGAGTTTATTTGGGCCCAGTTTGAGGATTCTGGGAGGTACTCTGGAGAACAAAGGAGAGGCTCAAGTTCTTAAAGAAAAAAGGTACCAATCAGGAGGGGTTGATTACAAAAGTTGTTTTTCAGGAATTCTCACTGGTTTACAGAAATAACATTGATTAGCAATTGGCTATACATTGCTGAATTGTAGGGTATGAGTTATGGTATCCAGTGTGTGGCATTGTGAGGTTAATTTGTGGCTACTTGGTGACACAGTCTACAGTCCATATAGCAGGCACCTTTGAAATAATTACTTAGTTCAAGGGGACGTGAGATAGTGACTCCTATCTACTTTTAATGCCTCTTTGGGCCTGGTAATTTAAAGAGGCCTTGCACTCATAAGATTAAACATTTATTTTCTTTCTCATTTTTTGAAAAAAGGTGAAAGATCAAAAGTCATGTAGTGGGGTGGAAGTCATGATTATACTAGAAATAAGAAGGCTGAACTTCAATAATGATATGTGGGGGATATAAAGCACTAGTAAACTATAGGTTATGACTCATTAATGGGTCATGAAATCAGTTTAGGAGATCACTACTAGTTTTTTTTTTTTTTTTCTTCTTTTTTGAGGCAGGAATTTACTCTGTCATCCTGGCTGAAGTGCAGTGGCATGATCATAGCTCATTGCAGTCTGGAACTCCTGGGCTTGAGGGATTCTCCTGCCTCAGACTCCTGAGTAACTAGGATTACAGGTGTGCACCACCACACCTGGCTAAATTTTTAAATTTTTTGGAGAGATGGAGTCTCACTATATTGCCCAGGCTGGTCTTGAACTCCTGGCCTGAAGCAGGCCTCCCACCTTGGCCTCCCAAAGTGCTGGGATTTCACAGGTGAGAGCCACTGCAGCTGGTTTACTACTAGTTTTTGTTTTAAGTAAATACATTAGAATTGAAAACATTAGAGTGCTTTTTCTTCCTTCTCTCCCCCCTCGCTTTCTATTGCATTCCTTCTCTCTGTGTATGTATATTGCACCTTGGTAGAAAATGTACTTTTGACTGTGGGTCATAGGCAAAATAGTTTAATGTCCTTGCTTTTGAGACTAGAGGACTGCAGAGGGATCTAATCGTATAGCAGCTTCAGGGAACTGAAGAGCAAAGTATGGAGGTTCACAGGGTGTGAATTTGGGAGATTAGATTTATAGCGATAGTGTGTCAAAAAAGCAAGGTACTTTTTCTTGGAGAAATAAGTCAGAAAAAAAGCAGGGTACACCATAAATACAATTTTATTTGTCAATTAAAAAATAAATTTAAGAAACATAAATATACACAATTTTGTCTGTCAATTTAAAATAAAATAAAATTGAAAAAAAAGGCCAAGGTACTTGCTAAAGAAGGGGAATGGCATGAAATATATATATATATATATATATATATATATATATATATATATATATATATATATATATTTTAATGTCACAGTTTTGCTTAGGGCTGAGTTCACCTGAAGCTGTAGTAGGTAGTGTAGTTAGTCACTGCCCTGTTAGAGTTCTTGAAATTTAGGTTTACCCTGGATTACTTGAAGCATTTAAGAGTATGTGTCTTCTCTTTTAAAATTTAATTCAAATATAATTCATAATTATATTTTATCTCATTGTTGTATAGTTTATGGTAGTGGTCTCCCACCTTCTTGGCACTAGGGCCTGGTTTCATGGAAGATAATTTTTCCAGGGACAAGAGGATGGGGAGGAGGCGGGGGCGGTTTCTGGATGAAACTGTTCCACTTCAGAAGATCGTCAGACATTAGTTTCTAATAAGGAGGCACAACCTAGATCCCTTGCATGCACAGTTCACAATAGGGTTTGTGCCCCTATGAGAATCTAATGCTGCTGCTGATGTGACAGGAGGTGGAGCTCAGGTGGTAATGCCTACTCTCTAGCCACTAATCTCCTGCTGTGCAGACCGGTTTTTGTCCGTGGCCCAGAGGTTGGGGACCTCTGGTTTATGGAATGTTTGTGTTATGAAAGGTCTTGAGATTGCACCACTGAGCTTTTGCCTGGGCAACAGAGTGAGAACCTGTCTCAAAAAAACAAAAAAACAAGAGAAAAGAAAAGAAAAAGAAGCATCTTTGACAGTCTGATAAGAAGAGGAAAAAGGAGAAAGAAGAGAAAACCAAAGAATAAGCAAGAAGAATGAAGTTCAGCTTCTAGTTCCCAATGTTAGTCTTGAAATACCATTTCTTATTAGAAGGCTCTTTAGAGAAATACTGATTGCATGTCTGTGAGAGGAAATGTAGAGATAAACCTGAAACATCTTGTCTTCCAGAGATAAGGAAACTATTAATAAAAAAAGACTGCTACTAGGGATCAATCAGAAGGACTCAATGGCCTACTTGAAGAGGCTCCCACCTTTTCTTATAAAAGATGAGAAAATTAGAGCATCAATAAGAATAATAATTTTGGGAATTAAACTGTATCAAACATATTTAAGTCCATGTGTCCAAAAGTGTATAAAATTATTTTGTCATTTTTAGAGGTTACAAGTGAGCCAAATCTTTGTCATGAAAAGTGGTAAATCAAGGAAAATAATAGAGCAATTATCTTGCCTTTCTTTCTTGTTTTTTTTTTTCAATCAGTTGAATCTCTCTACATCTTGCGTTTCAATATGAACTGTACTAAATAGTACATGAGAGAAACCAAATATCATATGAGAGAAAGTTTCTATTTGTAGAAATATTCTAGCAGCCAGGCATGGTGGTGCATGCCTATAGTTCAGTACTCAGGAGGCTGAGGTGGGACAATCACTTAAGCCTGGGAGTTTGACTGTAGTGTGTGCTATAATCACACCTATGAATCTCTACACATACAAACAAGAAATATTCTAGCTAATGATTGAAGGAATGATAGATTTATAACATAACCACTTTGCACTTCCTCATGATTTATCATTTTTATTTATTTATTTTTGAGACAGAGTCTCACCCTGTCACCCAGACTGGAGTGTAGCAGTGTGATCTTGGCTCACTACAACCTCTGCCTCCCAGGTTCAAGCAATTCTTCTGCCTCATCCTCCTGAGTACCTTGAACTATAGGCATGCGCCATCATGCCTGGGTAATTTCGTGTATATATATATATTTTTTAAGTAGAGACAGGATTTCACCATGTTGTCTAGGCTAGTCTTGAACTCCTGACCTCTGGTGATCTGCCCGCCTCAGCTTCCCAAAGTGCTGGGATAACAGGCATGAGCCACCATTTCTGGCCAGTCCCTATAATTTACTGGATCTAGTTATTTGTATAAGTAGCTGCTAATACCACAAATAGCCAGTTGGACATTATGTACTTCCTGATGGAATAACATCACCACCTAGATAGTGGTTTTGCATCTCCCTCAAATATTAAACATTAGTATGTTCAATCCTTTAGAATCCTACAACCATGGTGATACAATCAGCAAAATCCCAACTGTGGAAAATGAGCAGGACAAATAACCTAGTAATAATAATTATAATGATAATAAAAAGTATAGAAGGAGACTTACAGATGAAAAGAAGTTTAAAAGACATTTCAGTCAACTGTGATGCTGGGATTTTTTGAGTCCCGATATAATATGTTTAGAAATTTTATGAAATTTATGAGACAACTAGAAATGTGAATACTACCTGTATACTTGATATTAAGAAATTGTTAATTTTTTAGCTGTCATATGGTGTTTTTTGTTTTGTTTTGTTTTGTTTTGTTTTGAGATGGAGTCTTGCTGTGTCACTCAGGCTGGAGTGTAGTGGCTGGATCTCAGCTCACTGCAACCTTTGCTTACCAGGTTCAAGCAAGTCTTGTGTCTCAACCTCCTGAGTAGCTGGGACTACAGGTGTGTATCACCATGCATATATATATGTGTGTGTGTGTATATATATATATACATATATATATATATGTATATTTGTATTTTTAGTAGAGACAGGGTTTCACCATGTTGGTCAGACTGATCTTGAACTTCTGACCTCAAGCAATCTGCCTGTCTTGGCCTCTGAAAGTGCTGGGATTACAGGTGTAAGCCACTGCACCTGGCCCGTAATCGTGTTTTAAATTAAAAAAGACACGTTGTAGAGATTTTTATTAAAATCTTTAGAGATGAAGTAATATGATTTATTTCAAAAATAATAAGGGATGGGAACAGGGATGGGATATAGATGGAATAGGATTGGCTATTGTTGAAATTGGGTGATGGAATTCTGTATACATTTGTGTATGTTAGAAAATTTCCATAATTAAAAGTTGAAAAGAAAAAGCAAAAGTAAAAAGAAATTCAAGAACGATTCAATTTCTGTGTAATTTAGTTTTGAAACATCAATATTCCTTTGTGGAGAAGAAAAGTCCTCTGATTTGGCAGAAGAAAAAAAAGTCAGGAAAAAGAGTTTACAAGTACAACAGCACAGCAAAAGAACCGAGGTAAATAAAAATTTGGAAATTTTTCTTTTATTTTCAAGTGTTCTCCTTAGCCTTCAAATATTCCCTTATATTTTTTAGTCCATGTGTTGAAATGTCACAGTCTTAAATACTACTTGCTCTTGCTCCTTTTCTCCTCTTCTTTGTTTTCCTTTTCCTTCTCCTCCTTTAAAAAAAAAAAAAAACAGAACAAGGAATCTTTTCAGAATCTTATGAAAAATTTGCCTTTATTTTCTATTAAGCAATTTTTTACTGTGCTCTCTGCTAACATTTTTTATTTTTTAATGGTGATCCTAGTTGTTCTTTGGTTTGTGGCAGCATAACTCCAAACTTTGCCTCCATCTTCCCGTGAGTCTTCACATGATCTTTCTTCCTGTGTCTGTATCTCATCTCCTTCTTCCTTTCTCTTATAAGCACATTTGTCATTGTACATTTCATTTCAAGATCTTAACTTGATTACATCTGCAAAGACTTTTTCTCCAAATAAGGTAACATTCACAGGTTTCAGATATTGGAATATGGGATATCTTTTTGTGTAGTCACCATTCAATTCACTGTGATACACTTAGAGGTATATTTCCTTTTTTCTCCTCTGTCTTAATATTTGCTGTGCTTCTTAAATCTGAGAATGCATGCCTTTCTTCAATTCTGGAAAATTCTAATATATTATCTTTTAGAATATTTCCCCTCCTTCAATCTCTTTACTGTCCTTTTTTTATCATCTATTAGATGTGTATTAAATTTGTCTTCCTATTTTCTATATTCTTTAACATGGCTTCATATTTTAATCTATTCTGTCTTTCTTTTTTGCTTTTGGTAATTTCTACCCATTTACTTTCTAGTTCACTTATTCTTTATCCAGCTGAATCTAATCTGCAATTTAATCTTTCCATTGAGATTTTAATTTCAGTGATTCTATTTTTTACCTCCAGAAGTTTTATTTGGTGATTCTTAAAATATGCTCTATGTCATGTTTTTTGCTCATGTTTCATAGTTATTTCAAGATTGATATTTGATCAATTCAATATATGAAGTTCTTGGGGGATCTAAATGTTGTGTTTATTGTTTTGTCTGATTCTCATTCATGTTAAGTTATATCTTTGGGTGTTACATATGTTTTGTACATTCTTTCATCTATAGTTGATCTAAATCTGTGGGAATCTTCAGTTTGCCCTTCTTCAAGATAATTTTTAAAATGAGAATTTGCATTTGCCTCTGCCATGCACTTCAGAAGTGTTACAAATCTGAGATAGCTTTAAATGAATTTTTTGGTTTCTGTTTCCCTGGCCCACATATTTCATGTAGATTTGAATTCTAAACTCCTATGTAGGTAGAGTTATGATTATGACTAATTAGCAGGAGTAGTATTTCTTTTTTTCCAACCTGGAGCTGGGATACAGACATATTTTAATCATACTTTTTCATTGAGGGATAAGTTTTTTTCCACTCTTGCTGAAAACATCATCTTTTAAAGATTTTGGTTCTATGTGGCATCTCAGTACCAATTCCTGTCAATCTTGTGTAGTGTGAGAGTCTTTTTTCCACATCTTGCATGGTCATTAAAACTCAAGGCTTAGGGTTCCATGTAAAATTGAAGACACCTATAAATATAGTTCTCATTTTCTAAAGTGGTACTTTCCTATCCACCTAGCTACTTGCCTTTTTGGATTCATGTTTATACATGCAATCTCAAGTGGATAATTTACTCAATGATAAGGATAATTGAAAACAAAATTACCTATATCTTTTGAATATCTGTGTTGATTCTCCCTATTGCATGTAAGTCAAAGCCTTGGTGTGTAGCCTGGAGTCTGGTAGCTGAGTCATCTTGTTTTCTCTACCATAGATTTGCCCTGCTTTGTAAAATCCAGTGCTATATATTGACCAAATATTAATGACATGATTAACTGCATACTTAAGAAAACCATGGCTTTAGAAAAGAATATTGTATAGTTTATATAAAATTTTAGTTTATATTAAATGTAATTTAATTACAAAAGGCAATTTTATACCAGAAGCGTAATTAATTAGGAGCCAAGGTATGATTAATTGTCTTTTAAGAGTTGTATCATCCAAGAATGCTGCATTACCAATGTGATCTCAGGCACCAACATACATGCATTTGGCTCTAGATTGGCCTTCCTTTTCTGAAGCTGTCAAAGGAGAAGGTGACTAGGAAAGAAAACTCTTTACGCAGGTTGCCGAATCAGTACGACATTCACAAGACTTCATCACCTCTTTGTACATCTTCCTCAATTACTCGGTATTTAAATCCTCGTACTCTATTTCTTGAATATTGGGTTCAGACTTGGGTGTTTCTCTTCAGAATCATTTATCCCTTCCACATAAAGAATGTCAAGTAGTTTGTGCTAACTATGCTCTTAGGATTGTGTAGAAATAAGGGCACTGTATGTGGAATTGGAGGACTTAGATTTGAGTCCTGATTGACCTCACATGCTTAGACTTTTGTAAAATTTGTATCTCTGGGCCTCACTTTCCACATCTGTATAAGGATCTTGTACTAAATGAACTCTTAAGATGTCTTCCAACACTAACAGTATATGATTTTAGTTATTTATATGTTATAGTGTTAGGTAATCTTTTCCAGACATTTTTACTGATAGGTGATGGAATCTGAAATTCTTCGGCTGTTTAAAGATACTTTTCGTTTGCTTTATTGTAATAACTTTCTTAAAAATTTGCTGTGAATTGGATTAATAATAGGAAAAACTGGACCATAGTCAAAGGATAGTGGGCCATGGGCACTATTTACAGACTAGGCTAAATTCTGCTTTACAGAAAAATATCTGTAAAAGAAATAAGGTGGGAATTCTGAAGTAAAGAATATGGGATCCTCCATAACTTGGACAGTTCTTCAAGAAAGGTTCTTATGAATCTCAGACTATTGATAGGTTTGCTAATATTTTAAAATGGAATTTGCATATTTTCATTGCTGCTTTCTAATGTGGTTGTTTCTTTGACAGGGACAAGGAAATGCTCTCTAACCTCTACCTGACGTTATATGATGAAGTAACCCATGGATATTTATACTCCCAAGAATTAAGTGGTAATAAGAGGTTCTAAAATTTCTTGAATACATTTCCTGATTATGTGCTTTTTAGGAATTGTTTCAGCAGGTAGTGCCTCTTCTTCTACTCCTAATGGCTTTATGGTATCAACTGATAAAACATGATACAGCAAATGCTGCAGGCTGTAAGGAAGCAAATGTGAATAGTTTAATCCTTAAATATCTTTTGTTATATTGGTAAGATAGGCAAAATATGTAGCTTATACTAGTTCGAATGTATTTTTTGGAAAAACATCTACATATTACATCCCATGGATATATTAGTAAGTTCTGGAGCCACTGATATCACTGGAATTTAGTCTTTGGTATCTTAATATTAAGGCTTATACTACCCTTTACTCCTTTATGATACTGACTTCTGCCGTATCTTGGGCTTCTCCTTTATATTTATGGAATATTTGGCATAGTTTTCCTTTTATGTTAACTCTGATTGTCATAATATGTATCTTAGTGTCCAAATGGTTGACTCATACTACTCTAGCTTCAAACTTTCCAAATCAATTATTTTACCTTGATTCCTCTGACCAACACTGATGGCCACAAATTACATACACATTTTCATTATGTGAAAATCTGAGGCTTTAATGTCTTGTTCTTCACTCACAATTTCTTATACTTCCAGCTCTTATAATTTAAAATTTTATTTCCTTGACCTCTCCATTTGGTGCCACTATGATTGATTTCCAACCTCAGCTGCCCTTAGCACCAGTTGGCGTTCCCTTTACATTTTGGTGTGACCTCTCCTGTTTCCTTTGGTACCTATTCCAAACCTTTGCTACTATCCTCAAATCCTGAATTATGTCATCTATCTAACTCTAAACACTTAAAAATGTTTTACTTAATTAAAATAAAATTAATTGTTTTCATTAATTGCTCAATTTTCTCACTTCCTATTTCATGGAAATCTGCCTTCCACCTCCAAAATTCTACTAAAACTTATTTTATTAAAGTCATTATTATCAACTCTTTAGTCTTTCTTTTGTATTTAGCACTGTCAGGGTTGGGTGAGGTGGCTCATGCCTGTACTCCCAGCACTTTGAAAGGCCATGTGGGAGGATCATTTGAGACCAGGAGTTCAAGATCAGCCTGGGCAATATAGTGAGACCCCATCTCTATAAAAAATAAGAAAACCAAAAAATTAGTTGGGCATCTTGGCACACACCTGTAGTCCTAGCTACTTGGGAGACTGAGACTGCAGTGAGCCATGACCATACTATTGCATTCCAGCCTGGGCAACTGAGAAACTCTGGATTTAAAAAGACAAACAAAAAGCACTGTCATCGATTGCCTCTTTTCTGAAAATAAATTGTAGTGTCCACTAAACCAAAAAATTCAGTTCAATAGACTTTTTTTTTTTTTTGAGAATTTATTCTGAATTAGGCACTGGAAACAGAAGAATGAAAAATCTTGCTCTGTAAAAGTTGACAGTTTAGTGAGGGGTATTGACATACAAGCAATCATAATGTCAAGGGCTTTGACTGAGATACATAGTAAGTGCAGTGGGGGAACACAGAGGAATGATTTGCTATTCCCAGGGCAAGTTGTGGAAGCCTTTGCCTATGTGCTTTTGTGTGACTTTCCTGACAGTTTCTGAAAGTTCTTTAGGAAACAGGTTGAAAGATTTGAATATTAAAAGATTGAAGGGGGTGGGTTAAAAAAGAAAGAAGGTTGAAAGGCTGAAAGTACAAATTTGCTCCCCTTTCTTTTAGTGATTATTAGTTTTTTGAGAGATGGTGGGGGGAATAAAAATAATTAATCTTTTTGAATAACTAACTAAATGTTTTGTTATGTGTGTGCAGCACTTCATAAAGCCTGTAAAATTTTTAGTAAATTTCGAAGTGGTAAGATTTATGTGAATGATCTTCCAGTGATCCTTTACATCTTGAGAATTTCTATAAGTGATTTAGAAATGCGACAGGCACTAAAGACTATTGATATTGATGGTAAGTTTTATATTTTCAGTATTACCTTAAGGGTCTGCAATCATAAATATGTTATGTTTGTCAGATTAATTAGAAATGATAGGAAAACTAAACCTTAAAATGTATTATAAAAACATCATTTTTGGTCATATTATATGTTATAAAACATTTTTATGTGTTACAAGAACACTACTTACAATAATGATATTAAAAATTGGCCTCAGGTTTATGTAATTGGGTTGATTAATTACTGGATTGGATTATGGCATATTCTCTTTAATGGTCCATGCATGGTCTACTCTTATTTAGTTATGTAATTTAAATAAAGTAATAAATACTTGACCTAACCACCCAAAATAAAAATTAGGACCTTGTCAATAATTCGTCTCTAACTATAAAGTTTACTAAGCAACTTACTATTCTGTTTTTCCCAACCTGAAGTAAGCATTATCTTGAATCCTATATTCATTATTCTCTTTTTTTTTCTTTTTAAGTCGTATTATTGTTATGGATATGTATTTTTGTAAAATAGTTCAAAAATTTTTGTTGTTTAAAAAACTTCAGTAAACAGTTCTTCATGATGTACATAATCTTTTGGAGACTTTTTCACTTAATATTATATGACTAAGATTTATTCATATTGTTGTATACTGCTTTTTTTGTATGCTCTTACCACCCTTGAATTGATCAGCCTTTAAAAATTATGGTTGTTCTAATAGATATACAGTTATTATCTGATAGTGGTTTTAATTTGCATTTCTGAATGATTAAATAATGTTGAATATCTTTTCATGTGGTTACTTGCCATTTGTATATTTTTTGCCTATTGAAAAACTGTGTTCTTATTATTGCATTTTGAAATTATTTATATATTCTGAATATAAGTCCTTTATTGGATATGTGATTTACAGATATTTTTTTCTATTCTGTTGCTTGTCTTTTAATTCTCTTAAGAATGTTTTTAGAAAAGCAGAAGTTCATACTGTTGTTGAAGTCCAGTCTATAATTCTTTCTTTTATGAATTGCTTTTGATACCTATCTAAAAGATCTTTGCTAACCCAAAGTCACAACACTATCAGAAAACAAGTCTTTCATTAAAACATTAAAACAAGTAGTTTCATTAAAACATTAAAACAAGTAGTTCATTAAAATTTAGACAGATGTTTCACTGTTTTTGAAAGAAAGGAGTGCCCACTCTCAAGTTGTTACACTGAAGAAGTGGAATCAGACAACTTGACAAACTTTTCAGTATTGGAGAAAGTGCTTCTGTGGTATGGAAATGAGAACAACCAAGCCTTGTCATTTTCTCTGCAGATGAGTGGAAGTACTGAAGTGTTCTTCTATAGGTTATTTTTGTTCAGATGACATTAAATTGAAATGCAGATTTATACTTGTTTTCTTCATGACATAGATAACATCATTGATGTAAATAAACCCTGTCAAAGTTAGCCTCATTTACTTAATGACAGGAGGAAATGAAATCATAGTTATTTAACTTGAAGAATCTTGAGGAGTTAGCACTGCAATATCTACAGTACTAGACCCATAGCATTCTTATTACTGCTGGAGCACTGTTTACTACGTAATTGCAATATGTAATTTTTTTTCTGGTAAATTTTCTGTTTACATTCTCTATATAATGTCGGTTGCTCTATGTATAGATAATGGCATTCTAATGTCATTGTTAATTCTATTTATATTTTTAGTTGCCATTTTTATATTATGTTCTTAGTGAGTTACCTAATAATGTTTGCTGATGGAGTTTTTTTCCCTTCTGTTTTGGAACCATTTTTATAGTTAATGGAATGCTGGATTTTTCAAATTTTCTTAAAGCTGTGACTGATGTTTCTTATTTGGTCTCTCAGAATCCAGGTAAAAAAGACTTCTTTGAAAGTATAGAGGGTAATAATTTCGTAACTGATTTTGGGGTTAGGTGGGGTAGCATTTAATATATGAATTAATTTATATTTTACAGAATATCTTCCTTTTTCTCCCACTAGTTTAGGCTGAGAACAATAAAATGCATTACAAAACCTGGCTCAAACTGCCCCAGTATCCTAACTTTCTATCTCTAATCTCTAGTTTTTCCTGCACATTAACTGCTAGACTAATTATCTTAAAACACTATTTTCATCATGTCTTTTTCCTGCTCAAGAATTTAGATGCTTTTGCTATTATCAAATGAGTCTAGGCCAAGCTCTCATGCTTAGTCTCCTCACCCCTCTTCGTAATTTTGTTCATCACTCTTTGCTTTATCACAGAACTTTTTCCAGGCAAGAACCCCATACTCCAGTCAGTCATAAATATCCATACTTGCCAATATAATTCTTAATCTCATGCCTTTGTTTGTGTGCTTTTTTTTTTTTTTTTAACTGTTGAAATCTCACATCTGTTTTCTTCTTCATCCTTGACAGTACTTTGTTCCTTTTGCTGGGAATCTGCTTGTATTTCTTCCTAAAAATCTCATAAATTTATGGGTCTCCTAATAACATTAGTTTACATTAGTTTACATTAGCTATGCATTATAAATAAAGTGGTTGGAGAGAGTATTTGTATTAATGGTAGAAACGGTACCTCCAAAACCATGAAATTTATGACATTCGTGACCTGATGTTAGCAATTCTTCTATTCCTCCATTAGGCAATATCAAGTTCTTATGCTCAGTCCTTGGAATTATAAATTTTAATTTTTATTTGTATAAATTTAAGGGGTGCAAATGCAGTTTTGTTGCATCCTGGTAAAGTCTGGGTTTTTAGTGTAACCATTATCTGAATAGTTATACATTGTACTTATTAAGTAATTTTTCATCCTTCACCCCCCCACACTTCCAAGTCTCCAGTAACTATTATTGCATGCTCTATGTCCATGTGTACACATTTTGCTGCCACCTATAAATTAGGCTCCTATTTATAAATGGCTTTCATTATCTTAAGTGAAATAACTCAGAAACAGAAAGTCAGATAGATAATAGTTTCATCCATGTTGCTCTAAAAGATATGATTTCATTCTCTTTTTTAATGGCTGAATAGTATTCCACTGTGTGTGTGTGTGTGTGTGTGTGTGTGTGTGTGTGTGTGTGTTTGTGTACCATATTTTCTTTATCTAGACATCCATTGATGGACACTTAGGTTGATTTTACATCTTTGCTGTTGTGGATAGTGCTGTGATAAGCATATGAGTGCAGGTGTCTTTTTGAGATAATGGTTTCTTTTCCTTTGGGTATTACCTAGCAGTGGAATTGGTGGATCAGATGGTAGTTCTGTTTTCAGTTCTTTGAGAAATCTCCACACTGCTTTCCATTTTTCCATAATGCTCGTTTGGCCATCTGTATGTCTTCTTTTGAAAAATGTCTATTCATGTCATTTGCCCATTTTTTAACAGGTTATTTGTTGTTTTTTGTCGTCATTGAGCTGTTTGAGTTCTTTGTAAATTCTGGATATCAGTCCCTTGTTGGATGCATAGTTTGCAAATATTTTATCCTATTCTTTAAGTTGATAGTTCATTCTGTTGATTATTTCTTTTGCTGTGCAGAAGCTTTTTAGTTTTGTTGTATCATTTGCCTTTTTGTTGTTGTTGTTGTTGCTTGTGCTTTTGAGTTCTTAGTCATGACCAATGTCAATAAGAGGTTTCCTTAGGTTTTCATCTAGTATTCTTGTAGCTTCAAGTATTACATTTAGGTTTAGATCCATCTTATCGCTTCATTACATTTACATTTAGATCCATCTTGGGTTGATATTGTATATGGTGGGAGATAGGGGTCCAGTTTTATTCTTCTGTGAATGGCAATCCAATTTTTCCATTACCGTTTTTTGAAAACAGTGTCCTTTCCCCAGTGTATGTTTTTGTCAACTTTATCAAAGATCCATTGGCTATAGATATGAAGCTTCATTTCTGAGTTCTCTTTTCTGTTCCACTGATTTATGTGTCTACTTTTATACCAGTACCAAGCTGTTTTGGTTACTATAGCCTCATAGTATGATTTGAGGTCAGGTGATGTGATGCCTCCAGCTTTGTTCTTTTGCTTAGGATTACTTTGGCTATTTAGGCTCTTTTAGTTCCTTGTGAATTTTAAGATTGTTTTTCTATTCCTGTGAAAAATGACATTGGTGTTTTGGTAGAGATTGCATTGAGCCTATAGATTGCTTTGGGCAGTGTGATCATTTTAATGATATTAAAGTTTTGATCCATGAGCATGGGATGTTTTTCCATTTGTGTCATCTACTTCATCAGTGTCATGTAGTTTTCCTTATAGAGATCTTTCACCTCTTTGGTTAAACGTATTCCTAGGTGTTTTTTTTTTTTTTTTTTTTTTTTTGTAGCTAAGGTAAATGGCATTGCCTTCTTGATTGGTTCTCGGCTTGATATTAGTGTATAGAAATGCCACTGATTTTTGTATCTTGATTTTATCTACTTAAACATTACCAAATTTGTTTATTAAATCTAAGGGTATTTGGGGAGGAGTCTTCAGGGTTTTCTCGATATAAGATTGTATCATTAGCAAACAGACATAATTTGACTTCCCCTTTTCCAATTTGGATGCCTCTTATTTTTTTTTTTTCTCTTGACTGATTGCTCTGGCTAGGACTTTCAGTAATATATTGAATAGTTGGTGAAAGTAGGCATCCTTGTTTTGTTTTGGTTCTTAGGGGGAATGCTTTAAACATTTCCCCATTCAGTAGAATGTTGGCTGTGGCTTTGTTATATATGGCTTTTATTATTTTGAGGTATGTTCCTTTTATAGTGAATCAGATTTTTTCCATGCCTGGCTAAATTTTTGTATTTTTAGTAGAGATGGGGTTTCACTATGTTGGCCAGGCTGGTTTCAAACTCAAGTGATCTGTCTGCCTTGGCCTCCCAAAGGGCTGGAATAAGAGGTGTGAGCCACAGCACCTGGCCCAGATTTTATTTTGTTAGAATCAAGGACATGTGAATGTGATAGTCTTTATATTCCTGGATTAGAAAGTAAAAGGCAATAAAAACTTTTCAATGATTATTTATTCATTTATGTAATAAACATTAATGCCTGTATATGCAGCAGTGAACAATATAGATAGGATTCTTGGCTTGCTTTATCTTTTTGTTTCCTTATTTCCTATTTGGCATTTTGTTAGTCTCCATGGCATCAGGATTTTCCTGGTTCTCTTTTGTCTACTTCGTTTTTGACTTACATTTTTTTCTTGTTTCATTTCATTTAGTTCTTCTCTGATCTTAGTTATTTCTTTTCTTCTGCTGTGTTTGGGTTTGACTTGCTCTTATTTCTCTAGTTCCTTGAGATGTGACCTTAGATTGTCTATTTGTGCTCTTTCAGACTTTTTGATGGAGACATTTTATGCTGTTAACTTTCCTCATAACACAGCTTTTGCTGTATTCTAGAGGTTTGATAGGTTGTGTCACTAATATTGTTCAGTTCAAAGAATTTTAAAATTTCTATCTTGATTTCATTGTTGACCTAATGATTAGCCAAAAGCAGGTTATTTAATTTCCCTGTATTTGCATGGTTTTGAAGGTTCCTTTTGGAGTTGATTTCCAGTTTATTCCACTGTGGTCTGAGAGAGTGATTTATATAATTTTAATTTTCTTAAATTCGTTGAAACTTGTTTTGTGGCCCATCATCTGGTCTATCTTGGAGCATATTCCATGTGCTGATGAACAGAATACATGTTTTGCATTTGTTGGGTAGAATGTTCTGTAAATTTCAATTAGGTCAATTTTTTTCTGGAACGTAGGTTAAGTCCATTGTTTCTTTGTTGACTTTCTGTCTTAATGACCTATCTAGTGCTGTCAGTTGAGTATTGAAGTCCCCCACTACCGTTGCTGTCTATCTCATTTCTTACATCTAGTAGTAACTGTTTTATACATTTGGGAGCTCCAGTGTTAGGTGCATATATATTTAGGATTGTGATATTTTCCTGTTGGACTACTCCTATTATTATATAATGTCCCTCTTTGTCTTTTAAAACTGCTTTGTTTTGTCTGATATAAGAATAGCTACTCTTGCTTGCTTTTGGTGTTCATTTGCATGGAATATCTTTTTCTACTCCTTTTCCTTAGGTTTATGTGAGTCCTTAAGTGTCAGGTGAGTCTCTTGAAAACAGCAGATACTTGGTTGGTTAATTCTTTTTTTTTTTTTTTTTTGAGATGGAGTTTTGCTCTTGTCACCCAGGCTGGAGTGCAATGGCGCGATCTCGGCTCACCGCAACCTCTGCCTCCTGGGTTCAGGCAATTCTCCTGCCTCAGCCTCCTGAGTAGCTGGGATTACAGGCACGCGCCACCATGCCCAGCTAATTTTTTGTGTTTTTAGTAGAGACGGGGTTTCACCATGTTGACCAGGTTGGTCTCGATCTCTCGACCTTGTGATCCACCCGCCTCGGCCTCCCAAAGTGCTGGGATTACAGGCTTGAGCCACCGCGCCCGGCCGGTTAATTCTTATCCATTCTGTCATTCTATATCTTTTAAGTGGAGCATTTAGACCATTTGCATTCAATGTTAGTATTGAGATGTAAGGTACTACTCTATTCATTGTGCTTTTTGTTGACTATTTTGTGTTTTTTTCCCCTTGTGTTATTGTTTTATAGGTTCTATGAAATTTATGCTTTAAGGAGATTCTATTTTGGTGTATTTTGAGGATTTGTTTCAAGATTTAGAGCTCCTTTTAGCAACCAGTAGTGCTGCTTTCTTCTGGCTTGTAGGGTTTCTGCAGAGAGATCCACTGTTAGTCTGATGGGCTTCCCTTTGTGGGTAACCTGACCTTTCTCTCCAGCCGCCCTTAACATTTTTTCCTTCATTTCATCCTTGGTGAATCTGACGATTATGTGCCTTGGGGTTGCTCTTCTCGAGGGGTATTTTTGTGGTGTTCTCTGTATTTCCTGAATTTGAATGTTGGCCTGTCTTGCTAGGTTGGGGAAGTTCTCCTGTATAATATCGTGAAGAGTGTTCACACCATTTGTCATACTCATTCTCTATTCAGTTTTGTTCCCTTGCTGGCGAGGAGTTGTGATCCTTTGGAGGAGTAGAGGCATTCTTGTTTTTTGAATTTTGAGCCATTTTGCATTGGTTTTTACTCATCTTCATGGATTTATCTATCTTTGGTCTTTGCTGTTGGCGACGTTTGGATGGGGTTTCTGTGTGGCCATCTTTTTTGTTGATGTTGATGCTATTCCTTTCTGTTTGTTAGTTTTCCTTCTAACAGTCAAGACCCTCTGCTGCAGGTCTGCTGGAGTTTGCTGGAGGTCCACTTCAGACCCTTTTTTTCCTGGGTATCACCAGTGGAGGCTGCAGAACAGCAAAGATTGCTGCCTGTTTCTTCCTCTGGAAGCTTTGTCCCAGATGGGCACCCACCAGATGAAGTGTCTGTTGACCCTCTACTGGTAGGTTTCTCCCAGTCAAGCAGCATGGGGGTCAGGGACCCAACTTGAGGAGGCTGTCTGTCCTTTAGCAGAGCTCAGGCACTGTGTTGGAAGATCTGCTGCTGTCTTCAAAGCCAATAGGCAGAAACTTGTAAGTCTGCTGAAACTATGCCACAGCTGCCCCTTCCCGAGTTGCTCTGTCCCAAGGAAATAGGAGTATCTATAAGCCCCTGACTGGGGCTGCTGCCTTTCTTTCAGAGATGCCCTACCTAGAGAGGAGGAATCTAGAGAGGTAGTCTGGCTACAGCTTTGTGATGCTATGGTGGGCTCTGCCTAATTCAAATTTCCTAGCACCTTTGTTTATTCTGTGAGGGGAAAGCCACCTATTCAAGCCTCAGTGATGGTGGATGCTCCTCCCCCCACCAAGCTCCAGCATCCTGAGTTGACTGCAGACTGCTGTGCTGACAGTGAGACTTTCAAGCCAATGGATCTTAGCTTGCTGGGCTCTGTGGGGTTGGGATCTGCTGAGTGAGACCACTTGGCACCCTGGCTTCAGCCCCCTTTCCAGGGGATTGAACGATTCTGTCTCCTGGCACACCAGGTGCCGCTAGGGTATGAAAAAAAACTCCTGTAGCTAGCTCAGTGTCTGCCCAAATGGCTGTCCAGTTTTGTGCTTGAAACCCGGGGCCCTGGTGGTATAGGCACCTGAGGGAATCTCATGGCCTGTGGGTTGCTAAGACTGAAGGAAAAGCATAGTATCTGGACTGAAATGCACTGTCCCTCACAGCACAGTCCCTCCTGGATTCCCTTAACTATGGGAGGGAATTCCCTGACCCCTTGTGTTTCCTGGTTGAGGTGGCATCCCACCCTGCTTTGGCTTGCCCTCTGTGGGCTGTACCCACTGTCTAACCAGTCCCAGTAAGATAAGCCAGGTACATCATTTGGAAATGCAGAAATCACCCACCTTCTGCATTGATCTTGCTGGGAGCTACAGACTAGAGCTGTTCCTATTAAGCCATCTTGCCAGCCACCTTGAATTGTGTTTTCTTTTTTTCTTTTTATCAAGGTTAATTAAGGGATGTAGTGGTCAGGGAGACTTTAAATTTAGCAGTAGGACACAGCTTTCAATATGTTTAATTTTTAAGGAAGAATCATTTATCTGAATATTTTCTTTAAAAAATTAAAAATATACTGAGCTCTATATTGGGACGCTAAAAATTTTAGAAAATGATAAAGTGATTTGGTGTTTAATTTATTTTAGTTAAATTGTTTTAAAATTATAGAATCTAAGATTCAGAAGTAGATGTCTTGGGGAGCTGCAGATTTGGTTTGCTAGTCAGGGCCATACTGAATATTTTCTTCTGACCATGTTCTTTCCAATTCGTTTTATATGCTAAGGACTGTTAACACAAGAATATGCAATTCCTATGGAGAAATAAAAGACCAATGTTTTAACCACTATTATAAAGCTATTTTTTAATAGTTGTTTATTTGTAGATAAATATTTAGAAAACCTCATGCTTATGTATGGTTATTTTCCCTTAGTAGGCTCTTGGCACAAAATCAGCTCCTTTTCCAAGAAAAGCTGCTGATTCTCATGGTATAATAATTTGTTTTTTTTGTAGCATTCCAGGATGCCTTGAAGATTTTCTGTAGGATAAAAGGTGGTCGAGTTTTAATTGATGAAGTGTTTGCTGTTTTGGATAGCATGGATATTCCTATAAACCCTGAAATTTTTGAAGAAGTGATAAAACATACCTATATTGACAGTGAGTTATTTGCATTGAGATATATATGTCAATATGTGTGCATATATTTATGTATTTTTTTCTGGATATCAATTTTGTGATCTGTCCTTTGTTTCTCCTTTTTTCTCTTGATTTTTACCTTTTGCCATTTACACCATTTACTGGTGTCTATAGTAAGAAATAGTCTAGAAAAATTAAATGAGAAGTTTCTAAAATTGTTATATTTTGATATGTTTGGTAAAAGAGTAAAATGAATTTTTAAAAAATTCAGCCTTCTATCTCTTTTCCAATAGTTATTTCTTGTCTTTGTGGGAAGTAGTTTCTTGTAGTATCAAGGGCATTGACTCTACAAATTAGAAGACCTAAATTTCTTGAATTCTCAATTTTATTATGTAGCTTTGATTAAACAGTTTCTATGCTCTTCAGTTAATCTCTGCACAATGTGGATTGCTTTAAACATTATAAAAATATTTAGCAGGTGTTTTGTATTACATGTTTACTTGTAACCAGAGGATGTCCTATAATAATTAGTGATTGATTGATTGATTCATTTGTTTTATTATTTTTAGAGACAGTGTCTCGCTGTGTTGCCCAGGCTGTAGTGCAGTGTCATGATCACTGCTCACTGTAATCTTGACCTCCTAGACTCAATGATCCTCCCACCTCATATTCCTGAATAGCTAGGACTATAGGTGTGTGCCATCATGCCAGGCTAGTTAATTTTTTTTTTCTTTTTGGTAGAGACGAGGTCTTGCTCTGTTTCCCAGGCTGGTCTCAAACTCCTAGCTTCAAGTGATACTCCTGCCTCAGCCTGCTGAGCATTCGAATTACAGGCATGAGCCACTGGGCCCAGCCTGATTCATTCATTTAATTAATCAGATAGTCATTTAAATCTACTATGCCTAGAACTGTTCTAGGTGATGCAAAGTTAAATAAAACACACTCCTTTTTTTGAGGTAGTTCACATTCAAGTGTGGAAAGAGTCAAGTAAACAGAAAATTAAAATGCTCCATGGCAAATACTATAATAGAGTGTATATAGGTTGCTAATACATACTGCAAGCCTTAGGGAAAGATTATAAAAGGGATTGATGTCTGAGCTAAATCTTGAAGGATCGGTATGAATTAAGTATTTGAAGGTAGCGAAGAGTGAGAAAAACATCTTAAGCCAAAGGAACAGTTTGTGTAAATATGGCCGAAAAATAATCAAACATGACATCTCTTTGAGTGAGCTTCCACTGGTTTTTGTCATTTATTAATGGTGACTTTGTAGTGGGCTTTTGGTTGCTGAAATGTGGTCTGGAGATAGAATAAGGCCTCATGGAGTTCTGTTAGGAAGTCAGATATGGTGAGCTCTGGGGTGAAGCATGAATGGAAGGATATGACAGGGTATGAAATGTAAAATGGGGATTTTAAAGACTAATCTTAAGCCTTTAGGACATACCCTACCAGGAACAACAGAAATCATATGAAACAGCTGCAGTACTTTGCTTTTTGGCTTATGGAGTTCTGGTCTGAGTCTCCAAGTCTCCTGCATTATTTGGGGAGGTAGATTGGGAAAAGGATACTAATTTTATAGGATTATTATAGGAATTAAATATAAACATTTATCACAGTGCTTGGCACTTAGACACAAGAAAGGTAAGGCAGAAACCTGACAGTCATCCTTGAAAACTCTATTTTTCTATTCCTTATGCAACCTAATATATATATATATATATATATATATATATATATATATATATGTATATATATATATATATTTTTTTTTGGAGATGGAGTTTCGCTCTTGTTACACAGGCTGGAGTGCAATGGCACAATCTTGGCTCACCGCAACCTCTGCCTCCTGAGTTCAGGCAATTCTCCTGCCTCAGTCTCCTGAGTAGCTGGGATTACAGGCATGCGCCACCATGCCCAGCTAATTTTTTTGTATTTTTAGTGGAGATGGGGTTTCACCATGTTGACCAGGATGGTCTTGATCTCTTTACCTCGTGATCCACCCGCCTCAGCCTCCCAAAGTGCTGAGATTACAGGCGTGAGCCACCGTGCCCGGCCAGATACATCTTTTTAAAAACATTTTCCCACCTGTGTGGGCTGTGGTAGGGGGAACCTAGCAGAAGTGCATGCCTGCGGGCAGGCATGGGTGTGTGTGTGATGGTGTAATGAGGAATCTTGAGATCATCCTGGATGACCAAGGTAGGCCCTAAATTCAGTGGCAAGTGTCCTCATAAGAGGCAGAAGACATAGCCACAGAGAGGAGACCAGGTGAAAACAAAAGAAGAAGCTGGAGTGATACAACAGTCAGGGAAATGGAGAAATCTTAGAATCAGGAAAAGAAGAGGGGAACGATCCAAGATGGCCGAATAGGAACCGCTCCGGAGTGCAGTTCCCAGAGAGAACAATGCAGAGGGTGAGCGATCACCAGATTTCCAAATGAGTTTTTACTGCACACAGACCAGGAGATTCCAGGGCTGAAAAGTGCCACAAGTTTCCAGCACAGCTGTTTCAGCTGGCACCACAGGTCTCCCCACAAAAATTCACACAAATCTGAGTGGCCCTTTCAACTGGCTCCTGGAATGCCTGGGAGACAGAGCTGCCCCTTCAACTGAAAAAAAAAAAGGGGCCTGAAACAGGGATCCAGGTGATCTGGCTCAGTGGGTCCCACCCCAACAAAGACCAGCAATCTGAAACACTCTGGATTGAGTGTTTCACAGCAAGTGCAACTGGACCCAGGATGGTCCAGCTTGGTGGGGGGAAGGGCATCAGCCATTACCAAGGCAGTCCACCACTACCAAGACAGTCCGCCATTACCAAGGCAGTCCGCCATTACCAAGGCAATCCACCCATACTGAGGCAGACTGCTATTACTGAGGCAGTCCTAACTGTACCTCTGTAAACAAAACTGCAAAGAAGTTCACACAGCAGCTGGGCAGAGCCACGGCAGCTCAGCAATGCCTCTGCTGGCAGACTGTGACTACCTCCTTGCTAGGCAGGGCATCTCTGAAAAAAGGCAGCAGCACATCGGAAACATATAAATAAAGCACCACCTTCCCAGGACAGAGCACCTGGGAAAAGAGGTGGTTATGAGGTCTGTTGCAGCAGACCTAAATGTACCTGCCCAGCAGCTCTGAATGGAACAACGGAGCTCCCAGCTCAGCACTTGAGTTCCTATAAGGGACAGACTGTCTCCTCAAGCAGCTCCCTGACCACCATATATCCAAAGAGACACCACATAAAGGAGAGCTCAGGCTGACATCTGGAGGGTACCGTTCTGGGATGAAGATAACAGAAGAAGAAACTGGCAGCAACTCTTACTGTTCTGAGGCCCACATGGGTGATCCCCAAGCAAGCAAGGTCTGGAGTGGAACTCCAGCAGTCCTACAGCAGAGGGACCTGTTAGAAAAAAAAAAAAATTAAAAAACAGAAATAACTTCAACATTCACAAAAAGGACATCCACTCAGAGACCCCATCTGTAAGTCACCAACTACAAAGACCACAGGTAGATAAATACATGAAGATGGGGAGAAACCAGCGCAAAAAGATAAAAACACCCAAAACCAGAATGCCTCTCCTCCTCCAAGGGATCACAACTCCTCAACGGCAAGGGAACAAAGCTGGATGGAGAATGAGTCTGATGAATTAACAGAAAGAGGCTTTAGAAGGTGGGTAATAACAAACTTCTCTGAGCTAAAAGAACATGTCCTAACCCAATGCAAAGAAACTAAGAACATTGAAAAAAGGTTAGGCAAAATGCTAATGAGAATAAACATCTTAGGAATATAAACGACTTGATGGAGCTGAAAAACACAACACAAGAACTTCACGAAACATACACAAGTTTCAATAGCTGAATCCATCAAGCAGAAGAAAGGATATCAGAGATTGAAGATCAATTCAATGCAATAAAATAAGGCAAGATTAGAGAAAAAAGAGTGAAAAGAAATGAACAAAGCCTCCAAGAAATATGGGATTATGTGAAAAGACCTAATCTACATTTGATAGGTGTACCTGAATGTGACGGAGAGAATGAATCCAAGTTGGAAAACACTCTTCAGGATATTATCCAGGAGAACTTTCCCAACCTAGATAGGCAGACCAACATTCAAGTCCAGGAAATACAGAGAACACCACAAAGATATTTCTCAAGACAAGCAACCCCAAGGCACATCATCAGATTCACCAAGGGTGAAATGAAGGAAAAAATGCTAAGGCAGCCAGAGAGAAAGATCGGGTTACCCACAGAGGGAAACCCATCAGACTCACAGCAGATCTCTTGGCAGAAACCCTGCAAGCCAGAAGAGAGTGGGGTCTAATATTCAACATTCTTAAAGAAAAGAAATTTCAATCTAGAATTTCATATCCAGCCAAACTAAGCCTCATAAGTGAGGAGAAATAAAATCCTTTACAAACAAGCAATTGCTGAGAGATTTTGTCACCATCAGGCCTGCCTTACAAGAGGTGCTATAAGAAGCACTAAACATGAAAAGAAACAACCAGTACCACCCACTCCAAAAATGTACCAAATGGTAAAGACCATCAACACAATGAAGAAACTGTGTCAACTAACGGGCAAAACAACTAGCTAGCATTAAAATGGCAGGATCAAATTCACACATAACAATATTAACTTTAAATGTAAATGGGCTAAATGCCCTAATTAAAAGATACAGACTGGAAAATTGGGTTAAAAGTCAAAACGCATCACTGTGCTGTATCCAGGAAACCCATCTCATGTGCAAGGACACACATAGGCTTCAAATAAAGAGATGGAGGAAGATTTACCAGGCAAATGGAGAGCAAAAAAAAGCAGGAGTTGCAATCCTAGTCTCTGATAAAATAGGCTTTAAACCAACAAAGATCAAAAGAGACGAAGAAGGGCATTACATAGTGGTAAAAGGATCAATGCAACAAGAAGAGCTAATGATCCTAAATATATACACACTCAATATAGGAGCACCCAGATACATAAAGCAAGTTCTTAGTGACCTACAAAGAGACTCAGACTCCCACACAATAATTGTGGGAGACTTTAACACTCCACTGTCAATATTAGATCAATGAGACAGAAAATTAACAAGGATATCCAGGACTTGAACTCAGGTCTGGACCTAGTGGACCTAATAGACATCTACAGAACTCTCCACCCCAAATCCATAGAATGTACATTCTTCTCAGCACCATATTGCACCTACTTTAAAACTGACCACGTAATTGGAAGTAAATCACTACTCAGCAAATGCAAAACAATGGAAATCATAACAAATAGTCTATCAATTAGACTGTTTGTTAGATTCCACAGTGCAATCAATTAGAACTCAGGATTAAGAAACTTAGAACTGCACAGCTTCATGGAAACTGAACAACTGGCTCTTGAATGTTGACTGGATAAACAATGAAACGAAGGCAGAAATAAAGATGTTCTTCAAAACCAAAGAACACAAAGACACAACATACCAGAATCTCTGGGACACATTTAAAGCAGTATCTAGAGAGAAATTTATAGCACTGAATGCCCACATGAGAAGCAAGGAAAGATCTAAAATTGACACCCTATCATCAAAATTGAAAGAACTAGAGGAGCAAGATCAAAAAAACTCAAAAGCTAGCAGAAGGCAAGAAATAACTAAGATCAGAGCAGAACTAAAGGAAATAGAGATACAAAAAAACCCTTCAAAAAATCAACAAATCCAGGAGCTGGTTTTTTGAAAAGATCAACAAAATAGACTGCTAGCCAGATTAATAAAAAAGAAGAGAGAAGAACCAAATAGATGCAATAAAAAATAATAAAGGATATATCAGCACCGATTCCACAGAAATATAAACTACCATCAGAGATTACTACAAACAACTCTATGCACATAAACCAGTAAACCAGGAAGGAATGGATAAATCCCTGGACACTTTCACTCTCCCAAGCCTAAACCAGGAGGAAGTTGAAACTCTGAATAGACCAATAACAAGGGCTGAAGTTGAGGCAGCAATTAATAGCCTGCCAACCAAAAAAAGCCCATGTCCAGTTGGATTCAGAGCTGAATTCTACCAGACGTGCGAAGAGGAGCTGGTCCCACTCTTTCTGAAACTATTCCAAACAATCCAAAAAGAGGGAATCCTTCCCAAAATCATTTTATGAGACCAACGTCATTCTGGTACCAAAACCCGTCAGAGACTCAACAAAAAAAGGAAACTTCAGACCGATATCCATGATTAACAAAGTCTTTGTCCACTAGGGACTATTTAAGTAGGTAATATTTGTTTGGGAGCTTCATCATAGGTGTTTATTATTGCGTAGATGCAAGGAATAAATTTGAGCAAGAGCTAATGAATCTGTAAACGTGGTTGACTACCACACTCTTATTAGTTGAGCTTGGACTTCTGTTCAGAGAAAGGAGTTTTCTAAATGAAGAGCAGGTAAAAGTGAAATGGCCTACACTGGATTAATACATGTATGGTCTAACAGAATACTTTTCAGGGATCAGATTCAAGAGCTTGAGGGTTGAAGCTTTGAGTTGTCTTAGGACTTAAGCCATGATCTAAGAACATGGGACATGGAATCAATCTACAATAAGTGACAGTTACTGGGAAGGCTCTGAGAAGTGTTAGAACCATAATCAAAACCAGAATGAGGATAAATGCCAAGGAAATAAGAAACCAGAATGTACGAAGCAATTCCTAATCAGGAGACAGTTTAACACCAATTTAACCTAGCATTTCTTTGATTGGTTCAAACACATAGCACTTGCTTTGTAGTGATTTAAAGGCCTACACCTGAAATACATAATTTACCAATTTTCAGAGAATCAGTGAATCAGGTGAACCCAACACCAAAACGATACTATTCTTTCATTTAATAATTTGCTTCTTCTGGTCGCCGCGAGAGGGGCGGGGTGGCTGGGCTACTCCCTTTAGTCCTGTTCCCAGCCTGCCCCACCCCATAGCCAAGGGCTGGATGAGAGTACATAGTCCGAGGAGGCGCAGGACGCTGATGCAGAAGGAGCTGGACGGAGCTGTCGTCGCGCGAGGAAGCTTTGTAAGTATACGCATTGCACCCCTATTTTCACAAACCTGGCTATCAGAGCATTATGAACATTAATGACCTCGAAATCAGGTTGTCCGAAGCTGAGCAAGAACATCCACTATGTTTCTAGAATGAGCTTAAAGAAGCTCAACAGGAAGAGCTTTATGCAAAGCTCCAGGCCATGAACTTTGAGGAGCTGAACTTCTTTTTCCAAAAGGCCATTGAAGGATTTAACCAGTCCTCTCAGCAAGAAAAAATGGTTGTGTGAATGGAACCTGTCCCTTGAGAGGTGTTGGGTAGTGCTACAGGGAATCTAGATCAGCTCCAGGCCTGGGAAAGTGAAGAACTTTTCCAGATTTCTCAGAACGAAGTAACACTTCTAGCTGGTGGGCAGGGACTAGACTCATTGCATATCCAAAGGGGATGTATGATGTTAGTTTGCCATCCCATAAGATGCCTTTTTCAGTTTCAAGTAGAGCGTATCCTGAAGCTACAATGGCTGAAAAATATGGCATCAAATGCATTATTCCTTATAATAATCAGTAACAGAACAGGGGAATCTACAAAGGAGTTCTGCACTAAGCACAAGTACTTTGGTTTGAAAAAAGAAGATAAAATCCCTTTTCAGCAAGGAATGCTCCCTGCCATGAGTTTTGATGGGCAAATTATTTTGGAAGTGAAGAACAAAGTTTCTATGGCTCCAGATAAGAATAGTGGTCTTTATTGGGCTTTTGCAGTCTGGAATACAGTGGAGGAGGTGGAGCAAAGAAGCATTTGGAGCATTCATGTCTATTGTGTTGACAACATATTAGTAAAAGTGGCAGACCCGTGGTTCATTGGATTTTGCATTCCAAAAGGAGCAGACTGTGGAGCAAAGGTGTTAGAGAAAACAAACCCTACAGAACCGGTTGAAGTAGTTTGCCAAGTGTGGAGTTTCCCAGGTGGTAGAATATGGTGATATTTCCCTGGCAACAGTTCAAAAATGAAGGTCGGATGGATGACTGCTGTTTCATGTGGGGAACATTGCCAACCATTTCCTCACTGTACCACTTCTGAGATGTGTTGTCAATGTTTATGAACCTCATTTGCAGCACCATGTGGCTCAAAAGAAGATTCCTTATGTGGATACCCAATAGCAACTAATTAAGCCAGATAAACCTAGTGGAATAAGCATGGGAAAATTTGTCTTTGACATCTTCTAGTTCACAAAGAAGTTTGTGGTATATGAAATATGGGAAGATGACTTTTCCACACTAAAGAATGCTGACAGACAGAATGGGAAAGACAACTCTGCTACTGCAAGGCATGCTTTCATTACTTGCTGGGTCCTCAATTCATGGGTCACTTTATTGATGAAAATGGCTCTCATCTTCCAGTAATTCCCTGCTTAAAGGATGCCAGTGATGTACCAATCCAGTATGAAATCTCTCCTCTTATCTCTAATGCTGAAGAAGGAATGGAAAGTTATATGGCCAATATATAATTCCATACACCTTTAATCATTGATGAAAATGGAGTTCATGAGCTGGCGAAAAATAGTATATGAACCCTATACCAAATTCTACCACAATAGGAATAGCTTTTAGTTTTTATAGACCAACTGTGAACCTATAGGACCTCCTGGATGACTGAAGTTTAAATATTCACAGGGCTTTATTTTGCTTATTGAACTCTCATAGCTACTGCAAACTTCTCAAGATCTAGATGTCCGAATTTCAGATAGCATTTTTATGGTTCCCAACTCATTGAAGGTCTTATTTGTATTTTTCAATTGTCTATTTTTTTTTCTAAGGCAAAGAAACCATTGGCAATCCAAGAAATTTCCTACAGCTGAACTATAGGCAGGATGTTCTTTACTTGGAGCTGGAGGCATTTGTTTTTGAAGTTGTACATAATAATATGTTGTTGTTGTATATGATGAAAAGTTTCTATGGAACCAAAAGTTTACCAGATATTAAACTTTTTAAACAAAATAATTGGACAGTAAAATAAATGTATCTTCCTGTCTCTGGGGAAAAAGATTTGCTTCTTTCTCTCAGAGTTTTCACTTGTGCATATTATTGAACAGTTGATTTCTTATGAATAGACTGAAGAAAAAAGCCATCACTATTATAGATAGATAAGTAAATTTTCAGTCTTTTTCATCTTGGATGGCAAGCAAAACCAAATATTTGAGAGGCAAGAACTGTTGGGCAAAGCATTTTCTACCTCTGTGCACAATTGAAATGACATTACTCACGGTCACTGCATCTGAACATGTCCTTAGTCATGCATTATCCAAGAAGAAAAATGGTCTTAGACAGAGGCAGGGGCAGGGATAGTGGGAAGTTATAATTATGAAAGTCCTGGACACAGAGAAGGTACAAAGTAAATCATTATCTGCTATTCACTATGTAGACATTGCATTGTTTTTTATAGTCTTCTGTATATTTTGTTCAGCCAAAAATAATTTTTAGTGATAAGAAGTAGGTACTTTGCTAGGCATTGGGGAAACAAATGAAAGACACATCCTCTGTTCTTGAGGAGCTCACAATCTAGAAATGAAGACAACAGAGTAAATAAGTACCTGTAATAAACTCTAAAAAATGTGTAAAATTAAAAAAAAATTCTAATTAGCATGAGGGCTTAAAACAAGACTATTTCTTTTGATTGAAAGCTCTTTTATTAAGGAGAAAAGACCATGGTCTTAGGCCTATCTTTTAGTGTGTACTGAGTTGTTAATTCATTATTTCAGATTTTATTCAAGCTTGTAATAGTTGGCTTTTTGTTCCTACTTGCCACACATTCTGTGGTGTTTTCGTATTAGAATAGGATGGCAGATATATCTATGTTCAAAAGTAAATACAGTATTTGAACTTACTCTATTACAGGTAACCACATGGTGGATATTGGGGATATTATATTTATTTTGAATGAACTACAGGAACAGTATGAGGAAGTTCGTAAGTGAGCTCTTGTTGCTATGGCAAATTTTGTTTATAATTAAAGTTTTTACATTAAATCTTAATTTTTAAGTTTTATTTTATAAAGGTTTTGGAAACCTTCTCTGAAAAATTTACTGTCTTAAATCAGGGACATAAAAATATAATACTCAAAATGCTATTTATGTGTCCTCTTTTTAGAAATGTCTATGCATGTTCTTCTCCCAGTTTTGTTGTTTTGTTGTTTGTTTTGTTTTCTTTTGTTTTGTTTTTGTAAGACTGAGTTTCTCTCTTGTTGCCCAGGCTGGAGTGCAATGGCATGATCTTGACTCACTGCAATCTCCACCTCCGGGGCTTAAGTGTTCCTCCTGCCTCAGCCTCCCAAGTAACTGGGATTACAGACATGCACCACCACGCCCAGCTAGTTTTGTATTTTTAGAAGAGACAAGGTTTCACCATGTTGGTCAGGCTGGTCTTGAACTGCTGACCTTAGATGATCCACCTGCCTCGACCTCCCAAAGTGTTGGGATTACAGGTGTGAGCCACCACACCCAGCTCTTTGCCCAGTTTTAAATTTTTTTGTTTTTTTAACTGTTGAGTTGTTTGAATTCCTTATATATTCTGGATATTAGTTCATTCTCAGATGAAGTTTGTAAGTATTTTCTTCCATTCAAGAGGTTGTCTCTTCATTCTATTATTTCTTTTGCCATGCAGAACCTTTTTAGTTTAATATAGCTTTTAGCTTTTTAGTTTAATTTAGCTTTTTAGTTTAGTTTATAGTCCCATTTGTCTATTTTTGTTTTTGTTGCTGGTGCTTTTGAGATCTTAGTCATAAAATCTTTGCCTAGACCAGTGTCCTATAGACTTATCCCTATGTTATCATCAAACAGTTATTTAGTTTCAGGTCTTATGTTTCAGTCTTTAATCCAGCTTGAGTTGTTTTTTACATATGATGAGAGATAGAGAGTTAGTTTCATTCTTCTGCATATGGTTATCCACTTTCCCCAGCACTATTTATTGAAGAGTGTATTCTTTCCTCAATGTGTATTCTTGACTGCTTTGTTGGCTTTGTTGCAACAAGCTGTTTGGTTGTAAACAAACAGTTGATCAGTTGATTGTAAATATGTAACTTTATTTCTGGGTTCTTTATTCTGTTCCATTGGTCTCTGTGTCTGTTATTATTATTATTTTGAGACAGAGTCTCACTCTGTCTCCTAGGCTGGAGTGCAGTGGGGCATCTCAGCTCACTGCAACCTCTGCCTCCTGGGTTCAAGCAATTCTCCTGCCTCAGCCTCTCGAGTAGCTGGGATTACAGGCACGTGCCACCATGCCTGGCTAATTTTTGTATTTTTTTTTTTTTTGAGACGGAGTTTCCCTCTTGTTACCCAGGCTGGAGTGCAATGGCGCGATCTCGGCTCACCGCAACCTCCGCCTCCTGGGTTCAGGCAATTCTTCTGCCTCAGCCTCCTGAGTAGCTGGGATTACAGGCACACGCCACCATGCCCAGCTAATTTTTAGTATTTTTAGTAGAGACGGGGTTTCACCATGTTGACCAGGATGGTCTCGATCTCTTGACCTCGTGATCCACCCGCCTCGGCCTCCCAAAGTGCTGGGATTACAGGCTTGAGCCACCGCGCCCGGCCTAATTTTTGTATTTTTAGTAGAGACTGGGTTTCACCATATTGGTCAGGCTGGTCTCAAACTTCTGACCTCAGGTGATCCACCTGCCTCAGTCTCCCAAAGTGCTGGGATTACAGGTGTGAGCTACTGTGCCCAGTCTCTCTGTCTATTTTTATACATACTGTTTTAGTTGCTGTATTAGTCTGCTCTCATGCTACTAATAAAGACATACCTGAGACTGGATAATTTATAAAGTAAAGACTTTTACTTGACTCACAGTTCCACACAGCACTCTGTGTCTTTGCACTGGATATTTTATTTCATTTACATTCAAGGTAATTATTGATATGGAAGGATTTACTACTGACATTTTGTTAATTGTTTTCTGCTTGTTTCATAGATTCTTATTTCTGTCTTATTTCTGTTTCCTTATTTCTGTCTTCTTTTGTATTTGATTTTTCTCTTTTGATTTTTTTTAAACTTTTTATCTTTTGTGTATTTACTGTAGGTTTTTGATTTGTGGCTACTCTGAAACTTACAAAATATCTTACAGTTATGACAGACAATTTTAAGCTGATAGCAAATTAACTTTGCTTGCACAAACAAACTATGCTTTTATCTCATTTCTCTTGCATTTAAAATTTTCGATGTCACAATTTACAGATTTTTATGTTGTTTCCCTTAATAAATCATTGTAGCTTTTATTATTTTTAACCTTCATACTATGTAAGTGAAGTGCATGCTATCATTACAGTATTAGTCTATTCTGATTTTGACTGTGTACTTACTTTTACCAGTGAGTTTTATACATTTATATGTTTTTGTGTTACTAATCAGCATTCTTTTATTTTGACTTGAAGAACTCTTTTTGGCATTTCATGTAAGACAAATCTGGGGGATGAACTCTTGCAGCTTTTGCCTGGGAAAATCTTTATCTCATCTTCATTTCTGAAGGACAGTTTTTCTAGGTACAGTATTATTGGCTGGTAGTTTATTTCCTTCAGTACTTTGAATATATTGTCTCATTCTTTATGAACCCATAAGGTGTCTGCTGAGAAATTTGCTGTCCTTATCGGAACGTATGTGTCATTTACTTTTCTCTTGCTATTTTCAGAATCTTCTTTTTGTTTTCGATATTTGACAGTTTGATTATAATATGTCTTTGTGTAGTCTTGTTTGAATTGATCTGATTGGAGGCATTTGGCCTTCCTGTACCAGGGTATTTATGTAGTTTGCCCAAATTTGAACCGTTTTCTGTTCTTCTTTATGTAAGTTTTCTACTCTTTTGTCTTTCTCTTCTCCTTCTTAAACTCTTATAACTTGACCATTTTCTCTTTGGACGCTGTTCCATAAATCTTGTAAGCTTTCCTCATTCTTTTTCATTCTTTTTTTTCTTTTATCCTCCTCAGATTATACATTTTCAAATAGTTTTCCTTCAGGTTCACAGATTCATTCTTGTGCTTGACCAATTATGATGTTGATGTTCTCTATTGTATTTTCTATTTCTTTCATTATACTTTTCAGCTCTTGATTTTTATTTATTTTCTTTTGTGTAATTTCAGGGTCTCAGTAAAATTCTGTTTTTGGTAATTTGTTGTTTTCCTGATTCCATTGAATTTTTTTCTCTGCATGTCATTTATTTTATTCCCTGAATTTTCTCTAGACAGTTAGTTTGAATTCTGTCAGGAAGTTTCTATATCTTTATTTCTTTGGGGTCAACTGTCAGGAGATTATTGTACTCTTTTGATGGTATTTTGTCTTCTTGGTTTTTCATGTTTCTCATTGCCTTATGTTGATGTCTCTACATTTCAAGGACTGGGAAAGCCCTTAAGCCGTCAGCCCATCCAGAGATTCTGGGTAGGCTATTTGGTGTGGTCCAAAAGCCTAAATCAGAAGTGTCAAATATTATATTTTTACCCATTCACTAACCTATTTCTTTGATAGATAGCACTTAGAGATACATATATACCACGATATTTAAATATTTCCAGACTTTAATATTCATATATTTTCATATAATTGTTTATTCTCATAGAGTCTAAGATAAGAAACATTTTTATTTCCTCGAGGCAAAATTTCTTCATAGTTGAAAATACACTGCTGCTCTCTTGAAGTCTAATTATTTTTTTCTTTTTTGAGCTTGGGAGCTTGACAGTCTTATAGAGTTCTTTTGAGGATCAAATATTATAACATTTGAAATATTTTAAAAATGTGTTATTTAAGTGTAAGATACTATTCTCAACCATCAGATGAATTTTGTAAATGAAATCCTTGTCTGGGGCATTGTGTTAATACTTTTCTAAAGATGTTATTTTATATATGAAGTTATTTTTTCCTCCACAAATACCAAGAGTATTTAGGAGAGTAATTACTTAGATTCTAATTTTATAAATAAAATCTCCCCTTTCCTCACAGTTCTGTACTTTTATAAGTAAGGAATTTTCATCTGTATTAGCTTATTAATCTATTATCTTTGTCAGTTGGGAAGGAGTGAGGAATGAGAACAATATGCTTCATTAGGCTATCATTTTAGTTTCAGTGTAACTTTAAATATCTTTGGATGGGAATATTTAAATATATTAAAGCAGCACATTAAATTTGACCTAGTTAATAGTCCAAACTTTTTACTATCAGTTCTTTATTTTTTTATTTGTTTTATATGTTTAAGCAACTAATAATGTTTTGAATAGCTTTCATGAGGACTTAGTTGTTATTTTTGAAATGCATTGCAAATTATACAGGTAAATGAAATAATTGTATGTTTCTCTTATTTAGCAATTATAGAGGGATCAACTTTGGATGAAATTACTTCAGACAGAAAGTTATCAAGTTTAGCAGGATGCTATCTACAATGTAAGAAGAAAAACAGTTTGTCTTCCAAACTCCAGGAACCTTCAGTATCCAAAAAGTTAAATAAAAAAAGCCACCAATATTCTAGCAAAATTATGGAAGAGACTGGTGGCCTTGAATCTAAAAGATCAAAAAATGGTTGGGGAATAAGAAAATTTCTGGGTGGGGTAGGCCGCAGTAATGTAGGAGCCCAAGAACCATATTCAAAGAATGGCATAAACTTTAAAAAACAATCAGAGAAGGGTGAAATTCATGAATCAAAGTCTAAACCACAAAGCTTGAAGAGTAGTGCAAGCCTCAGTAAGTCTCTGGATAAAAGTAGTATTTCTAGTATCCCAAAACTTCAGAAGTCAGCTGTGAGAGATTGTTCCAGCCTCCTAAAACAAGTTTCGTCTATGGAAAAAACTGCAGTTAATGCTCTGGGTAAGTAAAAATCTAGGTTCTTGAGTTCTTCAGTCATCTCAGAAATAAATAGAATGAATTAATTATTAGATAGTTACAAGCATTTCAATTGCTAATACCTTGGGTAACCACCACTTCTTTTTTTTTTTTTTTTTTTTTTTTAATTTTAAAATTATTTATAGAGATAGGGTTGCTCAGGCTGGTCTCAAATCCCTGGCCTCAAGCAATCCTCCTGTGCTGGCCTCCCAAACTGCTGGGATTACAGGCATGAACCACCATGCCTAGGCAAAAATTCTGGAAATGTACAGTAGTGATGGCGACACAACTTTGTAAATGTGATTAATGCCACTGAATTGTATGTTTATTTGTTATTTATTTTTTTGAGTCAGAATCTCACTCTGTCACCCAGCCTGGAATGTAGCGGCATAATCCTGGCTCACTGCAGCCTTGACCTTTTGTGCTCAAATGATCTTCCTACGTCCTCAGCCTCCCACATAACTGGGATCATAGGCATATGCCACCACACTCAGCTAACTTTTTTTTTTTTTTTTTTTTTTTTTGTAGAGAACGTGTCCCACTATGTTGCCAAGGCTGATCCTGAACTACTGGCCCCAAGCAGTGCTCCCATCTTGGCCTCCCAAGGTGCTGTGATTACAGGCATAAGCCACCCGTCCAGCTTGCTACTTCTGACACATAGACCAATGGATATAATATTGTGATTTTGATGATAATTCCTTTCCAGATGCCCCCTTTAGGGAGGAATTTAACTTTTCCTGAGAAGTGTGTTCAGTGATTAATTAGAGTTATTAGCATTCCCTAGAAAGTACAAGGCATGGCATCTTTTGGAAATGTTAATTTTGTAATTAATTAAATGTTTAAACAAGTAGGAGCTCTATGTGAAATTTTTGCTTAGAGTGCTGTAATTTAAATATATAATATTCATTGTACTTCAGGTATTATCTCTTATGGAAGGAGAATATTAGGGAAAAATTATACTATGTATCTAGGTCTCTAAGTCTGTATGAGTTTCCTCAAAGATGAGCAATGGTTTCCCAACCAATATATTTTCTCTCCCTGTGCTACTTTCATCACAGAAACACTGTATGTGGAACCCAATTAAACATTCCCTCCTTGTAGTCCTCTGCTGAAGTTACTTAAGTCATATTTATTCTGTAAAAAAAAACTTACCTTTGTATTACATTTAGTATTTAATGTAATAGATGAAATGATTGTTCAGTGAAAAATCTGTGATTCATACATTAATGCATAATTCAAATAACTCAATGGGAAAAAATGTGATCTATTAAGGAGGCACGGTGATGATCATCCTGATTCTGATTCCTTTACCAGTGCACTGCTGCTACTTTGTGCCTCATTTGTATTTCTGGGAGTTCTTTTTATTTCAATAAGAATTAAAACCTTGGGTTAAAAAAAGAATAATGAAACAGCAGGCAGACATGGGTAGAAGAGGCCATCAGAAGAAAATAATATCTACCTTTCTCGTGTCACTAAAATAAAATAATGTCACCTACCACTGCCATACTTGATGCTCTGAATATGGAGAAGTATGAAATAGTTTCTCTGGTATAACTTCCCAAAACAAATTGATGGTAACTGAGCTTTTTTGGAATATGACTGCCTTATGATTTACATTAAAGCAATTCTAACTTTTTTAAGCAATTTATTTTTAAATAATTTTACATTCTTAAGAGGCACAAAAATAGGACAAACATTTCCATATGTTTGTACTCTCTATCTAGTTTTCTCAAGTATTAAGATATTACATAACCACAGTACATGATCTAAACCAGAAAATTAACACTGATGCAATACTACTTACTGAGCTACAGACCTTATTCAAATTTTGTCAGTTGTTCCATGAATGTTCTTTTTCAATTCCAGGATCTAATCCAGAATTACCCATTATATTTAGCTGTCACTTGTCCTTAGTCTCCTTCAAGCTGGGATGGTTCCCCAATCTTTCATGACCTTGACACCTTTGAAGAATATTGACTAGTCACCTTATATGATGCTCTTCATTTTGGATTTTTCTTTTATTCCTTCACAAATAAATTCAGTTTATACATTTTTGGTCAGATTACCTCAGAGGTGATATTGTACCCATGTCAGTGCATCATAGTAAGAAACTCATAATGTCCATGTCTATTTGTTTCTAAGATTTTATTTTTTGAAGATTATGAACTGAAAACATGGTAGAGTAAATTAATGGGAAGGTAAAGAACTGTACATTTTTGTTTGGAATTCTTCAATTTAAACAAAACACTTTGGTTTTTTATTTCTTGGACTCATTAATTTTACACACACACACACACACACACAGGCTACAGTGCAGGGTGCGATAGCCCAGTGTGACCTCTGCTTTCTGGGTTCAAGTAGCCTCCCACCTCAGCCTCTAGAGTAGCTGGGACTACAGATATGCACCATCATGCCTGGCTAATTTTTGTATTTTCAGTAGAGACAGGATTTCACCATGTTGGCCAGGCAAGTCTCAAACTCTTGACCTTGAGTCACCCACCTACCTCAGCCTTCTAAAGTGCTTGGATTACAGGTGTGAGCCACCATGCCTGGCTCCATTAATTTTAATCAGAAGCAAGCACCATTGGCTGGGCCACTGGAACAGGCTGTTCCTCCAAACAAGTAGTTTATCAATGTCTATAGAATGTTAAAACAGTTCTGTGTTTGAGCTATAAGAGAGAGGTTAAATATAATATACTATATAACAGAGATATGGAGAGATAAGCAGTCCTGTAAAATCTATAAGGGTAATATAAAATAGATAAAACTTGTTCTCTGATTTCTAAAGCTTTTGAGTATTATTCCTTTTGACACATAAATCCATTGCCTAACAGTTTTCTACATTTTGTATATTTAGAAAACTTTCCTGAGGCTGTCAGTGAACCTCAAGAAAATTACTTTGCAGCGGAAGGACTTCAGTCTATTTTGCCTTCAGTAGGAATTACTTTATTAGATAAAGAATTACAGAAGATTGTTACAGACACTACTAGAAATGGTGAGTGAAGTTTCTGAGAAAATTAGATATTTTATGGGATAGTATTAAATATTGGAGAAATTCCTCTCAATTAGAAATTAGGAATGGGACAGAATGGGCCATTCTAAAGAAAATTCAGATATAAAAATGGAAAATAGTAAAAAAAAAAAAAATTCCTGTAAGTTCTGACCAAATGGATGGGTTTGGAGGGTATAGGCCTTTCATAGTTCCAAATCATTTCAGTAAAGCTCTTTATCATTATCCCTAGCTGTGGCTATTAATAGTAGGGTGGTACTGGGGAAACTGATCCAGTTGTAGTGAGGTTCAGACAGTAAGAGCACAGCATCTAAGGGATACAGAAATTTCTAAGCAAATAGCCCAAGAGTCCAAAGATTAGTAATTGGAGGTTACAAAATACAGGGAGAATTAGATCCAGTGATGCTTGACAATTAAGCTATGCAGTTAACATTTACATGTTGAATGACATACCCCAGTCACCAGCCTAAGTTAAAGGCAGAGTTTAAGTTTCTAGGAAGGGTTTTTATACTAGAGAAGTTTTTATCAGTAACTAAGACTTTTCCACAACAGAAGTTCAAATGAGGAGAGGAAAGAGAAGATATTTTGGGGAAAGACTGATTTCAGAATAACATTAGAAGTGAATCCTCAGAATCTGGGTACAATTTCTTAGCTAAGGCAAATCCGAAAGAAGATTCAATTAAAAATATATATAAAGAGTGGTGGCACTTAATTTATTGGGTCCTTTTTGCTGCTTATCAAAATTGACATGATCACTGTGAGGGTTTATATCTAAAAATAGGTAAAACATTGGACCACATGAATACTAGGGAGATAGGGATGGGGATACTTCGTTCTGTCAAGGTTGGTTAGTATTGTTAAGGTGTCTTAACGGATAGCATGGTGAGTAGGTTTTTAAGATGGTATGAAATAGACTCCTTAACTCTCTCATGGTCTGTCTATATGGACACCTTTCTTTTTTCCTATATCTGTTAAGGAATTAATATTTAACCCAGTCCTTTGCATGTAATAGATATTGAAAAAGCAGGGATTGTGTCTTTCTTATTGTTGTATTCTCGGTACCTAGCATGATTCTTGGTACTAAGAAGCTCTCAATAATTGTTGAAATGAACTGACATAATCTAGAAAGAACTATAATAAGAGACATGATATGAAGGATAAATAGGATGATGAAATGAAGGATCAAAAGTAGTTGTATTAGAAAGCTACAGTAATCAAAACAGCATGATACTGGAACCAAAACAGAGATATAGACAAGTGGAACAGAACAGAGGCATTGGAGGCAACGCCACACATCTACAACCATCTGATCTTTGATAAACCTGATAAAAACAAGCAATGGGGAAAGGATTCCCTGTTTAATAAATGGTGTTGGGATAACTGGCTAGCAGTGTGCAGAAAGCAGAAACTGTACACCTTTCCTGACACGTCACACTAAAATTAACTCCAGATGGATTGAAGACTTAAACATAAGATCTGACACACACACACACACACGCACACACACACACACACACACACACACACACAGTTGTATTAAAATGTAAATTTACCTTTACGCAAAAATACACCAGAATGTATAATCTAAGCTCTTTTTTAAAAAACAGAAAATGGAATGGTGAAGCTAGATGACTTTATAAGTGTTCTCGCCAAGGAGCAAAGTGTTCCTGGATGCAATGGTAAGTAGGAAATTTGTTTTAAAATGATTTAGAGGAAAGAGCAATGTGTTGAGAAGAATTAGGTTCAATAAAACTGGGCTTGCTTTTGGATGGATACTTAATAGTCCTGTTACTCTTAGGCAAGTCAATCACCAGTTTTTTTAAACTTGTTATGTCAGGGTAATAATAGCTAACTTGTTTACCTCACAGAGTTGTCCTGCGAATTTTGCAAGCTGAAGAGTGCTGCATAAATGTATGGTAATAATGATAATGAGGAGATCAAATAGGTAATTAGCCACATTGATTAGGAATTGATGGGTGATTTGGTTTCTATTTTTTTTCAATGGACTTGTTTGAATGAAATACTGGTTTGGTTCACCTTTGATATGGAGCATTTTAAAAAACAGCTTTATCAAGTTACAATTTATGTACATAAAATTCACTCATCCACTGATTTTTATTAAATTTATTGAGTTGTACAGCTGTTACCACAATACCTTTTTTGCTTGTAATTTTTAAATTATTAAATACTTTTTAGTAAGATTAAAATGAGAAATGGAAGATATTAAGGCTTGCTGTTTTATTTTTTCTGTTTATACATACGCTAAAAAAGAAAGATAAGCTTTTTGTCTCTTTCCAAAAAAATTCTTCAGATAAGGAAAAAAGTACAAAGCAAGAGATTTCCTTTTATACTTACATGAAGAGACTTACGTTAAAAGCTGCATTATAATTTATCATTTCTGATGGATGTAAGTGCTGAAATGTCTGGATTTCTTGAAGACAATATTAGCAAATAGATTTCTTTTAAATAAATGTTTCTTTATGTTCAGTTTGTAAGCAAATAGATTTCTTGAATGCTTCATGTAACCATCATTCACCAACTCAGTCATTGTTCTATTGTTATCCTTGTGAAGTATAAATGTCTTGGTCATACCTGATCATTTTTCCCCCATTGTGCTATTTTTTAATTTTTAATTTTATTTTTAATTGTGGTGAATAGCATATACCATACAATTTACCTTCTTAATCATTTCAATAGCATCAGCTATTGAATTAGCAACCAATCTCCACAACTTTTTAATCTTGCAACACAAGTTCCCACTCAGCCTCTGGCAACCACCATTTTATTTTCTATTTCTATGAATTTTACTATTCTAGATACCTGGGAGGAATCATAAGTATATATTTTTTTTGTGACTGACTTATTTCACTTAGCATGATATCCTCAAGATTTATCCATGTGTAGCATGTGTCAGAATTTAATTGTTTTAAAAAGCTAATTAATAGTCTGTTATATGTATATAGCACATTTTGTTTGTTTATTAGTTGATGGACATTTAGGTTGCTTCTACCTCTTGGTACTGGGAATAGTGCTGCTGTAAACATGGTATGCAAATATCTCTTTAAGCTCCTGCTTTTAATTCCTTTTAGTATATATTTAGAAGTGGACACAATCCAATTTTATAACATTTCTATCACTCCTGTTTGTTTTCTCATGCCCATTTTTAGTTAATCCACACTTCCATTCCCAGACAACTATTTATCTACATGTACGTCCTGTCCCTACAAATTTGCCTATTTTTGACATTTAATTTAAATGAAATTATATAGTAGTATAGTCTTTTGTACCTGACCTTCTTCACTTTGCATAATATATTTTTTAATTTTAAAAAATATTTATTGTACTTTAGGTTCTGGGGCACATGTGCAGATCATGCAGGATTGTTGCATAGGTACATACATTGCAATATGGTTTGCTGCCTCCATCCCCCCGTCACCTATATCTGGCATTTTTCCTCATGTTATTCCTCCCCACCCTCCCCATCCCCTGCTGTTCCTCCCCAGTGTGCCCCCCACCCCCGCAGAACCTAGTGTTTGATGTTCCTCTCCCTGTGTCCATGTGTTCTCATTTGTTCAACACCTGCCTATGAGTGAGAACATACGGTGTTTGATTTTCTGTTTTTGTGTCAGTTTGCTGAGAATGATGGTTTCCAGATTCATCCATGTCCCTACAAAGGACACAAACTCATTGTTTTTTATGGCTGAATAGTATTCCATGGTGTATATGTGCCACATTTTCCTTGTCCAGTCTATCATTGATGGGCATTTGGGTTGGTTCCAAGTCTTTGCTGTTGTAAACAGTGCCGCAATGAACATACATGTGCACGTGTCTTTATAACAGAACAATTTATAATCCTTTTGGTATAGTCCCAGTAATGGGATTGCTGGGTCAAATGGAATTTCTATTTCTAGGTCCTTGAGGAATTGCCACACTGTCTTCCACAATGGTTGAACTAATGTACATTCCCACCAACAGTGTAAAAGTATGGGTGTTTCATAGATGCCCTTCATCAGTTCAAGAAAATTCTCGGCCGGGCACTGTGGCTCAAGCCTGTAATCCCAGCACTTTGGGAGGCCGAGGCGGGTGGATCACGAGGTCAAGAGATTGAGACCATCCTGGTCAACATGGTGAAACCCCGTCTCTACTAAAAATACAAAAAAATTAGCTGGGCATGGTGGCGCATGCCTGTAATCCCAGCTACTCAGGAGGCTGAGGCAGGAGAATCACCTGAACCCAGGAGGCGGAGGTTGCGGTGAGCCGAGATCGCGCCATTGCACTCCAGCCTGGGTAACAAGAGTGAAACTCCGTTTCAAAAAAAAAAAAGAAAATTCTCTACTTTTCCTAGCTTATTGACAGTTGTCATCATTAATTCCTGTTGGATTTTGTCAAGTGCTGTTTCTGCATTTATTGAGATGATCATGTGGTTTTTTGCTGGAACCGATTTTGGTGTTTAGTTGAAACTCAATAATCCTTTTATTTTATTTTATATTTTTAATTTTTCTGGGTACATAGTAGGTATATATATTTATGGGTTACATGAAATATTTTGATATAGGTGTGCAATGCATAATAATCACATTAGGGTAAATGAGATATCCATCACCTCAAGCATTTATCCTTCGTGTTACAAACAATCCAATTATACACATAGTTATTTTTAAATGTACAACTTATTTTTGACTACAGTCACCCTATTGTGCTAGCAAATACTAGGTGCTTTTAGTATATAACATTGCTGAAGTGATTTATATTTTCGTTAATTTAGTGTTAGAACTAAAATTCATCTTATTAGTGGTATTTTATTTTTACTTATATTTAATTCTTATTAGCATACTCCTTTATTTTTAGTGTTGCCTGGTGTCATTAAAGCCATTGATAAAATTAAAGATAAAAATGTGGATTATGAGGATCTAAATACTTGTCTTCAAAATTTTGGTATTTACCTTTCTAAGCCAGAATTTAAGAAGATCACAGAATTGACTGAAGCTGGTGGTGAGTGATATATTTTCAGGCAAACTGTGTTGACCCATCTGGAAGGAGGGTCAATTTGTTATTTTTTTCTTAGAAAAATGACTAATGTTTTTATTATAAAAAATTAAATTAATACAAAATTATGAAAATACTCAAAAGTACAACAAAACACTCAAAAGCCCATTATTTAGAAATGACCAGTATTAATAGTCTTTTTAATTAAAAAATGTTTAAATTTATTTTTTAAGTAGTCTAAGGCAAATAAAAAGAAAGCAGTATTTGTGATATTGCTATCTGACAAAGTAGAAGTCATCCTTCTTTAATGCTATCTGAAAAGCATTAAATGGGGGAAATAAGGATTCATTATTATGTCAAAGCCTACAATTCACAATAAAGGTGTATCAGTTTTGAGTATCTGTGCCCATATAACCTAGCAGCAGCTCTTCTAAAGGGAAAGGGTGACAATGGCTAGACAGGAGATGGGGGTTATAGATGAAATAATAATGTCTGTGAGTTGATAATTGTTGATGCTAGGAGTATATGAACATATTACCCTATCTTTCTATTGTGTATATATTTAATGTTTTCCATAATAAAAAGTAAAAAAAGGAACAAATCTCAGTTGTATAATACCTGTATAGAGAAAATAAGACTTTGTGAAGACATTAAAATCTAGATAAATAAGAAGGTATTCCATGTTTGTGGATTCAGAGACCCAAGACTGTCAATTCTCTAATTAACTTGTTTATTCAAAACAATTCTAATAAAACCCTGACTTTTCTGTAAGCTAATTCTAATATTTATATGAATGACCAAAGGTTAAGAATAGCTAAAGCACTCTTGAAGAACATTTGTGGAAATATGTGTGTGCGGGGGTTAGGGTTGGGGGGGTGGGAACTTGCTCTCCTGGATATAAACACTCCTTATAAAGCTATAGTGATTAAATGAGTATGAGAATGTCACAGGGATAGAGAAATTTACCAATGGGACAAGATAAGGAACTTCCAAACATATCCACAAACATACATGGCAATATATATGATAAATTGGTGGGTCACTGGGGAAAGGAGGACCATTTAATAAATGGTACTGAAATAATTACTTATTCAAGTGGTAAGAATAGAGTTAGATGCCTGTCTCACACCATATTCAATTAAAATTTCCACGTGCGAAACTAAGTTTTAGAAAACAAATAGAAGAAAAATTTTCTGACTTAGGAAGGATTTTTAAAGATAGAAAACAAGAAACTGGAAAAGACTGATAATTTTGACTACATTAAGAACTTCACTTTGTTAAAAGATACAACAAAAAGAATAAAATACAAGCCACAAACTGGATATTTGCAACACTTACAACAGCAATGATTATTGTAGAGAGTATATAGGCAACTTTTACAAACTAACAACTCAATAGAAATTATAAAAAATTTTCAGATAAAGACAAGTTGCTAATGATCACATGAAAAGCTTCTCAACATCATTAGTAATTAGGGAACTGCAAAGTTTAGGTCATAATGAGATACTTAAAAAAAAAATAAAGACAGATCTTTTGGCCTCAAACTCCTGGGCTCAAGCAAACCTCCCACCTCAGCTTCTTGAGTAGCTGGAACTACAGGCACAAGCCACCATGCCTGGCTCATGAGATACATTTTTATATCCTCTAAATTGGGAAAAACTAAGAAATATGTTAATCTAAGTATTGGTAAATATGGTGAAAGTGGTAAAACCACTTTGGAAAACAATATGTAGTATCTTGTAAAGTTTGCACATCCCGTGGTTTAGAAATACTATTCATAGCTATAAATCCTAGAAGATCTCTCGCACTTAAGTACCAGGAAACATATTCAGGAATGTTCATGGCAGCACTGATCTTAATGGCAAAAACGGAGAAAAAAACAACATGATATTCATCCACAGAATGTATAAATAAATTGTAGTATACACCATTGTGTATTCATATAATGGAAATGCCATCTCTACTGAAAACACAAAAATTAGCTGGGTGTGGTGACACACCTGTAATCCCAGCTACTTGGGAGGCTGAGGCAGGAGAATCACTTGAACCTGGGAGGTGGAGGTTGCAGTGAGCTGAGATTGCGTCACTGCACTCCAGCGTGGGCAGCAGAGTGAGTGAGACTCCATCTCAAAAATAAAGAAATAAAAATAAAAGTTAAAAATATTACATATGTTTGAGAGGGACTGGAAGAATTTAGACCAGTTTTCTTGGTGTTTTTCAGCATTTACTTTTCTACTGTAAATTGATGGCTTTTCCCCTTTATACTTATGTATTTTTATTGGGTAGTGCTACCTGATGGATATAATTATGTATTTATGAATATATAACTTATTTTACATAATTCAATATTTTTCATAATAATTTAATACTTAAAAGATATTGAAGAAAATGTGTTTCTTTTCCTGTAGAAACAGAAAAAGTAAATTTTAAAGAATTCATTGATACTATGATGAGCAACACAGAACGCTTCTCTGAAAAATTATGTATGTATAAATATCACGTCTTCTGCTTTTTATGGATCAAATGGTTTGATAGATTTTAGAAGAGTGTAAATACTCTTTTAGTCTCTTACAGAGCTAGTTATCCTGCAGGTCATCAGACAAATAAATGTCTGGCTTCCTGCTGCTATATCTGGCCCTAATCTTCTCTAATTGCCCCTAATTCTAGAATGCCTTCTACATGCAAGTGAATTAAAAGCTATCATAATTTTACTTTTCATTAGTACACTTATAATAGAGAGCTAGAACTATGTATAGCATTCATTTTGGAGAAAGATTTAAAATGTCTTTTCGCTTAGGAAAAATGATACCAGCTAGTGGCTGAGTACTAATATGAGAATTTCTGGTTATATCTGTTTCCATTTCTTTCCATCTTCCAATTTATTCAGTAACATTTATGAACCACTAATATGTAGTAGGCTTTATGTTAAGCTTTAAGTGTGGTGATATGAAAAAGATAGCTTTGCTACTCAAAAGCTCACCATAAAGAAATGTAAGGTCACACATGCATATTTTTAATGGAGTGAAGTTAGTATGCATTCTAAAAATTGGGGCTAAAAGTCACATTGTGTTATTTTGTGCTTACATGTTGGGTAATAGTAGATTTGAAGTAGAAGATCTTTTTACCTCACAATATAAGATTTAATTTGTCTCCTATACAATGGTCCATCATACAGAGATATTGTTTTGTCATACAGAGATATTGTTTTGTCAGTTACTTCATTTTTCCTAGGAATTTCAGTTTTATAGAGATTAAAATCTTAGCACAGAGTTATATAGTATATTACCTTGTCTATCTGTCATTATATTTCATTTCTCATTGTTAATATTGCATGTTTATGTTTACTTCTTTTTCTTTTTTCTTCATTAGACTGCTCAGAGCATGTCTCTTTATTGGTTCCATATACCTAATTGAGACCTGACATCCCTTTACCCCTCCACTTTCTCCTAATCCATCAATCTCCTCCTGTTTTCACTTTTCTTCCTGTTCAGTTTAAATTATCTTATCTATATATACCTAATACCCTAGACTATCTTGCCTCTGTGTACTTTTATTGAACCTATTGGGCAAAACTCTCAACTCAGAATGAAGCTAATTGCTTGCCTTCTTGTATCTATCTGACAGCATTTCTGGAGAAAATCATACAGCTGTGAAGATTATACAGATTATAAATAAAATCTTGGTCACTAATGTCTGCTGACCCTTCCTAACTGTCTAATCTCCCTGAGAATCCATTCTCTATATAGCAGATAGTGACTTTTTACAAATTTGTAGTAAGATAATTTCTCTCCCTCATTTAAAATGCTCCAGTGATTTCGAATTGAAATAGTCTGTCTTTTTGTTGTCTACTGTGCTAGACTGAAGAGGAAGTAGGAGACAGGAAAATTTTAGGGAGAGATATAGAACAAAAGCTACTTAATTGTTTTATCAATTGAAAATGTTTCTGAATTCACACTTTAAAAAATCTAAATTCAATCACAATTATTATTTATAATGATTATTCAGGGTTGAGGTCACTGTAAGTTCTTAAAATATTTCAGGATCCTTAAAAATACATTATATTTGAGGTTAAATATTTTATTATATTTTGATATTTGAAAGTTGGCAATTCATTTATGCTATATTTATTATTCTTTTAAACCAGAAAAACCTTATTTTTTGACTTCCAGATGACAGTTTACTGTATTAACTTCTTGGATAAGCATTTGTAAAACTTGTGTTTTATCTACCCTTTAGTATTGCCTGATGCTATTGAAGCCCTCGACAATTTCAGAAAGGAGACGATGAGTGTTTCTGACCTGTGGAATACTCTGTCTAGTTTGAATACTCATTTAAAAAAGGATGAATTCCTAGATGCTTTGAAAGTAGTGACAGTTGATGGTGAGTGTTACAAACACTAAAATTAAAAAGTATACAAAGATATTACCTTATTTTCTGTCAACTCTTACTTGTTGTGTATCTTGTACTTGGCAAGATGGAGTGTTCCGATATGATCGAAATGCCAATATATGCATTAAAGAAATACTGAATAAAGAAAGTTCAGATTGTTTGACTATTCAATATAAAACTTAGAAAAATTATTATATAATTTATTATTACTCTAAATTGATCAGATATGCATTGAATACCTTCAAGTTCCATGGTATGTTACCAGAAAATGGTGTACCCCAATGAACACAGAGGGCAGGATTAGGAAATGTTAAGAAATCTATTCAAATTTCATAATAACAGTACTTGTAATATTCATACTGTTTTGTTCAAATAGGCTTTTATTTAATTTGGTAGAAAAACAGACCTGCTAATAGCTACCACCTCCACTTAGCAAGTTAAAAAAAGTAAACAAAATAAAAACAAAGTTCAAAAAAGTATAACAAAGACTATAGACTAAAAAATTTAAAGTAAATCTCCATCATTTACTGTTGATATTCTACATGCAAGAAAGAGAGTACACAGGCTACAGGTAGACATTCTACTCTTTCATATTCTTAGTGCCTAGAAGTTTAAAAAAGGGCCTAGTACTTTAATATTCTTTTATGTGGAATGTTTATACAGAACTAGCTTAGTAACATGAGCACTTTGTCAGGGGTCTTTGTCAAAGAACTGTCTTTTTCTTTGACAAAGATCCCTGACAGTGTGCCCATGTTTATTATCCTTTTCATTCATGAAGCTTCTGTTTAGGTGAGGCTAGCAAAATTTTAAATATTGATTAAATATTTAAATATTTTTAAATTTTATTTAAATAAAAAACTTTTAAAATATTGATTATTTTGTTTATTGGGAGATTTGAGGTGAAAAGGGTTGATGAAAAAAAGAAGGCTAATTTCTTTTCTTTCTTTCTTTCTTTCTTTTTTTTTTTTTTGAGACGGAGTCTTGCTCTTGTTGCCCAGGCTGGAGTGTAGTGGTGCAATACTTGCTCATCACAATCTCCGCCTCCCAGGTTCAAGCCATTCCCGAGTAGCTGCCTCAGCCTCCTGAGTAGCTGGGATTAGAGACATGTGCCACCATGCCTAGCTAATTTTGTATTTTTAGTAGAGATGGGGTTTCTCCATGTTGGTCAGGCTGGTCTCAGGTGATCTGCCCGCCTTGACCTCCCAAAGTGCTGTGCTGGGATTACAGGCTGAGCCACCACCCCTGGCCAAGAAGGCTAATTTCTACTCAATAATATAGATTTTCTTCCCTTTTTCTCTGTGGCAGTGCTTCAGGGTCTTTTGTTAAAGTTAATGGAATTTATAGACAACATGTACCACAGAAAGTAATAGATAGCTTTTATTTGAACCAGACCAATAAAGTATTATTTTTTGAGATATGAAAATAACTAGAAAAGTATTTATTTGTTAGTAAAAACTCATATATTGTGTTTATTATTCTTTTTTTGTGGGGGGGTGGGATAAGGTCTTGCTTTGTGACTCAGGCTGGAGTGCAGTGACCCAATCTCAACTCACTGCAACCTCTGCCTCCCAAGTTCAAGCAATTCTGCTGCCTCAGCCTCCAAATAGCTGGGACTACAGGCACACAGCACTAGAGTTTTGTAGAGATGGAGTTTTGCCTTGTTGCCCAGGCTGGTCTCAAGCTCCTGAGCTCAGGTAATCTACCAGCCTTGGCCTCCCAAAGTGCTGGGATTACAGGTGTGAGCTATGGTGCCAGGCCTGTGTTTATTATTCTGTACTTATGAAGCAAAAGATAGTACATAAAATGCAGATTATTTTACCATTTAAATCTAAATATACACATGATATTGAAAGCTATATCTGTACCACATTCATCATATCTTTTCTTCTTTTAACATTGTGCCTGTAGTACAAAGGTATTTAGTTCTTATTTTAATGCAGTGGTTTGCAAAATTTTGAGATTTGTTATTTTTGTTTATATTTGATATTGTTAAAGCAGAATCCTTTTTTATCCAATTAAATCTTATACAGTATCCTAATATATAAAATATTTAAGTTGAGCTTCTCTGACCAGAGTGGGAGAAATGACCAAGTGAACTGCTGAAACAACTCCACAAGACCTTAGAAATATAAGAAAGAACTTAAAATTACTGATGTAGCGTATTCTTTTGGCCAGGTTATGTTAAAAAGAAAAAAACTAAAAAACAACAGATTCAGATTCTCTCTAATAAAATTGAAAAGTGAGTTCTTGGTTATTGATGGTATTTCATATTGACTCCTTAATATTTTAAAATATATTTAAAATTAAAAATAATTTTATAATGATTACAAAAAAGCATTGAAAAATAGAAAGGGTAATTTATCATTCAGCAAATTCAGAAATGCTATCCAAATATGTAGTTATATAGTTTATGAGCTCTCTTGTTTCTTTGAAAGACCAGAGTGAGGAAAGTTGGTGTTGAGCAAAAGTATGTAAGATGGTATGGAATATGGTCAAGTCGAATGTGAGACACTGAATCTATAGGCTAAGAATTAGATGGAGGAAATCATTAATGGTATTGTTAGGCATTTAAGGCCTGGCACATTCTCTTCGCTGCTGATGGTTTCTCCAGCTTTATTTGTTTCAGATTTTTAATCTTAAACTGATGTTCTCTGTTTCTCCTGACTCTGATATCTGATGTGGTTGAAATTAGCTTAATTACTGTTTTTCTTTTTCCTGCTTGGCAGCAAGACTCTGAACTTAACCTTCATGATTTTTTATGCAATATGCATTCAAGCCAGATCTGCATTTTTGTTTGTTGACCTCAGATGGCTCCCTGCTTCCTTTCTTTCCTTTCCCTCCCTCCCTCCTTTCCTCCCCCTCCCTCTCTCCTTCCCTCCCTCCCAGAATTTTCAGTAGCTGTGATTTAGTTCTACTTGATGATACACACCAAGAACTAGATTCGGAGGGGACTCCATTTAGGTGACTGAGTTCCAATACCCATTGCCTACTTTAAGCTGATCTTTAAGCTACTATAAATTGAAGACGCTTAATTGAGAAGGTCTTTATGTAACATGGCCTTAGAATATTTGATTATGTAACCTTGCTGATTAATGTGAGGCTAGTGGAAGGCCATCCTGAGTGGTATAAAGGTATAAAAGAAGCATGGGAAATGGAATGCACAAACACTTTCTATACTTCTCTACCATTTTTTTTCCATCAGAGAGAGAACACAGAATCAGGGGCAGAGCCTTTACAGTTAGTGATTTATAGGACTCTACTAAATGACAGCAGCAGCAGAAATGCTGCAATAAAGACATGTGTTTTTACCATAGAGAATAGTTTCTAAAAGTTCAAGTGTTAATTTAAAGCCAAGGTAGATAGAAGGTGAGACATCATTAATTGTAGCTATATACTTAAGCCCTGTTCAGGCTTTTAACTGCTGGTGACACATTTTGCTTGTTGTGCATTGTTCTACTCTATGATAATAAAGTATAATGTTTCTAAATTTTAAGCTTCCTTATTCCTGTCTGGGAAAAACAAAGCTGCTTCTATTTCCTGTGCTTGTCACTTTAACTTTGTAATCTATTACTTGTGTATTGTGTAAGAAATGGGTGAAAACACATGTCAGTAATTATAGTCATAGGCCTATCAGGCACTGAAAGAAGTCTTTGAAGTTTTCTAGGGTAGGATTTTTATCTTTAAACAATCGAAAGACAAAATTAAGACTGAGGTATGTCTCTTAATTTTGTCTATGACTATATCTTGGTTTTGGGATATCCATTCAAGCCAGATCTGAATCTTATCCATATTTTGGGAATATGGATTGTATTGTTTCCATTGATTGAGAACTCAGCCTTACTTCTATAGTCTTAATATTTATTAATTCCATAAAATTAATCCTTTGGTTACTAAAAATATGAAAAGGAAATATGATTCTTATGAGTACATCAAATGGTTTACATTTTTATAGGTTGCTTTACTGGATATGACTTTTACTTAATGACGTTGGTCTGTTAAAAGTGTTTTTTTTTTTTTCCCTCACAGAAGGCGATAAAGTACAATTTGAAGAATTTGCAAAAGTAGTAAAGGATATGCGTGATGCCTCCAGGTTAAAGGGTAAGTACTGAATTATTTATAATGGTTAGATTTACTTTTATTGAAAGGACTTGTTTTTGTTTTTTAATGTTGTGTGTTCAGCTAATTTCTGGTTAACATGTTGGGACTGATATGTTTACATGCAGACAAAATTTGGTTTTGATTAAAAGTTGGCTGGCATATAGGAACTTGGTTTTGATTAAAAGTTGGCTGACAATAAGGATGAGCCTAGCCACAGAGCATGTTGACCTCTTAACTTCAAAAGGCCTTTATTTATTTTCCAAAGTCATCCACACCAGTAGCTATCCTTAATCCTTATTATTACCTAGAATTGTCTATTCCACCTTTAAAATCTTAAACTACAAGGTCAGACACTGACCATATTCCCTTAAAATTACACGTGTAGATATTGAAAGAAGGCATAGAACTTTATTCATACATGCCTATTCTTTTGGCTCCTTCAAGTTCTTCAAATAGTCTAGACACAGTATATCAGCTTTATCAGTTGGTAATGAAGGATACATTCTGAAAGCCAAGCTCCTATATGCTTGACTTTCAGAATGTATCCTTGATTTCTTCCCTTTCCCTTCCCCTCCCTCCCTCCTCGTCTCTCCCAGTAGCTGTGATTTAGTTCTATTTGATTATACATATCAAGAACTAGATTCGGAGGGGACTCCATTTAGGTGACTGAGTTACAATACCCATTGCTTACTTTAAGCTGATCTTTAAGCTACTATAAATTGAAGACGGTTAATTGAGAAGGTCTTTATGTAACATGGTCTTAGAATATTTGATTATGTAACCTTGCTGATTGATGTGAGGCTAGGCTCATCCTTATTGTCATTGGATGATAATGGGATGAGAGGTAGAAGGAGGATTATGATCAAAGTGCCAAAATCTTCAGAGAATGTGAAGGAGTGATCAGACAGTAAATCAGTAATGTTGTCAGGAGAGTGGCATAGTTGAATAACAGGCCTGAGCCTCAAGGGAGAAGGATAAGGTTTGATTGAAGGTGAAACTAAAATGGTCTGACAGCAGCAGCAGAAAGACAGGAAAATGCTGTTCTGCTTCCTGGTCCTACAGTCTGTGGAGCATGGGAAGATGAACAGACTCCACTCAGGGTGGTTGTGCAAGAAAATTGTTTTTAAAGGAAATCAAGTGCTAGACAAAAAAGCAGAGCTGGTACAGTTTTTTTGGGTGTCAGCAATTTCAGATTGCCTTCTGTAGTTGCCTCCCAGTGATGCTAGGGAAACAGGAAGGTGAGGTAGGATATAAAGTTTAAACTGTGATTACTGTTTGCAGCTAGTTTCTGTTGGCTTTAATAATAATAGCAGTAAAACTAATTTTACTCTATAATTATGACATTTATTGAGGCATTATTATATGCCTAATGCTGTCTTAAGTACTTTTTATACATTATTATATTTACTCTTCACATCAACCTTGTGAGGTAGCTATTAGTATTATCCCATTTTAGATGAAAGAGAAGTTAAGTAGTAAAAATTTGCTCACAGTTACATAGTTCCAGGTTACAAGTCCTGGGGCCAGAATATGAATGTGGGTCTGACTTAACCAGGGCTGGAAATGAAGCAACATTTTAGATGCTAGGGTACAATTGAGTCCTGGTGGAACTGAAAAGGATAACTCATTGAGCCCTTATAAGTCTTGTCCCATATTTTACATTTTTCATGATTCTGAAAGTTATTTTGCATATATCTTGATGAGTTAATTGTTTGCTTCCATTAGAGGTCCATAGCAAAATACATTGTATAATTGCAGTAAAAAATTCCACTATATGAGTGATTTTGGTTGTGCAAATTTTATAAAAGCACCAGATAAATATCATAGATCAAGAGAACCCTTTGCACATTGTGCTGTTAGTCATAGAATTCTATGAGGGCTGAATTTCTCTTGAGATTTCTTATTCCTCAGTTCAGGATGTAATAATAAACTATGGATTTCCACTAACAAATGTCTTGAGTGATGGCTGCTGCTTTTGCTTTTTTAACAAGACATTAGTTTAATTATTAAATAACTATTTTCTACTTGTAGAGTTACAAGAAGTTGTCTTAGCTGCTGATTTGCTTGAAGATGACATGATAGCTGGGAAGAACTTGGAAGACTTTCTAAGAAATATTGGTGTTAAGTCACCTAAAGAAGAGGCAGAGAAAATTCTTCAATCAGATTTTGTTTCTGGTAAGCATTTTAAACATTACTCTCAGAGCTGTTTTTTTTTTTTTTTTTTGTATGAATACCTGTAAAGAAGATGTGCAAGGTCTATAGATATTTGCTTATATTACTATAAATGTAATCTTTGAAATGGAGCCTTTCCTCTTAATTTCCTCTTTCACAGTTATGAGAATACTTTTATACAAGCAGGTCTAGATTTAGTGGAAGTGGGCTTGTTAGAATCCTCTCTCCTCATTGCTATCTTGATTTAGTGAAAAAGAACATCTTAAGAATTCAAGTTCTGTGAATAGAAATCCTAGCTTTGCTACCTTGATCAAATTACTGCTCAATGTTACTGGGGCTTTCTTTGTACTTCAGTTCCCATTGTAGGTAGAATCAGAACTACTATACTTAAAACAGTGTAGGGTTATTGCAATGCTTAATGGATGGAAGTGAATCTAAAATTACCTTGTAAATAACATGTTCAAGAAATATATGAGTTATATGCTGATTTTGATGCTAAGCTTTAAGTATTACTTTGTCCAGGGGTTCTCATTTGTCATCTCTCTCTTTTTGTTGCAGAAGATAACATGGTAAACATTACAGATTGTATGAAGGCTTTGAGGGACACCCAGAAATTTTCCAATTATATTGGTAAGAGCTTTATGGTAAAACTGTTAGAAGGCAACAATACAGGACTTATTCAAAGTTCTTCTAGTAAAGCACTAAATTTGGTGTTTAAATCTTCTTTATAGTATCTGTGCCAAATGTTTGTTTCATATGTACTTGAACACTTCCAGTTATGGGGAACTTCCTGCATTTTATTTTTAAATTTAAGAATTGTACATTTGTGATTGGAGATTGGAGAAAATGACAAGGTTATGATCTTTTTCAATAGTTAAAATAAGACACCCTTATTATATATGAATGAATAGTTCTTTTTAATGTAAAAAATTTAAATGACCAAGAATGTAGTATAAAGTGCAATTCTTGTAACGTCACCCTCCAGAAATATCCCTATTAAGGTTTGGTAGGTATCCTTTTAGGTTTTCTTCTTTATATCCATCCATGATATTGCACAACTTGTGTGCAATATGTGACAGTATATCTTAGATATAATTCTGTTCCATTGTATTATATAAACCTACCTCATTTTTTAAAAAAGACTGCCTAATATTCTACTAGAGGAATGTAGTATAATTTTGTCTATAAAACTTTTAATAAACATTTAGGCTATTGCCATTTTTTACTATTAACAAACATTTGGTGAGTCTCCTTGTACATATATTTTTGTGCACATTGCACACAATTTTTCTGTAGGACAAATTCCTTAGAAGTGGACTTGCTGGGCCAAAGTATTTTTAGATGCAAACTGTTAACAAGCTACTGACTAATTACCCTCCTAAAAATTGGGGGGAAATTCACACTTTTACTGACAGTGGTTATTATTTATTAAAAATTCTGATAGGAGCATTAATACTTTGTCTTACTCATTTCAGGTTTTTTCTAGTTTTTTAATTGATTTTTTGACTTTGTTTTTGGTGGATAGCTTTTTACCATCTTTTCTCTTATTTCGTCATTTTGGTAATTTGATTCTCATAGGAAATTTTAAATTTTATTGAGGTTTAGAATGACTTAGAATATTAGGACAGTTCTATGCACTTATAATTATTTTGATTTTTTTGTATATATGGTTATTTTCTCATTCTTAAATATACATATATATGAATATATGTATATAAACAGAATATATATATATATATATATATATATATATATATATATATATATAACTTTCTTCTTTGTTTGCTACTGAATGTTCTATTATCTCTGTTTTTAAAGTACTAGCTCTTGGGTTTATCTTTATTGTTTCTGTTTATATTTTAAAAATTAATTTCTGTTTTTATCTTTAGTAAGTTATTTATATTGTTCTCCTGTGCTCATTTAATAGCTTTTCTAATTTCTTATTTAATTATTTATTTTCTTTATTTTTTTTTCTTGCTGAGTAATAAACATGTTTAAGGTGGTCAATTTTCATTTTAGTGAAACTTTGATTTATTTGACAGTCTCTGACTTGTTAGGCTATTATTATTGTTATTTTATAAACATTTCCAGTTGCATTTTGATTTTCTCCTTGATCCGAGAGTTACTTAGGAGGAAACTTTAAATTTCAAAGCAATTTAAATGTCATTATTGCCTTAAGTTTGTTGTTTATATCTAGTTGTATTTTATTGTGGTCAGAGAATGAGGTCTATAATAGAGGGTTTGATAGTTCTCTAGTTCATTAGAGACAGAATTCCCTCAATCTTTGTATTTACTATTTAAAAATCAAAATCAAATTAGTTGGTTGCAGGGATAGGCTAGGTAAGGTAAATTCACTCATTTCACTCTTTGTCTTGGAAGTCCATATGACTTTTTCAAGTAGCTCATTCCATAATTTTGGACAGCTACAGAAATAGAAAATTATTTCACATATTTGGCGGAAATCCATTCCTGGAACCATATTTAACATTTAGACTCTTACTGCCATTAATAGCCCTCCAGAAATGTCAAGATAATTCACATATTCTCATTCTTTCCCACTAAATTCATCTTCTCTCTAGACTCAAATATACTTTCAACTCTTCTTCATGACCTGTTTTTGAAACTTCTTACCAATGACTAATGACTATATCATATTAACAAAATCCTGAGAGATGCCTTTTTAGAAATATACTTTGGAAATGTGAACTTCTAAAGTCTTTTTAAATCAAGGGAGGTCAGCCATGGTCTTCCTAGTTTAAATATTTGTTACTGTGCTAAACATAAGAGACTATGACAATTCTCTAAAATGGGTGAAGTTAGCAAGGGATGCAGGGAAGAAAAGAGAAAAATTGGCATTTAGGAGGAGTTATGAAGAATGGAGAGGACTTTACTGAAATGTTGAGCTTACTGAGACAATAACAAGAGAAACTTTAGCATACTTTAGTCTGTAGCAGAATAGCTCACCCCAAACCCAGACATTTAACAAATTAATTTTAAGAATAAAGAAAAGGGTTATTTTAAACTATTAGGGTTCCAAATAGAAAGCTGTTGGAGTGGAGAAAACTACTGAAATAGGGTTATAGAAAATTATCAGAGTAGAGAATGGACCACTCTGCACATTTAAATGGGCACATGGGGCTGGTGACTGCCTTATTGGACATTGTGGATCTCAAAGAGGCCATCAGTTTTGTTGTTATGCTCAAAAGATTTAGATCCATGTACTGAATTACATGTTATTATGTATATTCTCTGTTTGTAGCACTGAATGAGACTATCAATACATTGGACTCCATGAAAGAAAACTGTCAGTTTGAGAAAGACAAAAATCCAGATGTACTTGAAAGCACTGATAGGCTTTCTTTTACTGATGACATTCTTCGGAAAATAATGGGTGACTCCTTTGCTGATGGTGAGTTGATTTGGCAGATAGCCAGCAGCTTGTATACAAAATTTCTCTGAATTTTATTTAGTTGTTTTTTTTGTTTTGTTTTGTTTTTTAATTTAGGAAGGTCAGCCATGGGGTTCCTAGTCCAAATGTTTTATATTACTGTTCTTCTAAATTTTTATCCAAGGATTTAAAACTATTTTACCAAGTACTAATCAAGTCTTAATACTTGGTCCCTAAATCACACCATTAACTTGTTGGACACTTTACTGTAGAACATATTTAGGTCTACACGTTATATGTGCCCACAGAGATTTAGTCATTACAGTATCAAGTTCCTTGGTGATCCGATGACCTGGATTGTAAAATTGGTCTCAGAGTATTTACATATTTTGTTGCATGGCTTTGAAGAATAATTTTATTTCAAAGTTAACCTTTTTCCTTTTATGTGTTTTAGAGAGGTCTTAATGGTTTTGTAACTTTCTGTTTTTGGGTGAAAGACCCTTTGAGAAGTACAAGGTATTGTTGAACAATTAAAATATGTTTATTTCTATAGCCAAATGTAAGTGTTGAGTTGGTTTTTACTTTATTTATGAAGAATTTACCTGATCCATCTATATACCTTCAACTTGGTTGTACTGAGGTGGATTTCATCCCATATTTAGAAAGCCATTTCCTGACCATACTGCCCAAAGTAATTTATAGATTCAATGCTATCCCCATCAAGCTACCATTGATTTTCTTCACAGAATTAGAAAAAACTACTTTAGATTTCATATGGAACCAAAAAAGAGTCTGCAAGACAATCCTAAGCAAAAAGAACAAAGCTGGAGGCATCATGGGCCTGATTTCAAACGATACTACAAGGCTACAGTAACCAAAACAGCATGGTACTGGTACCAATGGTACTGGTACAGATATATAGACCAATGGAATAGAACAGAGACCTCAGAAATAACGCCACACATCTACAACCATCTGATCTTTGACAAACCTGACAAAAACAAGCAATGGGGAAAGGATTCCCTATTTAATGAATGGTGTTGGGAAAACTGGCTAGCCATATGCAGAAAACTGAAACTGGACCCCTTCCTTATACTTCATACCACAATTAACTCAACATAGATTAAAGGCTTAAATGTGAGACCTAAAGCCATAAAAACCCTAGAAGAAAATCTAGGCAATACCATTCAGGACATAGGCATGGGCAAAGACTTCATGACTAAAACAACAAAAGCAATGGCAACAAAAGCCAAAATTGACAACTGGGATTTAATTAAAGAGCTTCTGCAAAGCAAAATATCATCAGAATGAACAGGCTATCTATGGAATGGGAAAAAATTTTCACAGTCTATCCATCTGACAAAAGTCTAATATCCAAAATCTACAAGGAACTTAAACAAATTTACAAGAAAAAAACAACCCCATCAAAAAGTGGACGAAGGATGTGAACAGACATTTCTCAAAGGAGGACATTTATGTAACCAACAAACTTATGAAAAAGAGCTCATCATCACTGGTCATTAGAGAAATGCAAATCAAAACCACAATGAAATACCATCTTACACCAGATGGAATGGTGATCATTAAAAAGTTCGGAAATAACAGATGCTGGAGGGCGTGTAGAAAAATAGGAATGCTTTTATACTGTTGGTGGGAGTATAAATTAGTTCAACCACTGTGGAAGACAGTGTGGCTATTCCTAAAGGATCTAGAACCAGAAATATCATTTGACCCAGCAATCCTATTACTGGGTATATACTCAAAGGGTTATAAATCATTCTGCTTTAAAGACACATGCACACGTATGTTTATTGCAGCACTATTTACAATAGCAAAGACATGGAACCAAGCCAGATGCCCATCAATGATAGACTAGATGAAGAAAATGTGGCATATATACCGTGAAATACTATGCAGCCATAGAAAGGATGAGTTCATGTCCTCTGCCAGGATATGGATGAAGCTAGAAACCATCATTCTCAGCAAACTAACACAGGAAGAGAAAACCAAACAGTACATGTTCTCACTCATAAGCAGGAGTTGAACAATGAGAACACACGGACACAGGGAGGAAAACATCACACACCGAGGCCTGTGGGAGAGTAGGAGGCTAGCGTAGGGACAGCATTAGGAGAAATACCTAATGCAGATGATGTGTTGATGGGTGCAGCAAACTACCATGGCACGTGTATACCTGTGTAACAAAGCTGCACATTCTGCACATGTATCGCAGAACTTAAAATATAATAATAAAAAAGAAAGCAATTTCCTGCCTTTAAATTTAGCTTCATCTAAAAAATGTAATTAGGTTGGGGGCAGTGGCTCACACATATAATCCTAGCACTTTGGGAGGTTAAGGCAGGCAGATCAGCTGAGGTCAGGAGTTTGAGAACAGCCTGGCCAACGTGGTGAAATCGCATCTCTACTAAAAAAACTACAAAAATTAGCCTGGGATGGTGGTGCATGACTGTAGTTGTAGCTACTTGGGAGGCTGAGGCAAGAGAATGCTTGAATCTGGGAGGTAGAGGTTATAGTGAGCCGAGATGATGCCACTGCACTCCAGCCTGGGTGACAGAGCAAGACTCTGCCTCAAAATAAATAAATAAACAAATAAATAAATAAATAGCCTGGCCAATGTGGTGAAATCCCATCTCTACTAAAAAAAATACAAAAATTAGCCTGGCATGATGGTGCATGACTGTAGTTGTAGCTACTTGGGAGGCTGAGGCACGAGAATGCTTGAATCTGGGAGGTAGAGGTTATAGTGAGCCGAGATGATGCCACTGCACTCCAGCCTGGGTGACAGAGCAAGGCTCTGCCTCAAAATAAATAAATAAACAAATAAACAAACAAACAAATAAATAAATAAATAAATAAATAGTATGATCAAATCCCTCATTGCCCCCCACCTCACACCAAGGAATATTTGGCAATATCTAGAGACAGTGTTGGTTATCACAACTGATGGGAGAGTACTACTGGCATCTAGTGAATAGAGGCAAGGATTGCTGCTAAACATCCTACAATTTACAGATAATAATACCCTTGCCCCTAAATAATTATCTGGCCAAAAATATTAATAGTGTCTAGGTTCAGAGATCTTGTTTTAGAGTTATCATATAAAATTGCCCAAACCTACTATTTTTAGAGTACTTTTTATAGGTTAGTTGTTTTGTTCATCCTGCTTAAAACAAAAAACACAAATTAAAGCAAATATATTTTATGTATATTTTAATCTCTGTTTGCTTCAAGATAATACCTGGGCTGAGTTATTCTAAACTGTTCTTTAAGTACAGCAGTGTTCATCTATGCAAATGGACAGATTTTATTTCTGCTGTTTGTTCCTCAGATCTCTATACCAATTTGCATCTCGGTAGGAAGTGTGTGGGGTAAATGGTATAACTGTAACTTGTTCTTAGGAAAAATTCTAGGATGAGGTAGTAGATAGGTAGGTAAGAGATCAAGAAGGACAATGTAGACCAATAATTAAGCATTTTATTGAATAGATGGGCTGGGGATTAACTTGTCCCTTTAGGAAGAAAGGAAGCATTTGTGACATTAGAAACTGCCACATTTAAGGAGTTAGTGGAAGACAACCATGAGGGAGCCTAAGAAGTAAGCAAAGAATGAGGAGAGAATGGATATTTTGGGAGCCAGAGAACAATCTTTGAGAAGAAGAGAATGGTCATCGATGATAAATGTTAGTGGGAAAAGAAGTATTCAATCTGTCCATTGGTTTTCTTTTAAACCTGGGTAAGATCAGGATGCCATTCCTCATTGTGTAATCTCTCTCTCTAAATTTGCAGATTTTAGGAAAGAGGCTTCAAATCTAAAATTACCAACGGTAAATGGTGAGTAAGAACTTTGTATATGAGAAAGATTTCAATAATAAGAGATATTTTTAAGAATAATTGCCAAGTACCAATGTATTTCTAATTTTTCCTGCCTACTTCACCCAGATTACTATTTTTCCGCAATAGAAATCTGATCATGTTATCTCCCCCTATTTATAACTCTTTAAACATTTCCTGTTGTTATTAGGATAAAGATTAAAATCCTCCATGCCCTATCTCTCTAGCATTATTTTGTATCATTATCCTTGCTTTGGGTACTTCAACTAAGTTGACTTAAGTTCCTTAGATACTCTCCTTTCCGCCCACCACAAGACTTTTGCATATTCTATTCCCTGGAATATTCTTCCCTGATCCTCTTTGCCTACTGTTGTAATCCTTTTGGTGTTGCTATAACAGAATACCACAGACTGGATGATTTGTTAAAAAAAATTATTTCTTATATTTCTAGAAGCTGGGAAATCCAAGGTCAAGAGGCCCACATCTAGTGAGGGCCTTCTTGCTGTGTCATCCCATGGTAGAAGGCAGAAGGGCAAGAAAGTTTGAGAGAGCAAGAGGAGACAACTTACTTTTATAACAAGCCCACTCTTGCAATAACCGAATCACTGACATTAATTCATTCATGAGGGCAGAACCTTTGTGACTTAATCACCTCTTATTAGGCCCCACCTTTCAACACTGTTGAATTGGGGATTAAGTTTCCAGCACATAAACTTTGGGAAACACAATCAAACCATAGCATTATACCCCTGGCTCTCAAAATTGATGCCCTTTTTACATGCAAAATACATTCATTCCATCTGAATAGCCCCAAAAGTCTTGTTCCTGCATCACTCAAAGGTCCAGATTCCAGAGTCTCATCTTAATCAGATGGGTAAGACTCAAGGCATAATTCATCTTGAGGCAAATTCTCCTCCAGTAGTAAGCCTGTGAAATTAGCAAAGTACATGCTTCTAAAACACATAGGCATAGGATAGACTTATCCATTCCAAGAGGGCAAAATAAGTGAGAAGAAAGGGATAATTGGTCCCAAGTAAGTCTGAAGCCAAAAAGGGAAAACAACATTAAGTCCTAAAGCTGGAGAATAATCTCTTTTGACTCTATGAGTCAGTTATAGAAAAGCATATTATCAGTGGCTACTATAGGTCAGTTTTTTTGGTTTCCTTTGTTATATGCTCTTATTAAACTGTGCTCATTTCATAGCACTTAATTCATATTATAAATATCTGTTCATGTTTTTGGTTATTTGATTAATATCTCTTCCTCCCACTTACCTTTACCTGGTATCACTGGGTCAAGAACTGTCTCCACTTTGCTTACCATTGTATCTCCAGGATTTAGCACAGTCCTGGCTCTTATTATACTCTTAAAGATAACTAATACTAGCATCTGATACTTATGTAATATTTACTATGCTATATATTGTTCCAAATCTTTTGTTATTAACTCATAATCATAAATAATTATTGAATGAATGACTGAATAGATCTGTCTTCTTATCTCTTTAGCCTCACCTTTTATTACTTCTGCATTCGTATTTATTCTGTAGCCACACTACTTAGCACAACTTAAATTGGCACTATTTGCTTTTTTATTTGCATGTACTGTTTCCTTTGGATGCATTCGCTGACAGACAAACTAACATTACCCCCCTAAACTCAGCTCAAATATCATTTCTCATGCCATAAGACTGCCAGTATTCATCACTTATTAAATCTAGGTTAGGTGAATCATTTCAATGCTTCCATAATTTTGTATGTGTATTTTTCTCATATCACTTACTATATAATATATTATAATTTTATTTATAGATATGACAGATTTATTCTCACTCATTAAGGAACTTACAAACTCTTTGACAAGAGAGACTGAATTTTTTTATTGTTGATCTTAGAAGCTGTAAAGTAATTGTTAGTAGAGTGAATATAGGTCTAAGATGATATTATGGTGTTCTTTCCAAGTGACCTCCATGAAGGTTTAGATCTCCTGGTGTAATGCAACAATTTTCAGAATATGGAAACATAGACGACTTCATTTGGGGGTTGAGGGAAAAATGGATTGAGAAATGATAGGAATGAAAAATTAGGCTGGGTGTGGTGGCTTACACCTGTAATCCCAGCACTTTGGGAGGCCGAGGCAGGAGGATCACTTGAGCTCAGAAGTTCGAGACCAGCCTGGCCAACATGACAAATCCTTGTCTCCACTAAAAATTCAAAAAAATTAGCTGGGCATGGTGGTATGCACCTGTAATCCCAGCTACTCAGGAAGCTAAGGCAGGAGAATTGCTTGAACCTAGGAAGTGGAGTTTTCCGGTGAGCCGATATTGCACCACTGTACTCCAGCCTGGGTGACAGTGTGAGACTCCATCTCTAAATAAATAAATGAATAAATACCAGATAATGATTATGTTTAAATTGATGTGAGATCAACAGAACTGCCCCATTTGGTTATATGGGTTGTGCTTTGCATACGGGTGCCTGGTTGAGAGAGCACAAGTGGAGGCTGAAATGCAGTTCATACTCCAAGCTTTGAACCTCTTTGCTAGATTGCAGTTGCCTAGTGAAAGGTGCCCTTTTTTGTAACTGATGCGTAGTAAGGAGGTGTCTTTTTCCAATTTACACAAAAGCACAATATGAACTGTCTCAGGCCCTGGGCTCAGAAGCTTCAATCTCTAATTTTAGCCTTTATTTACATCATCAGATGATAGAAATCCTTAGACTTATATGTACAGGGCATAACTATTACTTAAGGGAGGCATACAGCTCATTCAGTTTTTAATGGATGAATGAATGAAGATAAAGTCTTATTATAATATATGTCAATAGCCCATCATATTATTCTCTTGGCCATAAAATTTTTTTGTTTCAAATGCTGCTTGAGGGAAGTGGGCCATCAGTTACAAATAGAAAATATTGTTTCCTTTGGAGAGATTTTGATTCAGACAATATTTAATTTGAGGGTTACCTATAGTAAATTTTGGACAAATTATTTTGAATGTTTTTTACACTATAATATCTTGTATACATTTATCTTTGTAGAGATTAAAGAAGCTGCTTACATCTTGTCACATGTTGATAATGCCAAGATTGGTATACCTGACTTGGAGCATGCCTTAAAATGTTTGAATGTTAATTTACCTGAGGAGGACTTCAATGAAGCCCTTAACAGTTGTAACATCAGTGGTGAGCAGTTTTTGGCCTGAGATTCTTTTCATTTTTTTCCTACTTATGAAAAATAGTCTTAGAGTGTAAGATGCTAAAGGGAGTAATTTTTCTGTTGGAGGCTTAGGTTGATACAAATTAGAGCCAAACCAGTGTACTAATTTAAATATTCATTGAACTTATCTATCTACTCATACTCATATGGATACTGTATGTGCTTATTTAGATAATTACCATTCATTACTTATAAGCATGTGTGGAAAAATGCCATAAATTTTATATATAATAAAATAAAGACATGATGACAGCAGCTTATTTTGATATACAATCTTTTTCAGAGTAGGTCTTCCTTCTTTCTTTTTTTTTTTGTGATTATTATTATTATTATTATTATTATTTTTTTTTTTATTGCATTTTAGGTTTTGGGGTACATGTGATGAACATGCAAGATTGTTGCATAGGTACACACATGGCAGTGTGCTTTGCTGCCTTCCGTCCCCTCACCTGTATCTGTCATTTCTCCCCATGCTATCTCTTCCCACCTCCCCACCCCCCGCCCCTCCCCCATTTCCCCCCAACAGACCCCAGTGTGTAGTGCTCCCCTCCCTGTGTCCATGTGTTCTCATTGTTCAACACCCGCCTATGAGCGAGAATATACGGTGTTTGATTTTCTGCTCTTGTGTCAGTTTGCTGAGAATGATGGTTTCCAGGTTCATCCATGTCCCTATAAAGGACGTGAACTCATCGTTTTTGATGGCTGCATAATATTCCATGGTGTATATGTACCACATTTTCCCTATCCAGTCTATCATCGTTGGGCATTTGGGTTGGTTCCAGGTCATTGCTATTGTAAACAGTGCTGCAATGAACATTCGTGTGCATGTGTCCTTGTAGTAGAATGATTTATAATCCTTTGGATATATACCCAGTAATGGGATTGCTGGGTCAAATGGGATTTCTATTTTTAAGTCCTTGAGGAATCGCCACACTGTCTTCCACAATGGTTGAATTAATTTACATTCCCACCAACAGTGTAAAAGTGTTCCTATTTCTCCACATCCTCTCCAGCATCTGTTGTTTCCCGATTTTTTAATGATCGCCATTCTAACTGGTGTGAGATGGTATCTCAATGTGGTTTTGATTTGCATTTCTCTGATGACCAGTGATGATGAGCATTTTTTCATATGTTTGTTGGCCTCCTGTATGTCTTCTTTTGTAAAGTATCTGTTCATATCCTTCGCCCATTTTTGAATGGTCTTGTTTCTTTTTTTCTTGTAGATCTGCTTTAGTTCTTTGTAAATTCTGGATATCAGCCCCTTGTCAGATGGGTAGACTGCAAAAATTTTTTCCCATTCTGTTGGTTGCCGATTCACTCTACTGACTGTTTCTTTTGCCGTGCAGAAGCTGTGGAGTTTGATTAGGTCCCATTTGTCTATTTTGGCTTTTGTTGCCATTGTTTTTGGCGTTTTGGTCATGAAGTCCTTGCCTACACCTATGTCCTGAATGGTTTTGCCTAGATTTTCTTCTAAGGTTTTTATGGTATTAGGTCTGATGTTTAAGTCTTTAATCCATCTGGAGTTAATTTTGGTGTAAGGTGTCAGGAAGGGGTCCTGTTTCTGCTTTCTGCACATGGCTAGCCAGTTTTCCCAACACCATTTATTAAACAGGGAGTCCTTTCCCCATTGCTTGTTTTTGTCAGGTTTGTCGAAGATCAGATGGTTGTGGGTATGTTGTATTTCCTGTGAGGCCTCTGTTCTGTTCCATTGGTCTATATCTCTGTTTTGGTACCAGTACCATGCTGTTTTGATTACTGTAGCCTTGTAGTATAGTTTGAAGTCCGGTAGTGTGATGCCTCCCGCTTTGTTCTTTTTGCTTAGAATTGACTTGGCTATGCGGGCTCTCTTTTGGTTCCATATGAAGTTTAAGGTGTTTTTTTCCAGTTCTGTGAAGAAGGTCATTGGTAGCTTGATGGGAATAGCATTGAATCTGTAAATTACTTTGGGCAGTATGGCCATTTTCACGATGTTGATTCTTCCTAACCATGAACATGGAATGTTTCTCCATCTGTTTGTATCCTCTCTTATTTCGTTGAGCAATGGCTTGTAGTTCTCCTTGAAGAGGTCCTTTACGTTCCTTGCTAGTTGTATTCCTAGGTACTTTATTCTCTTTGTAGCAATTGTGAATGGCAGTTCGTTCTTGATTTGGCTCTCTTGAAGTCTATTACTGGTGTATAGGAATGCTTGTGATTTTTGCACGTTGATTTTGTATCCTGAGACTTTGCTGAAGTTGTTTATCAGTTTCAGGAGATTTTGGGCTGAGATGATGGGGTCTTCCAGATATACAATCATGTCATCTGCAAATAGAGACAATTTGATTTCCTCCTTTCCAATTTGGATACCCTTTATTTCTTTTTCTTGCCTGATTGCTCTGGCTAGAACTTCCAGTACTATATTGAATAGGAGTGGTGAGAGAGGGCATCCTTGTCTAGTGCCAGATTTCAAAGGGAATGCTTCCAGTTTTTGCCCATTCAGTATGATATTGGCTGTTGGTTTGTCGTAAATAGCTTTTATTGTTTTGAGATACGTTCCATCAATACCTAGTTTATTGAGGGTTTTTAGCATAAAGGGTTGTTGAATTTTGTCAAAAGCCTTCTCTGCATCAATCGAGACAATCATGTGGTTTTTGTCTTTGGTTCTGTTTATGTGGTGAATTACGTTTATGGACTTGCGTATGTTGAACCAGCCTTGCATCCCCGGGATGAATCCTACTTGATCATGGTGGATGAGCTTTTTGATATGCTGTTGCAATCGGTTTGCCAGTATTTTATTGAAGATTTTTGCATCTATGTTCATCATGGATATTGGCCTGAAATTTTCTTTTCTTGTTGAGTCTCTGCCGGGTTTTTTTATCAGGATGATGTTTGTCTCGTAAAATGATTTGGGAAGGATTCCCTCTTTTTGGATTGTCTGGAATAGTTTCAGAAGGAATGGTATCAGCTCCTCCTTGTATGTCTGGTAGAATTCAGCTGTGAACCCATCTGGACCTGGGCTTTTTTTGGGTGGTAGGCTCTTTATTGCTGCCTCGACTTCAGACCATGTTATTGGTCTATTCAGGGTTTCGGCTTCTTCCAGGTTTAGGCTTGGGAGGTTGCAGGTGTCCAGGAATTTATCCATATCTTCCAGGTTTACTAGTTTATGTGCATAGAGTTGCTTGTAATAATCTCTGATGATGGTTTGGATTTCTGTGGAATCTGTGGTGATATCCCCTTTATCGTTTTTTATTGCATCAATTTGGTTATTCTCTCTTTTCTTTTTTATTAATCTGGCTAGTGGTCTGTCTATTTTGTTGATCTTTTCAAAAAACCAGCTCCTGGATTTATTGATTTTTTGAAGAGTTTTTTGTGTCTCTATTTCCTTCAGTTCTGCTCTTATCTTAGTTATTTCCTGTCTTCTGCTAGGTTTTGAGTTTTTTTGATCTTGCTCCTCTAGCTCTTTCAATTTTGCTGATAGGGTGTCAATTTTAGATCTCTCCTTTCTTCTCATGTGGGCACTCATTGCTATATATTTTCCTCTAGAGACTGCTTTAAATGTGTCCCAGAGATTCTGGTATGTTGTGTCTTCGTTCTCATTGGTTTCGAAGAACATCTTTATTTCTGCCTTCATTTCATTGTTTATCCAGTCAACATTCAAGAGCAAGTTGTTCAGTTTCCATGAAGCTGTGTGATTCTGAGTTAGTTTCTGCATTCTGAGTTCTAACTCGATTGCACTGTGGTCTGAGAGACTGTTTGTTATGATTTCTGTTCTTTTGCATTTGCTGAGGTGTGATTTATTGCCAATTATGTGGTCAATTTTAGAGTAGGTGTGATGTGGTGCTGAGAAGAATGTATATTCTGTGGATTTGGGGTGGAGAGTTCTGTAAATGTCTATTAGGTTTGCTCGTTCCAGGTCTGTGTTCAGGTCCTGGATATCCTTGTTGATTTTCTGTCTGGTTGATCTGTCTAATATTGACAATGGGGTGTTAAAGTCTCCCACTATTATTGTGTGGGAGTCTAAGTCTCTTTGTAAGTCATTAAGAACTTGCCTTATGTATCTGGGTGCTCCTGTATTGGGTGCATATATATTTAGGATCGTTAGCTCTTCTTGTTGCAGTGATCCTTTTACCATTATGTAATGTCCTTCTTTGTCTCTTTTGATCTTTGTTGCTTTAAAGTCTATTTTATCAGAGATGAGAATTGCAACTCCTGCCTTTTTTTGCTCTCCATTTGCTTGGTAGATCTTCCTCCATCCCTTTATTTTGAGCCTTTGTGTATCCTTGCATGTAAGATGGGTTTCCTGGATACAGCACACTGATGGGTTTTGGCTTTTTATCCAATTTGCCAGTCTGTGTCTTTTGATTGGGGCATTTAGTCCATTGACATTTAGGGATAGTATTGTTATGTGTGAATTTGATGCTGTCATTTTGATGCTACCTGGCTGTTTTGTTGGTTAGTTGATGCAGCTTCTTGATTGTGTTGCTGCTTTTTTACCATTTGGTGTGTTTTTGGAGTGGCTGGTACTGGTTGTTCCTTTATATGTGTAGAGCCTCTTTCAGGAGTTCTTGTAGAGCAGGTTTGGTGGTGATGAAATCTCTGAGTGCTTGCTTGTTCACAAAGGATTTTATTTTTCCTTCACTTATGAAGCTGAGTTTGGCTGGATAGGAGATTCTGGGTTGAAAGTTCTTTTCTTTAAGGATGTTGAATATTGGCCCCCAGTCTCTTCTGGCTTGTAGGGTTTCTGCTGAGAGATCTGCTGTGAGTCTAATGGGCTTCTCTTTGTGGGTAACCCGACCTTTCTCTCTGGCTGCCCTTAGCATTTTCTCTTTCATTTCAACCCTGGTGAATCTGACGATTATGTGCCTTGGGGTTGCTCTTCTTGAGGAATATCTCTGTGGTGTTCTCTGTATTTCCTGGATTTGAATATTGGTCTGCCTTGCTAGGTTGGGGAAGTTTTCCTGGATAATATCCTGAAGAGTATTTTCCAGCTTGGATTCATTCTCTTCATCACATTCAGGTACACCTATCAGACGTAGATTAGGTCTTTTCACATAGTCCCACATTTCTTGAAGATTTTGTTCATTCCTTTTTGCGCTTTTTTCTCTGTTCTTGCCTTCTCTTTTTATTTCATTGAGTTGGTCTTCGACCTCTGATATCCTTTCTTCTGCTTGGTGAATTCGGCTGTTGAAGCTTGTGCATGCTTCACGAAGTTCTCGTGTTGCGTTTTTCAGCTCCATCAATTCACTTATTCTCCTCTCTATGCTGTCCATTCTCGTCAGCAGTTCGTCCAATCTTTTTTCAAGGTTCCTATTTTCTTTGCGATGGGTTAAAACATGTTCTTTTAGCTCATTGTAGTTTCTTACTACCCACCTTCTGAAGTCTGATTCTGTCATTTCATCACCCTCCTTCTCCATCCGGTCTGGTTCCCTTGCTGGTGAGGAGTTGTGATCACTTTTAGGAGGAGAGGTGTTCTGGTTTCGGGAGTTTTCATCCTTTTTACGCTGGTTTCTACCCATTTTTGTGGGTTTATCCACCTGTTGTCTGCCTCTGTCCCAGGGAGTTGGAGCTTTATGAGTTTCCGTTGCACTACTGCCTTTTTTGATTTTTTTTTTTTCAGGTCGGACCCGCCCAGCTAGCAGCACGCCTAGCCACTGCCTGCCCGCAGGGGCTTTGCTGAGCTGCTGTGGGCTCCGCCCAGCTGCCCTGAGCTCTACCCTGTAGTCCTTTTTATATGGGCGTAGTTAGAACTGTCTGGGCAACGGTGGCCCCGCCTCTGTTATGGCGGACTCTCTCTGTTGTGGCAGGTTGCCTTGGCAACGGCGGGTTGCCTCGGCAACGGCAGCCTGCCTCCTTAGCGGTGGAGAGTCTCAGTAATGGCGGAAGCCCCTCCCCCACGGAGCCGGACCGTCCTGGTTCAGCTGTGCTTGGTTTGAAGGGCTCAACCCAGAGGGTTTCCAATTACTGTTTTTGTTTCCGTTGTTGTTGGGAGTGGAGGGGTGGGACCAACCGAGCCTGATCACCTGGCTCCCTGACTCAGAGTCTTTTCTTTTAAGTTGAACGACCCCGCGTTCCGGTCGCTTGTTGAAAAGGCGCCGGGATCTCCCGTGCTGCGACTCGAACCGCGGCGCCAGCTCCTGGCGGATTTTTTGCCTAGGAATCTCCTGGCCTGACTCGCTATTTCAGATGAATGGGCTATTCTGCCATCTCAAGGCTCTGCTCGCCAGCTAAGAGAGCTCCCAGACCAGTGGCTTTTGTACGGAGAACCGCAGCAACAGGGAGTGGTCACAGCAGCCGCGCGGGCGGAATCAGCCCCTCGGGGGCCAAAACAGCCGCACCGGCTGGGACTGCGACGCTGGCGACCCCTCTGCCTGGGTATCTCCTGGTCTGTGGGCAATAAGAGTTCGTCTGGAAATGCGGCGTCCACTCACCCTCTGCACTTTCACTGGGAGCTGAAGTCCTGAGCTGTTCTTAGGCGGTCATCTTGAAAGTCGGATCAGGTCTTCTTTCATTTTTTTTTTTTTTTTACAGTACTTGCTCTGTTTTTATTATTATTATTATTATTTTTGAGACGGAGTTTCGCTCTTGTTACCCAGGCTGGAGTGCAATGGCGCAATCTCGGCTCACCGCAACCTCCGCCTCCTGGGTTCAGGCAATTCTCCTGCCTCAGCCTCCCGAGTAGCTGGGATTACAGGTACGTGCCACCATGCCCAGCTAATGTTTTGTATTTTTAGTAGAGACGGGGTTTCACCATGTTGACCAGGATGGTCTTGATCTCTTGACCTCGTGATCCACCCGCCTCGGCCTCCCAAAGTGCTGGGATTACAGGCTTGAACCACCACGTCCGGCCTCTGTTTTTATTTTTAACCATATGAAATATCTGAGGACTCACTACATTTTAAAATAACAGTCATTTAATTTTAGTCATTGCTTTCAAGTAGTCCATATTTAACTCGTTTTCTGCCTTTGACTTCATGTAGTATGTACTTGATTGCCTTTCCTATACACATTTACTTTTAGGAAGTCAAATCATTTGGGACTACTTCTAGAAACTGCTGAGTTCTGTTGGTTTTAGGTGAACATTTATTTTGGCTTATCTTAACCAATTTGTGTCTTTGTGAATCCTGTGAGTCCTAGGTTTAAGAATATCTCTCCAGAACAGTTTAGTTATTGATTTTCTCAGGTTCCCTAGATTGTTATTCACCTAGATCAATTTTTGTTTTTTGACCTTAGTTTTCTAACATCATCAGAATGTTATAAATTTAGACTTCCCACATACATGAGATGCATTCTGGGCCTTCAATTTCTCACAAGAGATTTTTTTCCCACTGTCTCTCAGAATTGGGAAGATTTAGGCCTTCTTGTTTACTTGAGCCAATAAATACAATATTTTAATTTCTTTTTTTAAAACCAAGATTGAAACCCTTTAAGCATTTCAGTTTTATTTGGTATCTAAGTTCCTGCTCTTATTTATATGGGCTTGAATCTTTTTTTATGACTCTGTATGAGCATTTAAATCAAGCACTTAGCCATTTCTGGGTCTCATCTCTATCCCCAAGATAGTTTTAATGTTAGTACTCAGTGCTTAGCATTCTGGATCTCAGTTCCTGGTTAACTTTTTGTTATTTCCTTCGTATGACTCAGTCACACATCCATGGAATGTTATATGTTATAGAGCATCTCTAGGGGTTTGTAGTCAGATGATTTCTGCCCTACCCAGGTCTGCCATTTTGTTTAAACTCAAAGTCTCCTTAATATAACTATAGCCCTAGATTGTCTGCTATGTCACATTATTGCACCTTACTTCACTTGTGACTCTATGTGTGTGTGTGTGTGTGTGTGTGTGTACAATATCTATATGTGCATGTATGTGTGTTTTCTAATAACATTGTCTCCTCTGGCCTTAGACTGCATCAATTCAAACACAGTCCCTAACACTTCCCGACTTTGTGACCTGCACAAGTTATTTAATTTCCATTTATTTTCGTCTTTTAAAAATAGACGTGTAAAGAGTATCCACATCATAGAATTATTGTGAAGATTATCTGATTTAATATATGTAAAATACCATGCAAGGGTGCCTAGTATATATAAGGAACTCAAAAATGTTAGCTATTGTTTGCTGGTAATATTATTAACTATTTACTGGGTGGTTTATAAAATTGTTAAAAGTTCTATTGAAATAGTTTCAATCATTTGAGACAGAAAAGTGAGCTAGAGTGAAATTTTAGCTCTTTAGAGTGAAATAAATCCGTCTTTATTTCATGTGCCAATTCAGTATCAGGGTTTTAATGGCAGCATATTTGACTTTGACCTTCCAGATAATATGGAGGTGGATTTAAAAGATTTCTTAATGAAAATGAAAGAAAGTCCACATTTCCAAAAGTCCAAGGGTAAGTGAATATTTCTTGTTCAAGAGAGTGGCTAGAAAATACATATTAATAAATGACATTTAAAAATCACTATCTGGATTTCAGGTTTGAAATTTTTAGTCTTTCTAGTTTTAAAAAGGATTTCAAGCCACTTATGCTGTATAATATAAGTAATATAATAATATAAAAATAAGTGAAGAAAATTGGGCAAAGATATAATGAGGTGGAAAATAAGACAAGGTTAAAAAGATTCATATTAAGTGTCTTTACTTTTATTGCAAGGTCCTTTCCCAAAGGTAGTTAGATTTTTCTTAATTCAAGAACTTCTGGATCTGTGAATTAAATCATGTGTGGAATTGGATGAGGTGCCATCAGTTTTTGTTGTGCCATCTTAAGTCATGCCTCTGGAGTTTTCAGGTGTATGCAGCTGGACTGCCCATCTATATCAGTTATAGAAATCCTAACTTCAGTTAATCAGTCCTTCTAAATCACTGCAGTATCAATCCCTGTATTATTCTTAATAGCATACTATCTATGTTGCCTAACCACATCATTTTGCCCTTGCTATTTAAAGACTTCTGCTTAGCCTCTGTCCCTGAGGTTCATCTTATTCTTTTTGAAATTAGGAAGACCATTTCAACACCAACATGCTTTCCTAACCCCTAAGTCTGCAGAGAACTCCTACCAAAGAACTCTTCATGGATGCAGACACCCTTATCAATGATGTATTTCTAAATGCTTTGGTGAAACAAATATATTTGTCTCAGATTTTTTACATTTTAATATCTCTAAAATTGGATGCCTTATAATATTTTAAATCAGATGTAGCTTTTAAAATTGAGAAATAATTTATATACCATAAACTTCACGCTTTTAAAGTGTACCATTCAGTGATTTTTAGTATATTTAGAAAGTTGTACAACCATCACCACTTTCTAATTCTAAAACATTTTTATGACCCCAAAAGAAACTTTGTACCTGTTAGCAGTTATTCTCCATTCCCACCTCTCTCCAACTACTGACAATCACTAATCTACTTTCTGCCTGTATGAATTTGCTTGTTTTGAACATTTTATATAAATGTAATCATATTGTATTTTTTTGAGTCTAACTTCTTTTCTATAGCGTATGCTTTCTTTCTTTTTTTTCAACTTTTATTTTAGATTCAGTGGGTATGTGTGCAGGTTTGTTACCTGGGTATATTGTGTGATGCTGAGATTTGGGAGATTTGGGATATGAATGATCCCATCACCCAGGTACTGAGAATCGTATGCAATAGTTAGTTTTACAACCCTTTCCCCTCCTACCTGTCCCCTCCTCTAGTAGTCCCTAGTTTCAATTGTTGCCATCTTTGTATTCATGAGTACCCCATGTTCAGCTCACACTTATTAAGTAAGAACATGCAGTATTTGATTTTCTGTTTCTGTGTTAATGCACTTAGGATAATGGCCTCCAGCTACATCCATGCTGATAGCATATATTTTCAAAATTTGTTTATATTATAGTATGAATTAGTACAATTGACCCTTGAACAATGTGGGGGTTAGGGGCACCTTCTAGATAATATGGAGGTGGATTTAAAAGAGTGCTTAATGAAAATGAAAGTCCACATTTTCAAAAGTCCAAGGGTAAGGGGATACTTTTGCTTCAAGAGAGTGGCTGGAAAATGAGTGGCTGCACAGTCAAAATTTTATGTATAATTTCAGACTCCCTCAAAACTTAATTACTAATAGTCTACTGTTGACTGGAAGCCTTATCAATAACATAAATGATTGATTAATGCATATTTTTATGATATATATATTAAATACTGTTTCTTACAATAATGCAAGCTAGAGAAAAGAAAATATTATTAATAAAATCATAAGGGAGATAGAATATGTTTACTCTTCATTAAATGTAAGTGGATCATCATCCTCATCCTCATCATCTTCAAGTTGAGTAGGAAGAGGAGGAAGAGAAGTTGGTTTTGCTATCTCAGAAGTGGGAGAGACAGAAGAGGTGGAGGAGGTGGAAGAGGAGGCAGAAGAGGCATGGACACTTGGTTTAACTTTATGGAAATACATCATACTTTCTTTCTGACATTTTTGGTTTTTCATTTCTCTAAAAATGTTCTCTATAATGCCAGTCTTTCACTGTTTGCTTTAGTTTCAATGTCCATATCATAGAAGGGTTCATATCGTAAAATAAGTCGAAGGAGTCTTGAATAACTGGAACACTTTTGCCAGATTGTCTAATGTCAATTTGTTTCCTGGCATTGCTTCTTGTATGTCTTCTTCCTTATCATCTGGCACTGTTTGGAAGCACTCACCTCTATCAAGCCATCTTCAGTTAATTCCTCTGGTGTTGTGTATATTAACTCTTGAATTTCTCCCAATAGCCATATCTTGAAACCTTTTATCCTTCATCTTTTTTTTCTCACCATATCCATAATCTCTTTTATGATCTCCTTGTTTAGCTCTGTTATAAATACTGTGAAGTCATGTACAACATCTTGACACAGCTTTCTCCATCAGGAGTTTATTGTTTGGGGCTTGATGTGGCATCCTACTGAAGCCTTTCACGTTGTTCTCTCTGTCAGAGTTCTCTTCCACAATGTTGATAATTATTTCCATACATGTGTAATGAGCCTTTAAAGGTTCTTTTGACCCCCTAATGTAGAAGCTGATGTCATGTTTGGGAGTAAAGAGACCACTTCGACCGTTTTGGTGTTGAATTCATAGGGTTTCAAGTGACCAGAAGCAAGTCTCTTCCTTGCTTCAGGGGCAAAGCATTGATGAAACCAATCCAGAAAAGGCATTTTGGTCATCCAAAACTTCTTGTTATACAATCAAAAGATGGGAGCAGGTGTTTCTTTTCTTTTCAAGGCTTGAGGGCTAGTAGCTTTATAGATAAGGGCAGTCCTGATTTTAAACCTAACTGCATTTGCACAAAACATTAGAGCTAGCCCACCCTTCTTAAATCCTGGTACTTGTTTCTCCTCCTTACTAATAAATGTCCCTTGTGACATTATTTTCCAGAATAGAGCACTTTTGTCTGCATTAAAAATGTGTTCTGGGATATATTCTTTCTCCTCAATGATTTTCTTAATGGAGCCTGGAAACTTGTCCATTGCCTCTTGGTCAGAAGAAGTTGCTGCTTCTGTTATCTTGACATTTTAAAAGCCAAATATCTTTCTAAAATTATCAAGCCATCCTTTGCTGGTATTAAATTCTCCAGCTTTAGATCCTTCACCTTTCTTTTGCTTTAAGTTGTCATATAATGAGTTTATTTTTTCTTCAGTCATATTAGAGTCTATGCTTGTGTCTTTCTTTTTTTATTAATATTTTCTTTTTTTAAAATTATATTTTAAGTTCTGGGGTACATGTGCAGATCATGCAGGTTTGTTACATAGGTATACACATGCCATGGTGGTGGTTTGCTGCATCCATTGCCCCATCATCTACATTAGGTATTTCTCCTAATGCTTTGTCTCCCCAATCCCCCTACCCACTGCTATTTCTCCCCTAGTCCTCCACACCCCCAGGCCCTGGTGTGTGATGTTCCCCTCCCTGTGTCCATGTGTTCTCATTGTTCAACACCCACTTATGAGTGAGAACATGAAGTGTTTGGTTTTCTGTTCTTGTATCAGTTTGCTAAGAATGATGGTTTCCAGTTTCACCCATGTCCCTGCAAAGGACACAAACTCATCCTTTTTTATGGCTGCATTGTATTCCACGGTGTATATGCCACATTTTCTTTATCCAGTCTATCACTGATGGGCATTTGGGTTGGTTTCAAGTCTTTGCTATTGTAAAAAATGTCACAATAAGCATATGTGTGCATGTGTCTTTATAATAGAATGATTTAGAATCCTTTGGGTATATACCCAGTAATGGGATTGCTGGATCAAATGGTATTTCTATTTCTAGATCCTTGAGGAATTGCCACACTGCCTTTCATAATGGTTGAATTAATTTACACTCCCACCAACAGTGTAAAAGTGTTCCTATTTCTCTACATCCTCTCCAGCATCTGTTGTCTCCTGATTTTTTAATAAGCACCATTCTAACTGGCATGAGCGTGAGGTGGTATCTCAATGTGGTTTTGATTTGCATTTCTGTAATGACCAGTAATGATGAGCTTTTTTTCATATGTTTATTGGCTGCATAAATGTCTTCTTTTGAAAAGTGTCTGTTCATATCCTTTGTCCACTTTTTGATGGGGTTATTTTTTTCTTGTAAATTTAAGTTCCTTGTAGATTCTCGATATTAGCCCTTTGTCAGATGGGTAGATTGCAAAACCTTTTTCCTATTCTGTTGGTTGCTGGTTCACTCTAATCATAGTTTCTTTTGCTGTGCAGAAGCTCTTTAGTTTAATTAGATCCCACTTGTCTCTTTTGGCTTTTGTTGCCATTGCTTTTGGTGTTTTAGTCATGAAGTCCTTGCCTATGCCTATGTCCTGGATGGTATTACCTAGGCTTTCTTCTAGAGTTTTTATGGTGTTAGGTCTCATGTTTAAATCTTTAATCCATCTAGAGTTAATTTTTGTATAAGGTGTAAGGAAGGGATTTTTCTCAGCTTTCTGCATATGGCTAGCCAGTTTTCCCAACTTTTCTTTTTTTAAGAAATTCAGTGATGTAAATTGAATTTTATGCCTTAAATATTTCACATTTTAGTAAGTTGTATAGGTTTAATATCATAAGAGCTTAAAGGATAAATAACCTTATTATATGATGTGGATGACTATGGCAATTACTGGCTCTGGAAAATTAGATATGTTCTTTTATTCTCAGTTTTCTTTTCCTCAAAATAAGGATAATAATGTCTATATCATATGACAGTTTTAAGAATTAAATAAGAGCATTTCCCTCTAGTAGCTACTGATTAAAAATTTACAAAGTCAGAGATGCAAATTGTAATTATATCACAGTTTTTATTCAATCAATAGATTTCCTTTTCCAAAATTCAGTGCTGTAAATTGAATTTTATGTCTTCTATATATTACACTTAAAAAAATTGATTAGGTTCAGAATTAGGAGAACACGGTTGGCAAATAACTTTGTTATATGGCATAGGTTACCATGGTAATTACTGTCTGGGTGGTACTGGAAAAATTATTCAAGTTTTCTTATTATCCTTTTCTTTTTTAGAATATCAATGGAATCTGAAACACATTTTGTTTTTATATCCAGGCATTGGAATCCTTTACATTAACATGGCATAGTTGGGTCCATTTTGTGTGCTAGTTTCTTTAGAATCAGATCTTCATAGTGTTAATTTTTTTTTTTTTTAAAGAAGAGAACCTTAATGCTGAAAAGGATATAAGGCTAATAATGCTTTTATAGAAGTTGTTAAAATTGAGATCATGCCTCTGTATTAGGTAGATTAAAAAGTTGCAGACTCAAGTGTGTGAAAATGTAATCCTATCACAGTTTTTGGTTAAATCAGTGGTCAGGGTTTAATTAATAGTATTATGACTATCCAAATTAGCTCATTGATGAGTCAGTAGTCATCCGTTACCTCCATGCCTCTTTCCATGTGCAATCTGTCCCCTCCCCTTTCTCCTGGAGTTAACAATTATCTTTTTAAAAAAACGCATATATTTTCCTATAAACCTATTAGTTTTTACCATATGTTTCAGACAAAATATTTTACTCTACTTGTAACTTTTCTGAGAGTTTGACATTGTTTAGAAATAAAAAAATGTTTAAAAGCTTTTTAGAAAAAAGGGTTGCAAATTGGTGGTGTGTGTATATTAAAAACAACATTGTAGTCATATTTTAGGTATCTGGATATTTTTTTCCTACTGACTGGTTGTATGATGTTGCATAGGTAATTTCATTTCTTGGACTTTAAACATTTCTGACACAATCATGTTTGAAATGTTAGTCAGACATTGACTATGATTTTTGAAATCATAATAAAAAGTTTGAATATTAACATTTTCAAAATACTCAAACAGTTTTATGTACTTGAGATGCTCTGATTTGGATTGTTTCTCTCCTACACCTGCTAAACAGCTGTCATCCCTCTCTTTAGTAGCATTCTATGGCTCACATGTTTCCTGAATTCCTGTCGTGATTTACTCCCTTGTTTTACTGAAGCACATTTTCTATTAGGTTCCAAAATAAAACAGCATGAGGATATAATTTTTGAGTCTTTGAATGCTTTCCAATATCTATATTTTACCTTATCTGCTTTGATTATTTGGCCAGGTATTAAATGTTAAATTTCTAATATGTTGCTTATTATGCAATAGTTGCTTTATAAATGGAAGATAGTATTATTGTTGCAACAGATTGGAGCACAGTTTGTCCTCTTACATCAGCCAGCTATAGTATCTATTTCACCTATAAATTATTTTATTTATACAATATTCTCAACTGGGGCCAGTTTGACTAAGAACTGGAGGAAGAAGCTACTCACGTCAACAAAGGGCTGAAGTAATTATTTTTCACAATATTAATATCCAGTTAATTTCTTAGAAAAAAATTATACTTATACATTGTTCATTAGTTTAATCATTTTGAGGTAACACAACTTTAAGTTAAATAATGAAAGACTGTTTTGATTTAAAGTTTACTTGTGATGTTTCACAATGATTTCAGGGTCACATATGAAGTAATATGTGGCTTAAGGGATGAAGGTTGACTATCTGTATGTTTCTACTTGAAGAGCACAGTGGTTAAAAGGATGGGCTTTGGAACTATAGGGTCTGTACTTAAATTCTGTCCCTGCCGCCCACTACCAATGTATTATTTAGTAAATCACTTAATCTTGCTAACCTCAGTGTTTTCATCTGAAAAACAGGGAGGATAATGCCTTTCTTGAGATTATTATAAGGACATTTGTAATTTGAAAAAGTAAAATTGCTGAGAACAGTGCCTAGCATTTAGCAAGTGCCCTGTGACTGTTAGCTATTATAATAAACTCTGGTTTTTAAAACTATACAAATAGTTCTATGTAAAATTATAGAATCAGATCTTCATATTCTATGCAACCCGAGGCTACTAAGTGATAACTAATAACAGACTCTATTTCTACTGTTGAAACATTTGCTTTTGCTCTTTTTTTGCAGCTACACAGATACTCTTAGCTACTGCCCAAATTCTCCAGAATGATCTAATTGATGTCTCTGACCTCAAGACGTTATTAATGGACAACGACCTTCATGCAGCTAAAGCTATACTTACTGTAATGTTAAGACATGTACCTGAACATGGTTAGTAGTTTCAATGCATCTATCTTATAAAGACCATCCTCTACCAGGGGAAGGTCTATGGGTAGGACACGCAGGGATAGAGGGTAACCTGTGGAAGCTGCAGTGGGATGTCTGCGAGACACTGATGCTACCCCTACAAGTCTGCTAACCCTGAGCTTCATGGGGCCAAACAAATGGGGAAGTCAGAGCTCATCTTACCCCTGTGTGTGTCCAACGATGGTACTTAGGAGGTGAGATTATTTTGTGAAGTGACTGGCATAGGCAGTGGTCAATCAGAATGCCATCTATATAGTAAAACAGGATCCTGGAGGCCTTTTTGGCTTTTGGAAGCTAAATTATTGTGATATCCAGGGATACTGGTGGGTGTTGCACATGGTGGCTCAGGAAAGCAGATATTTATAAATATAAAAAATAATTTTACTATTTTAATGACTGGTACAGCTGAATATTATCCATGGTACATTCTTAAAATGAGTTGGGGACTATTCTTTTTTTCTATTTTTTAGAAGAGACTATTTTCTTCCTTGAATGTTTAGTAGAATTCATAGGTGAAGCCATGTGGGTCAAGAGTGTTTTTTGTGAAAGGCTTTGAATTATTGATTTAACGTCTTTAGGAATAAAGACATTAGGATTATTGGTCTGTCCAGGGTATTTAATTCTTCCTGATTTAAGCTAGGAGGATTGTATCTTTTCAGGAATTTATCCATCTTTTCTAGGTTTTCTGGTTTCCGTGTGCAAGGGTGTTCATAGTATTTCAGTGCTGTCAGTTGTAATATCTCCTGTTTCATTTTTTAGTGAGGTTATTTGGACTTTCTTCTTTTTTTGGTTGATCTTGCTAGTGGTCTCTCAATTTTATTTATCTTTTCAAAGAAGCAGTTTTTTTTTTCATTTATCTTTTGTATTTTTGTTTGTTTGTTTGTTTCAATTTCATTTAATTCTGGTCTGATCTTGGTTATTTCCTTCTGCTGGGGTTGAGTTTGGTTTGTTCTTGTTTCTCTGGTTCCTTGAGGTGTGACCTTAGAGGTCAATTTGTGCTCTTTCAGTCTTTTTGACGTAGGCATTTAAGGCTATGAACATTCCTCTTAGAACTGCCTTTGCTGTATCCCAGAGATTTTGATAGGTTGTGTCATTATGGTTGTTCAGTTTGATGATTTTTTAAATTTCCATCTTGATTTTGTTTTTGACACAATGCTCATTCAGGAGCAGGTTATTTAAATTTTCGTTTATTTGCATGGTTTTGAAGGTCACTTTTGGAGTTGATTTCGTTTTACTCCATTGTGGTCTGAGGAGTGCTTGATATAATTTGAATTTTCTTAAATTTATTGAGGCTCATTTTGTGGCCTATCATATGATCTACCTTGGAGAAAGTTCCATGTGCCGTGAATAGAATATGTCTTCTATGGTTGTTGGATGAAATGTTCTGTATACTTCTGTTAAGTCCATTGTTTCTTTGTTGACTTTCTGTCTTGATGACCTATCTAGTGCTGTCAGTGTAGTATTGAAGTCCCCCGCTATTATTGTGTTGCTGTCTACCTCATTTCTTAGGTCTATTAGTAGTTGTTTTATAAATTTGGATGCTCCAGTGTTAGGTGCACATATGTTTAGAATTGTGATATTTTCCTGTTGGACAAGGCCTTTTACCATTATATAATGTCCCTCTTTGTCTCTTTTAACTGCTGTTACTTTAAAGTTTGTTTTGTTTGATGTACGAATAGCTACCTCTGCTCACTTTTGGTGTCCATTTGCATGAAATGCCTTTTTCCACCCCTTTAAATTAAGTTTATGTGAGTCTTTATGTGCTGGGTGAGTCTCCTGAAGGCAGCGATTGGTTTGTGAGTTCTTACCATTCTGTGGTTCTGTATCTTTTTAGTGGAGCATTTAGACCTTTGACATTCAATGTTAGTATTGAAATGTGAGGTACCATTGCATTCATCATGTTCTTTGTTGTCTGTGTACTTTGTTTTTGTTTTTTGTTTTTGCTTTTTAACTTGATTTTTGTTTTATAGGTCCTGTGTAATTTACATTTAAAGATGTTCTTTTTTGATGTGTTTCCAAAATTTGTGTCCAGATTTAGAGCTCCTTTTAGCAGTTCTTGTAGTCATAGTTTGGTAATGGTGAATTCCCTTAGCATTTGTTTGTTTGAAAAAGACTGTATCTTCCCTTCATATATGATGCTTAGTTTCACTGGATGTAAAATTCTTGGCTGATAATTGCTTTGTCTGAGGAGGCTGAAGATAGGGCTCTATCTCTTCTAGCTTGTAGGGTTTCTGCTGAGAAATCTGATGTTAATCAGATAGGTTTTTATTTATGGGTTACCTGCTGCTTCTGTCTCACAGCTCTTAAGAGTCATTCCTTCATCTTAACTTTGGATAATCTGATGACAATGTGCCTAGGTAAAGATATTTTTGCGATGAATTTCCTGGGTATTCTTTGTGCTTCTTGTATTTGGATATCCAGGGTTCTAGCAAGGCCAGGGAAAGTTTGCTCGATTATTCTCCCAAATACATTTTCCAAGCTTTTAGAATTTTCTTCTTTCTCAGGTACATCGATTATTAGATTTGATTGTTTAACATAATCACAGACTTCTTGGAGGCCTTGTTCATATTTTCTTATTCTTTTTTCTTTGTCTTTGTTGGATTGAGTTAATTAGAAGACCTTATCTTCAAGCTCTGAATTTCTTTCTTCTACTTGTTCTGTTCTATTGCTGAAACTTTCCAGAGCATTTCACATTTCTAAAAGGGTGTCTGAAATTTCCTGAATTTTAAATTGTTTTTTCTTTAAGCTATTTCCTTGACTGTTTCTCCCCTTAATTCTTGTATCATATTTTGGATTTCCAGGCTATGCATTTCTCTCGTCCCTTCCTGATTAGCTTAATAACTAACTTTCTGAACCATTTTTCAGGTAAATTGGGGATTTCTTTTTGGTGGATCTATTTCTGGTGAACTAGTGTGATTTTTGGGGGGTGTTGAAGAGCTTTATTTTGTCATATTACCAGGGTTGGTTTTCTGGTTCCTTCACATTTGGGTAGCCTCAGTCAGAGGGAAGGTCTAGGGCTGAAGGCTGTTGTTCAGATTCTTTTGTTCCATGGGGTGTTCCCTTGCTATAGTACTCTCCCCATTTTTCTATGGATGTGCCTGCCTGTGAGCCAAACTGCAGTGATTGTTGTCTTTCTTCTGGGTCTAGCCACCCAGTGAGTCTACCCAGCTCCAGGCTGGTACTAGGGGTTGTCTTTACAGAGTCCTGTGATGTAAACCATCTACGGTCTCTCAGCTGTGGATACCAGTGCCTGTTCTGGTGGAGGTGGCAAGGGATGCAGGGGACTCTGTGAGGGTTCTTAGCTTTGGTTGTTTACTGTTCTATTTTTGTGCTGGTTGGACTACTGCTAGGAGGTGGCACTTTCCAGAGAGCATCAGCCGTGGTATTATGGGAAGGAACTGGCAGTGGTTGGGGCCCTAGAACTTCCAAAATTATATGCCCTTTGTCTTCTGCTACCAGGGTGGGTAGGCAAGGACCATCAGGTGGGGGTGAGGCTAGGTGTGTCTGAGCTCAGACTCTCCCTGGATGGGTCTTGCTGTAGCTGCTTGGGGTACGGGAGTGAGATTCACAGGTTACTGGAGTTGTGTACATAGGAGGATTATGGCTGCCTTTGCTGAGTCATGTAGGTTGTCTGTGAAGTGGGAGAAGCTGACAGTCACAGGCCTCGCCCAGCTCCCATGCAAACTGAAAGGCCAGTCTCACTCCCACTGTGCCACCCACAGCAGCCCCCAGACTCTTTCCAAGTGGAGGAAGATATGGGCTTAAAAACCCGCCCCGGGCTAACTGCCTCCCAGTTGGGAAAGAAAAGGGCTTGGTTCTTCTCCAGCCTATGGAGTCTGCACACAGGATTTGTGCCTTCCTGGGGTTCTGGCCAGGTGGCTTCTCACCCTGTTCCAATTGTTACAAAGTTCATCTAGAGATTTGCTTCGCATTGTGAAGTTTTACCCACTGCTCATTTCCCATTGGATCCCTGTGGTGGCAGCAGGAATGGCCTGCTAGGGGACCCATCAAGCTCCCAGGGCCTTTCTGCTGCTTCCTCTACTCCTGTATTTTGCTTAGCTCTCCAAAGTGACTCATTTCCACATAAAGTTGGAAACTTCTCCTGCAAACAGACCTTCAGCTTCTCCAATGGGAGTGTGTGTTCGGGAGAGGAGGTTCTCTTTCTCACTTCTGCAGTTGGGGTACTCAAAGTTTTGGGGTGGTTTTGCAGAAGCAGTCTGCTTCCTTCGGAGGGTCTGTGGGCCCTCAGAATTGCTGGTTTGTTCTTGCAGTTGATCTGGAACTAAAATTCACAATGCGAGCTGTTGCCTGTCTGCTCTGTCCAGAGCTGCAATCTAGTCCTGCCTCTTGTCTGCCATGATCTCCTCTTATTCATCTCTTATCAATTTATGTGCTATTCTTGTGCAATGGACTCCTTGAGGGTTTAGTTTTGGTGACTTAATACTCTCTTTTTGTGCTGGCTGGCCTTCTGCCAGGAGGTGGCGCTTTCCAGAGAGCTTCAGCTGTGGCATTATAGGGAGGAACCCACAGTTTGTGTATTTTAACTGTATAAATCTTTTGATTATATAAAATATTGTGTATTTTAACCATATAAATATTTTAAATTATATAAAACATTATGATTTTGAATATTTATTTAAATTTACCCACATGTTTACTCTTTTAATGAATTTCTGCATCTGTAATGCACAGAATTAATGAATTTAGTGGATTTCTTCATCTATCACTTTCCATTAGGTTAGCATTTAGTATTTTCTTAGTAAGAATTATCTGAGTTTCTGGCTCAAAATGTCTTTAGTTTTCCTTTGCAATCAAAGGTCATTTTCGGTGGGCACAGAATTCTAGATTGTTAGTTATTGTCTTTCAATATTTTAATATATCATTTTGTTGTATTCTGGGTTCTGTTAATTCTGTTTAGAAGTCAACTATCAGTCTAATTGTTGCTGCTTTGTAGATTTGCCATATTTGTTATTTTTGAACTGCGTGATGGTAGGAGGTGCTCCATAAAATTTTCACTTTGCAGATATTTATTACTTGATTTAACCCACCACCACTACAACTGCTGTCACTCTGATTCACTAGAAATTGGGTAATTATTTTGTTTTATTAATCCTTTTTAAAAGTAGGTGTAGCTCACATTTTGTTCAGTGTTTGATACTAGAAGTGTTTTGAGTCTTTGTTTTTAAGTTTGCTAATTTTTTTTGTTTTTGAGACAGAGTTTCACTCTTGTTAGCTAGGCTTGAGTATAATGGTACAATCTTGGCTCACTGCAACCTCTGTCTCCCAGATTCAAGTGATTCTCCTGCCTCAGCCTTCTGAGTAGCTGGGATTACAGGCTTGCGCCACAATGCCTGGCTAATTTTGTATTTTTAGTAGAGATAGGGTTTCTCCATATTGGTCAGGTTGGTTTTGAACTCCTGACCTCAGGTAATTCACCCGCCTTGGCCTCCCAAAGTGCTGGAATTATAGGTGTGAGCCACTGTGCCTGGCCAGTAATGTTTTTTTGAAGAGAAATATGCCATAGGAATATAACTCTTGTTTATATAAATTCACCTATGGTAAAACTGATTTTATTAATGTCCTTTTGCTTAAAGTCAGGGTTTCCAAGTACCTATCAATGATGTTAAGTGAGAACTTACTGTACATATAAGTACAGTAAAATTGCATTAAGAAAAAAAGGATGGTGAACACTAAACTTATGATGAAGGTTGGGGAAGGATAAAGGATGAGTTTATAAGGGGAACACTCCAGGGTTAGTTGCTGATTTTTGTCAAGCCCTAGCTTTTGTTTTGGGCATAAGTTTGTAGGAATTTATTACATTATTGAACATTTTGAATTAATCAGATGAATAAAAGTGGGTCATGTGTAGACCAGTAATGTTTCAGGAACAAAGGATAATGCTAATTCAGATTCTATGCATGTAGTTTCTAATTGTAAGTTAAGTCTGTTCCATTGTTCTATTTTTGTTTTTCCAGGGACTTCAATTATATACATATCAGATCTTCTTTGCTTTTATATCTGTCATTTTGTTCTGACTCTTTTAAACTTTTTTTTCAGACTGGTTTCATCTTCCTTCTTTTTTCTTCCACTCCTCCTTTCTTTTAATTCTTTCATTTCTGTCCTGAATGTCAATTACTATGGTTTTATCAATCCATTCTACCTTTGAGTCTTCATTTTGAAGTTAACTTTGTGTTTCACAGTCTATTTTCTGAGTCCAGTTGCTCTTATTTTACAACTTCCTTTGTCTATTTCTCTTTTGATTTTTGGTATTCTTTCATATTTGCAGTTTGTTAATGATATTTACTTTATATTATTTTGCTTGTTGTAGTTTTGATCTTGGCTTTTCTGTGTTATACTAAAGAGCTTTAATTTTTATTTTGCTTCCTTTGCATTATAACTTTCTAAGGATGCTATGTTCTCTTTTCTGTTCACTGTTACCTGCATTGCATTTTCTAGACCAATGATCCTATGGAAGAGTTGAAAGTGTTAGGTGGCTTATCCAGTTCAAGAGTCCCCTCTTCAGTTTCTACAGTGAACAACATTTACTTAAATAAATGGCACCTTTGTTTGTTTGTTTTTTTTTTTTGATTTTTTTTTTAAATGCATTTTAGGTTTTGGGGTACATGTGAAGAACATGCAAGATTGTTGCATAGGTACACACATGGCAGTGTGGTTTGCTGCCTTCCGTCCCCTCACCTGTATCTGTCATTTCTCCCCATGCTATCTCTTCCCACCTCCCCACCCCCCCTCCCCCATTTCCCCCCCAACGGACCCCAGTGTGTAGTGCTCCCCTCTCTGTGTCCATGTGTTCTCATTGTTCAACACCCGAAATGGCACCTTTTTTGAGGAATGTGTTGCTTTTCTGACTTTTTGATTCCATTTAGTAGGGAATTCCTCTTTAATTGTTTTTTTTTTCCCCTTTACTACCAAACCTTATGGAATACTATTCACTTTCAGAGTCTATCCTGTACCCAGGTTCTAAAGTTAATTTTCTGCTTCCCTCATATACCATCTCAAGATTCCTGTCTTTGGTCTCTTGTATTTCTAAGCTTTCTTTTATCTCTCTAAAGGTTAAAGCTTTCATCCATCAGCTCTCTGACTTGTTCTATTATTTCCCTACTCAGCTAGGGACTCTCTTCTTATGGGTGAACTCTCATGGGTGTTATCCATGTTCTGCATTACAAAGACACTTCCTTATTCTTTCTTCTATGAAAGTGCCATATGAGTTTCTTCCTGCTCCTCCTTCTTTTCCTCCTCCTCCTTCTTCATCTTCTTCCTCTTCTTCTTATTCCTTTTCCTCTTCTCCTTCTTTCTCTTCTCTTTCTCCTTCTCCTCCTTCTCCTTCCTTCTTCCTTCTTCCTTCTTCCAGGTTCTTGCTCTGTTGCCCAGGCTGGAGTGCACTGGCACATTCTCGGCTTACTGCAACCTCTATCTCCCAGGTTCAAGCAATTTTTCTGCCTCAGCCTCCTGAGTAGGTGGAATTACAGGCTCCTGCCACCACACCCAGCGAATTTTCATATTTTTAGTAGAGATGGGCTTTCACCATGTTGTCCAGGCTGGTTTGGAACTCTTGACCTTAAGTGATCTGCCCACTTCAGCCTCCCAAAGTCTTGGGATTACAGGGGTGAGCCACCATGCCTGCCCTGAGTTTCGTCTTTAGTGTAGGCTGTGAAGCTGACTGTGCTGGTTCTAGATTTTTATTTCCTGACTTATATGCAAACGAAAGTGTTCAATATTCTGCCTCTTAGTTAGACTGTAGGCATGGACTCTAGGTTATTTTACTTGCCTTATTTGTTAATTTTTATGAATTTTTTGGAGACCATCTGGAGAGATTCAATTTAGGTGTCTACTGTCATACTAAAGCAGTGTTTCTAACCTTTTTTTCCCTCACTTCTCTAAGGAGCCTTTATAGACATTTTACTTCCTAATTATCCTCCACACCCTGTGAAAATTTAATACCAAAGATACACCATATATCTGTTTAAGTACTATGGCCACAAAGTATTGTAATATCTGAGATTTTTTTTTCTCCTAAGAACCAGTTTTATACCTTAAGAGCAGTATCACCCTCAATGAGAATGCATGTTCTGAAAGTATCTTGAATATTTTTTTCATTGTACTGCTGAATCCTATTTAGTAGTATTTTACTTGTACTTTAACACATGTATGAGTAATATGGGTCTATAATTTCCCTCCCTCACCTCCTCAGTGTTATATTTATTCTGTAGTTTTGCAGGCAATTAGGAGCTACTGAAGGGTTTTATTATAGGAATAATCAATTTTTTTTTTTAAGAGGAATACCTCCCTTGCCATACTTTGAAAAATAAATGGAGGACGAGACTGGTGGCATAGGTTTTTAAAGATGCTATTGCAATAACATAGGTATTAGTTAATGCAGCAGTAAATTCAAGAAGTATTTGGAAATAGAATGAGCAGAAATTTGATAGTCATATGCATGCAAGAGGTAAGGGAGAAGAAAGCCTAGCCTTACTCCCAAGCTTCTAACCTTTGTTATAATTTGACTGTTAGCTTTAGCTATATTAATTAATTCTGAAACAGTAATTCTTTCATTTAATTAAATTATGATTTACATTACAGAAAGTGGAAAGGTTACCATTCAAGAATTTATGACTAAATTCTCTGATATATTGACAATTCCTAAAGCTGCAGGTAAGTTTTATTTAATATGTACTTGCTGCCCAGATCTAGAAAGACAAGCAGTGGTTTATATGTTAAAAACAATATAGGTTTCAATAGTTAAAGTACAGGTAAGTAAGAAGCAATATAATATGAATATAAAACAATAAAAGATTAGATTACATAACTTCTGTTTGAATTCTAAGGCAAATATTGCTAAGCGTAACCCAGACTCAAAATTTTTAGTAGTCTTACTTGGTAGTACTAGAAAATTACTAGATTATATATTATTCTTTGAGGTTATTCAGTATGCATATTTGACTTTTGAATTTATTAGAAAATAATTTTTAAAACTTTTGACAAATCCAGTGGAATTGACTTTATCACTATCTGTTATGTTCTCATGTATGTTCAACAACTCTCTTGATGACATTTTTTAAACATTTATGCTTTTTGAGGTATAACTTACATATAGCAAAATTTACTATTTTTAGGAATACAGTTCTTTGGATTCTTAAAAATAATGTCATATAACCCTTACTATACACACCATATAGACTATATCACCCCACAGAAGTCTCTTGTGCCCTTTTGGTAATCCATTTCTTCCTCTACACTCAACCCTGGCAACTACTGATTCATTCTTTGTCCCTATAGTTTTGCCTTTTGTGAAATATCTTGTAAATGTAATGATTAAATATGAAGTGGTTTGAGTCTGGCTTCCTTAGAATAATATTTTTATATTCATCCATTTTTTGCACATTGTTTGGTTCCTTCTGTATATGAGTAGAATTCCATTTTATGAATGTACCATAATTTGTTTTTCCATTTGCCATTGATGGGCTATTGAGTTATTCTGTGTTTGGTGATTATGAATGAAGCTGCTATAAATAATTATGTACAGGTTTTTCTGTGGATGTATGTTTTCATTTTTCTTAAATACCTAGAACTAGGCTGAGATATATGGTGAGTGTATGTTTAAATTGATCAAAAACTGCCAAACTGTTTTGCAGTGTCTTTCTAAAGTGCATTCCCGACAGCAATGTATAGCAGTTCTAGTTGCACTGCATCCTAGCCAACACTTGACAAAAATATCAGGAATTTTTTAAAAATTAGCCTTTCTAATAGTTGTATAGTGGTATTTCATTATGGTTTGCATTTCCCTTATGACTAATCATGTGTTTGAAAGTCTTTTATACACCCCCCGCCCCCCCAAAACACACACATATTTGCTATCTCTACATCTTCTTTGGTAAAGTATCCAACTTTTTGTCCATTAGAAATAATTAGGGGCCGGGCATGGTGGCTCACGCCTGTAATCCTAGCACTTTGGGAGGCCGAGGTGGGCAGATGACCTGAGGGCAGGAATTCAAGACAAGCCTGGCCAACAAGGCAAAACCCTGTCTCTACTAAAAATACAAAAATTAGTCAGGTGTGGTGATGTGTAGCTGGGACTGCCTGTGGAGTCCCAGATACTCAGGAGGCTGAGGCAGGGGAGTTGCTTGAACCCAGGAGGTGGAGGTTGCAGTGAGCTGAGTTTGTGCCACTGCACTCTAGCCTGGGTGACAGAGCAAGACTCTGTCAAAAAAAATAAAAATAAAAATAAAAAAGACTGTTTCTTATTAAGTTTTGAGAGTTCTTTATATATTCTGAGCAATGTTATTATATACATGTTTGCAAATATTTTCTTCCAGTCTGTTTTATCTTTTCATTTTCTTAACATTGTCTTTCAGAGAACAATAGTTTTTAGTGTTGATAAAGTCTAATTTCATAATTTTTTTTATGCTTTATTCTACCTGGTCTGACCTAACCTTTGCCTAAACCCATGCTGTAAAGATGTTCTCCTTTTTCTTTTTTCTATAGAAATCTTATAGTCTTAGATTTATATTTAGGGCTGTTACTCAAGTTAATTTTTATATAAAATGAAGGTTTTATATTGGTGGAGATTCACTTTTTTTTTTGTTTTTGCAAACATATGTTTAATTGTTCCAGTACCATTTGTTGAAGACACAAATTCTTTCTTCCTTGAATTGCCTTTGTATTTTTGTCAAAAATCAATTGACTATGTATATGTGGGTCTATTTCTATGCTCTCTATTGTGTTTTATTGATTTATGGGTCTGTTCTTTCATTATTATTACACTGTTTTGATTACTTTTGCTTTATTGAAAGTTGAAATTAGGTAGTTTGAATATTTTAATATTATTCGTTTTCAACATTGTTGTAAATCTTTTTGTTTTTAATTTTCCTTTACAAATTTTAGAATTTCTGTGATTTTTATTGGAACTGTGTTTAATTTATAGATCAATTTAGGGAGAATCAAAATCTTAACAATATTGAATCTCTGATCCATAAATACAACCTCTCTCTCTCCTTATAGCTCACCTTTGATTTTTCTCTACAATGTTGTTATTGTTATAGTTTTGTTTGTTTTTTTTTTTTTTTTTGAGACAGAATTTCGCTCTTGTTACCCAGGCTGGAGTGCAATGGCGCGATCTTGGCTCACCGCAACCTCCGCCTCCTGGGTTCAGGCAATTCTCCTGCCTCAGCCTCCCTAGTAGCTGGGACTACAGGCATGCACCACCACAAACCTGTATTTTATTTTGCACACATGTGCATATGCACGTGCACACACACATACACACACACACAAGGTCCTTTCAAATTATACATTTCTGATTATTCATAATCATAAGAGTGTAATTGATTTTTGCATGTTGATCTTGTGTTCTGTAACGTTAATGAACTCAGTAGGTTTAGTAGCTTTTTTTGTAAACTATTTGGGCTTGTCTATGTATATAGTCGTCTGTGAAAAAAGACAGTTTTCTTTTTTCTCTTTCTAATTAGTATATCTTTTATTTCTCTCACCCATTCCCATGATTGCGTTGGCTAGGATCTGTCTAGTGTGATATTTAACAGGAGTGTGAAAACAGATATCTCTTCTTGTTTCTTGTTCTTAGGAGGAAATCATCCAATTTTTCACCATTAAGTTTGACTTTAGCTATAGGTTTTTAAAATATATGCCTGTTATTACAATGAGGAATTTTTCTTCTATTTCAATTTGCTTAGAGTTGTTATGAATGGGTGTTGTTGTGTATCAGATGCTTTTTGCATATTTATTAATATGATAATATAGTTTTCCTTTATCTGTTGATATGGTACATTTCATTGATTAACTTTTAAAGATTGAACCAATCTTGCATTTCTGAGATATATCTCATTTATCATGCTGTATCATGCCTTTTCTGTATTGCTGAATTTGATTTAATAAAACTTTGCTGAGGATTTTTGTGTCCGTATTCACCAGGGCTATTGTCTGCCTTGGGAGTTTATCAATTTTGTTTATCTTTTTAAAGAACCCCAACTCTTAGATTTGTTAATCTTTTATCTTGTTTTTCTAGTCTCCTAGTCTCCATTTCATTTATTTCTGTTACATATTTGTTATTTTCTTTCTTCTGTTAACTTTGGGCTTAATTTGTTCTTCTTTGTCAAGTTCCTTGTGGTGTAGCATTTGGTTGTTTGAGATCTTTATTTTCTTTTTAATGTAGGCATTTAATGGCACTAGTAAGTACTTACTATGAAGGTATAAACTTGTCTTTTAGAACTGCTTTTACTGTGCTCCTTATGTATTCATATGCTGTATTTCCATTTTAATTTATCTCAAGATATTTTTAAATATTCCCTTTCATTTCATTTCTGACCCAATAGTTGTTCAGGAACATATTGTGTAAATATTCAGGTATTTGTTAATTTTCCATGATTTCCTCTATTACTGATTTGCAGTTTATATCTCCTACTATTATAATATTTAATCTATGTCTCTTTCAAATCTCTTATTGTTTGTTTTATGTGTTAAGATGTTCCAATGTTGGGAGCACATATATTTACAATTTGTATATATTTTTGATGAATTTACCATTTTATCAGTATATAATGACCCTCTTTGTCTCTTTTTAGAGTTTTTGACTTAAGATCTATTTTGTCTGATACAAGTACCCATATTCTCTTTTGGTTTCCCTTTTTGTAGAATATCTTTTTTCACCCCTTCACTTTCAGTCTATGAGTGTCCTTTAAGATGAAATGAGTCTCTAGGGTTTAGCATGTGGTTGGGTCTTATTTTTTATGTGCATTCATCCATTCTATGCCTTTTTATTGGAGGATTTAATTTGTATTCAAAGTAATTATTGATAGTAAGGACTGACTAGTGCAATTTCTTCATTGTTTTCTGTTGTTTTATATATCCTTTGTTTCTTTCTTCCACTCTTGCTTTCTTCTTTTGTATTTTGATGGTTTTCTGTACTAGTATAATTTGAATCTTACTATCTTTTGTGTATTTACTGTAGGCTTTTGCCTTGTAGTTACACTGGGGCTTACATAAACATCTTATATGTATAAAAGGCTATTTAAAAGTGATAACAACTAAATTTTGATCATATAGAAACTCTACACATTTACTTTACCTCCCCCCACATTTTATGTTTTTGATATCACATTTTACATGTTTTAAAAGTTGTATTCCTTGCCAAACTATTATAACTATAGCTGTTTTTAATAGACTTGTCTTTTAATATTTGTACTGGAGAATATAATTTATTTACATATTGCCATTACAGTATTTGAGTGTTTTGAATTTGGTTATATACTTACTTTTACCAGTTACTTTAATACTTTCATATGTTTTTCATGTTACTAATTAGCATCTTTTTTTTAGCTTGAGGAATTCCCCTTAGCATTTTTTGTAATGCAGATCTATTGGTGAATGTAATGCAGCTTTTGTTTGTCTGAGAAAGTCTTTATTTATCTCTCTTTCATGTTTGAAAGATTGGATTTCTGGGTATAATATTCTTGGTTGGCAGGTGTTTTTTTTTTCTTTCTCATTTTGAATATATCATCCCATTCCCTTCTGGCCTACAAGGTTCCTGTTGAAAAATTCACTGAGAGTCTTATGAAGGTTCCCTCATACTTAACAAGGCACTTTCCCCCTTGCTGCATTCAAAAATCTCTCTGCTTCCAAGTTTTGACAATTTTATTGTAATGTATCCCAAAGTGGGTCTCTTTGAATTCATCTTATTTTGTGTCTTTAGACTTCCTGGATATCTATTTTATTCCCCAGGCCTGGGAAGTTTTCTTCCATTATTTCTTTGAATATATTTTTTCTTTATTTCTTTTTTCTCCTTCTGAAACTTTGATAACATGTATATTGTTTTGTTTCTAGCTGGGGCACAGCTTGGTTTTATACATTTTAGGAAGACATGAGATATCAATGAGTACATGTAAGATGTACATTGGTTTGGTCTGGAAGGGTTGGGGGAAAACAACTTGAAGCAGGGAATTTTTTAATGGACAAATTGTGAGAGAGTTATGTAGCTTTTTTTTTTTTTAAATCTCTGTTGCTGTCTTATTTACGAATAGAATGGGAGGCAGGTTTGCCTGACACAGTTCCCAGCTTGACTTTTCCCTTGAGCTTAGTGATTTTGGGGTACTAAGATTTATTTTCCTTTCACACCATGAGTTCAAACATATATCATTTCTTTGTAGTGAGAACATTCAGAACATTATTAACTATAGTCACCCTTTGGTTTTTAAATGGACAAAAACAAATCGTATGTATTATATATTGTGTGATTCAAAATATGTACATACGTTGTGGAATGGCTAAATTGAACTAATTAACATATGCTTTACCTCACCTATTTTTGTGATGAGAACACTTAAAATATT